TTTGTGCTATTTCCTGATCCATACACTTGAGTAATGTAAAAAAAAATTCAATACTAATTCCTGAATCTTATAAGACGAAATGAAAAGCAAAATGCACCTACCGAAGAACACGCACCACCAAGGAAGCAATGTTGTCCCCTTCTTCTTCTTCTCCCCTCTAACTTCCGACACTGCATTATGATAGACGGTTCAAAGAATGATTGAATCATATATTTTCATGATGCGATAAGTAATAGAAAATCAGTTTAGCAATGTTTTTAGCAGTATATAATCAAACTCACCCAAAGCGATTTCAGGACAGTAAAACTAGGAAAGTCAAACATGCTGGCCATTTCTAAAAATGTAGTAAGTTGAATCAACCCTAAATGAATTATATGTTGTACATGTGTGGATTACATAATTTTTGTAGAGTTGGGAATTTGGGAATTGTCTTAAATCTTATTTTACTGACTTCTATATACGAAACAAGAGAATTAACAACCAAATTTCATTTAGTATATTATGAATTAGTAGTAGTATTAGTAGTAGAATGGTTTATCTCACTTAGAAACTCAAACATACACAATACGCTCTGACAACAGACTCGCAGGCAACTATACTGGATGCCTGAATTGCTCTGTGGTCAACACTAAATATCATTAAATATGCTATCAAAAGGTATAATTGTTCAAAACATTATTACACATTGCTAAAATTCTGACCATCCTTGTTCTTTTTGCGAATCCACGTGGCTTCCACCATCTCGATGTCGTTCCCGGTGGAGTTCTGGTAGGGAACTTTATGGAACAGCCAGTCGGAGTCGTCAGTGTTCACGGCGGCCGGCTGGCCAGATTCGTCCCTCGTCGACGAGAAACTATGCACCGTCACTTCAATATCGCCATCGTCTAGCGTGTTATCTGTGGAGAATTGCAAACGTTAGTCCACAGCAAGTAATGTTTGTGGATAGTGCTGCATACATAAACCCAAATTTAGGTTCAGGTCAAGATTCAAGTCCAGAGGCTTAGGTTCTGTTCCGAACTCGTAAGTCTGGACCTAAACCCATGGCATACAAAATTGCATGTTGGCAACCTTGCAATGTTGTCTGGGTGAAACTTTGGCCACATAACATGGAGCCCGGTACTTGACGATGCCCGATGACAATGTTTTCTTCATTTTGCAGCAAAGTTTTTTGCAATCTATGGAAGGTTTTAGGTGGTTTGGAAAGAAAAGGGGTATGTGAAATGGTCTTTTATTGTAATAAGTCCAGACTCGGTTCTTGACTTTTAGGTTTTTTGGACATGAACCTAAACATTCTTACAAGTCTGGATCTAAGTCCAGTGAACCGGTACGCAGCACTATTTGTGGATGACATCAGCGCGATCATTAATTTAAGCCTGATTTTGGGGGAAAAAAGACATTTTGTTGCCCTCTGATAGTGGTCAACATGCCGAAAATGGGTGAGGCAAGACAAGACTCTGATTTGTTGTTTTGTCCTTTACTTTAATGCAGTGAAGTATTTCATTCCTTTTATTTGTAACGGAGGCTGTGTGTACGTGAGATGTCATGTGTTGGCGAAAGGCCATTATAACTATGGTTTTCTTTTTCACAGAAAACATAAACATGACAGTCTTTACAATCTATCCATTTCTTTGCGTATCTTATTACCTGGATGTCTGAACTTCATCGACTGCACGAGTTATCCTCGTGCACTGTGTACTGTGTGTGTTGTTGATACATCGACGAATTTCAGACATCCAAGCATCAAATACACATGTAATACACAATACGCCGATGAAGTTCAGACATCCAGGTATCAACTATAATACGAAGTGCATAGAGATAACTTGTATAGTTGATACGCCGACTACACGAGTTATCTTTGTGCAATTCGTACTTTGTTTATCTTTCTCCCTACTCGTATACATCAGTATCATGTCAAAACAATCCGTTTCAAATATAATATTGGTAAGGTATAAGTATGTAATTTTACACAGAATTGACTCACCGAATTCAATTGATGCCGTTGATGTTGTTGAGTGTGATGGTAGTGAAGACGAGTCTGTGTTGTTGCTGGTCTTTGTCTTGTTTTCTTTCTTCCTACTTTCGTTCTTTTTCTCCTTCTTCGGCCTTTGTCCACAGTGGCGGAATATTTGCACGATTGCTAGGTTGACTGGAAACACTATCAGGGCACTCTGGACTGCTATCATAATCTACAGAAGGGGAACAGAACAGAATGATGATGATAAAGTTGACACAATATCTGTTCATCATTTAATCCATGTATATCTAGAAAAGGTCGCAATACATGTACGTACAGATATTAAGTTCCTACCCGTAGGCTAATTACAAGTATATGTAACTTGAAAAATAAGAAAGAACGAAAAATGGATAACAATATAACATGTGACTACTCTTGTCTAACTCTTGACACTTAATCTTAACTTATTGGGTTCCACAATTTTTTTCCGTGACGTGGAATCCTACATTTTATATAATATGCGGGTTTTATGATGAAATTATGGTGGGATTAGTCAGACATCTGCTATGTAGGCTTTGATGTAAGTTATGATGTAAGTTTGTTGGCTTTTTTAAACAGGCCATTTCATTCGTGATCATAGAAGGAGCAATTTTTTCTACTCCAACATTTTTTACAAGACATGGCACACGCCACTAACGCAGACAAATATATGAACGGACAGCAGACATACTCATTGTAATCTGAGTGAAGTGAGGAAATTCGTGTAAAGTGCCTTTCCAAAGGGCAGAAGATTGGTGGCATGGCAGGATTCGAACTCCGGACCTCTTGGTTCCGAGGCGATAAATTCTGTCCTTACGCCACACGAATAAATGCAAAACCACGATGATCCAAAATCACGTTCTGGCCCACACAAGACAGTGCAGTGTATTTTGCTCACTGTATCCATATCAACTACGTCTCTCCGCTCAAAAGACCAATTTCTACTTGTACCACGACCATGTAAACCGAAACCTTTTCTCATTTCTATTTCAGTCGAGTAGCTCTAATCTGGAACATGTTACCATTATGTACAACACATGTATTCAAATCCCAGCCTACCGTCTGTTAAAAAATTGTTAATTTCTTACTACAGATCTCGCTTAAACGACGAATTTTCAACCGACAACTTATGTACCTGGACCACTACCTGTCGATGCCATAACTGTTTAGCGATCTGATTTGATTACTCTTTTTAAATTGTTGTTTGTTTGTTTGTTTTTGTTTCTATGTTTCTAGAGGAGTCGACCTAGTAGAGGAACTCTATGTTCCTGCTGCCGGCTCCTCTCAGAATTTTAATTTCTGTAAAGTTGAATAAATAAATAAATAAATAGAAATAAAAAAAATATATTTTCTCACCTCGCCCCAGGACAAGGGGAACTGGACCTCAAAACCGAGGATGTCGACAGGCGGCGGTTTGGGGAAAGTCTCCCCTCGGCCGAAGAACATGATGTTGGTGAGCATGGTACAGAGCAGCAGGGACAGGCAGCAGGACAGGCGCTGGACACGCGTGAACCTGCTGTAGGCTGGCCGGCCCATCACCGAGAACCACAGATGGCCGTCTCGGAAATCCTGAGGAGAAAAATACTTAATGTGCATCTATATTTTTACCTAGTTTTATTTCTTTGTAACAGAAACTTGGACTAGAAAAGTAACATTTGCAAAGCAAATGCATTATGTTTACCTTCGGATATGGTCTGCTCTGTTAATTCTTACTCAAACACATTCACATAGTATTACATGCATATGGTGACAGGAGTCTAACTGCCTACAATGAAATTGCCACATTGTGGGTGTGTGTGTCACATTGTGTAACCCGACACCAGTTACTATGGTGACAGACGTAAACAAAAGAGGCCATTGGCCAGGTCAGAGGTTAGTGTTTGAAGAAGAAATGGAGCAAAAACAATATGTTTTCCTTCGGGAAACATAAATATTAGACTTGTTATTAGATATAATTGATAAAAACGACTTATATTATGAATGTAAATGCCACCAATTTTTAGAAAGTATTGAAATTAATTCTACAATTCAGTCATACAGAAGACTTTCTCTGCTTAGTAGTCAGCATTTGGAAAGGAGTATTGGAGTTAAACACACATCACTACCGATGGACTAGCCCCATACTGTAGTGATTACACAACTATCTGTCTCAATTGCAATAAAAACGGAGACGGGTACTATATATATATGGGTGCGGGCCGGGAGGGACCTTTTTGACTTGTGCAATACATGTAACATGGCATATGTCACACTGTATGGACTGAAAAGTTATACAGTTGTGGTTGCCTTTCAGAACATGTCATGTAGTTTCTTGATCTTTACTAGTGGCAAGATCTGGAGTAATAAAATGATCTACATTATGTGTGAATAGAAACTTGCGAACCTTGCTTGTTTTGGAAGAGAAGACGTTGCCAATGCTGGACAGCTCCTTTTCTGTCGCGATGGCCAACAACCGGTCAACTTTTCCATCCCCTTCCTCTACTGCAAGCCATCTTAGAAAAAAAAGCACATCTTTACGTCACGCTTATAAATATAAATACTTAACGTTACGCTTATAAATATAAATACTTTACGTCACGCTTATAAATATAAATACTTAACATCACGCTTATAAATATAAATACTTTACGTCACGCTTATAAATATAAACACTTAACGTCACGCTTATAAATATAAATACTTAACGTCACGCTTACAAATATAAATACTTAACGTCACGCTTATAAATATGAATACTTAACGTCACGCTTATAAATATATATACTTAACGTCACGCTTAGAAATATAAATACTTAACGTCACGCTTAGAAATATAAATACTTAACGTCACGCTTATAAATATAAATACTTAACGTCACACTCATAAATATAGTACAATTATGTTCTGTATCAAATTTTGTGCGGAAAATTTATAATGTATAAAACATGTATTTTCATTGGTGTGTTAATCGTGCGCCTATATAGATCTCAAAACTGTAGTTTTAATATACTGATGTTTTGTAAATTGGTTTTAATTACAATTCAGTTGTTTTTAACTGCGAAAAACCAATAAATCCATCTTGAATCTTGAATCTACTACTAGGAACTTGGCTTGTTTGGCTTAATTCAAAAATATAATATTTAGCTTAAATCAGTGTAACACAAACTTATGTTTAATTAAAACTGATATATTACTTGTCACAGACAAATGTGTTCTTAAGCCAAAGGTTTTACAGAAAAAAGCGTGTATTTGAATTTGATACTCACTTGTCACAGATAAACGTGTATTTGTCATCCTTGTCACAGTCTATCACGACTATCTTGTTTAAGTACCTGCAGTAAAGATGGAAGTGCATCATTTGAAACATCATCTACATTAATATTACTGAACTATGCTTCACCTTAGACTATCCCGTTATTTGTCGTCTATCATGATTACTTTTAATCAAAACGTACTCTCTGGCGGATCGCTTCAGCCATATCCACATATGAATTTGTTTCAATTGGTATTTTGTTGATATTTCTTATCACGGTCATGCTGACTGAAATTATATAAACTGCTATTTTTTATTTTTATTTTTTTATGAAGATTCACCACATTAATGGAAGGATTGGCATAACAGGTGACTATCACCTCTTCAAGATGTCAAACCTGAGACCAGACTGTAAGGTTTAAACCACTCACACGGGGAAAGTCCCCTACTCTTTTCAATAAGTGTGGTGGGTTCTTTAACGTGCGTGGGGTGTGGCTCTCCCAAACACGGGACTTCCATTTTACCAATCCGATTACTATCCGAGGGACGTCCCTAGCCGAAGTTAGGTACTCATCTACACCTAAGTTAAGTGAGGAAAGTCGTGTAAAGTGCTCAAGGGCATAAGATCGGTGACACCGAGCAGGATTCGAACCCGGGACCTATTGGGCCTAGGCCAAAGACCCTACCGCTACGCTACACGACCCCACTATTAAAATGGTATTGTAGTTTATTCAGAACGGAGGTTTATCAGGATTTGTGGAGTTCCCCATGGATACTCTACACTCTCGATTCCAGGAGGAGGGAGCACTGAAAGAACTAAAACGAATACTACAAGACCCCACCAACCCCTGCAATGACTTTATCCTACCAAGAGAGAACACGGCATATAATCTTAGGAAGAACACGTACAGCAATCAGTATAAACTCCTACTAAGCAGATCGGACAGACACAAAAACTCCTTCATTGTGAGAGCCGTAAAAGACTTGTAAATGTGTATTTCAAACTGAAATTGTTACTATCTTAATCTACGTGTTCTTAATGATGATGATTTTTAAATGCTGATGAAGTTTTTAATCTACGTATTGTAACGATGTCTGTATATTAATGATGGTAAAATATCAATGTGATTCAGACGTGCCCGAAGTACTTTAATAAAGATTTGATTTGATACCAGGATGGGTCTCCTCCCGTGTTGTCATGCCAGACGTGCACGGCGTTCAGCTCGCCCAGCCGGCGGTCCGAGGACAGCACAAACGTGTCCACTGCGCCCTGTCTGAACGTGACGCGATCCACATCCTCCAACACAACAGGACCCGCTTCACCGGACTCTCCAAACAGTTTCATGTACACCTGTAACGTTAGATCCAAACAGTTTCATGTACACCTGAAAAATTAGTCCCAAAATGTTATGTGCACCTGCAACATTAGACCCAAACGGCTTCATGTACACCTGCAACATTAGACCCAAACAGCTTCATGTACACCTGTAACATTAGACCCAAACAGTTTCATGTACACCTGTAACATTAGATCCAAACAGCTTCACGTACACCTGTAACATTAGACCCAAACAGCTTCATGTACACCTGTAACATTAGATCCAAACAGTTTCATGTACACCTGTAACGTTAGATGCAAACAGTTTCATGTACACCTGCAAAATTAGATCCAAACAGTGTCATGTACACCTGCAACATTAGACCCAAACACTTTCATGTACACCTGTAACATTAGATCCTAACTGTTTTTATGTACACCTGTAACATTAGACCCAAACAGTTTCATGTACACCTGCAACATTAGATCGAAATCGTTTCATGAACACCTGCAACATTAGACCCAAACAGTTTCATGTATGTACACCTGCAATGTATTAAAGACCCATGCAGTTTTGAAACACCTGCACCATTATAGTTGAAATAGTTTTGTTAACTTGTGACATTATATCCAAATGTATCTGTGACAGTTACACCTGCAACATTAGATCCAAGACGTTTCTGTACACCTTCCGTGACCTGCGACATTATAACATTAGATTCGAACAGTTTTTGTACACCTGCGGCACTAGATCCAAATAGTTGTTGTGTTGAACCTGCGACTTTTCTAACAAAAATAGACTGACAATACTATTCTTATTGGTTACATCATATATATGGTAGGAAAATTAAAAGGCCCACCCTTGCTGTTGTGCCAGCGTTCGTCCGGGGTCCAGTAAAGACCATGATCCTGTAGAAGTGGCCGTGTCCTCGTTTAGAAGCCCTTAACAGTGTGGCTCCCACCTAAACAGGTAGAAATAGTTCATGTTAGAGACAAAGTCAACCAAAGTAGCCTTGTTGCTTTAAGAGAGCGAGCAGAAAGCATCTGTTGACTACAAGGCAACATCAAATGCACCGTACTCTCGGCTCAAGGCCGAACAAAATAATACCAGGCTACGCATATAAGATCAAGGACATATGTGACTGTGGAGCTTCTTCGAATTCTCAAATTCAGCCCTAGTTTTTCCTAACATTTAATTGTACAGATATTTATGTATTTTGATGTATTGTTTGCTTTTATTTAACCGTTGTATTTAATAATGTTCTGACTTGTGCTCCACGTGTATTTCTGTTGCAATTTGAAGAAAGAAAGAAAGAAAGAGAAAGAAAGAAATTATTTATGAACGTTGGGTGTACGTTAATTGTTGATTAGGAATTTTTAAAGTAAGCATAATGTAAAAAAAAAATAATGCACCTTCTTGGCATCTTCTTTGTCCTTGTGCCTTCCCCAGATCACCAACAAGAGATACAGACCAAAAATAACGCTGACACAAATGACTACAGCTGGGTTTTCACCGATGTTTAGGAACCCTGTAAGACAACATCTTAACAATATTATAGTCTTTATTTCTACACTGGATACATGTTAGGTAAAACATTACTAGTGCACTATGCAGTGTTGGCATTTCAATGCGACGTCTTGAAAAATGTATTGGAAAATCTGATGCACGTTATAACTTACCCTGCAGAGCCTGAAGGATGTTAAGAGAATTCGGGGCAACGAAGAAGGTGAATCCCGATCCAAACGACGTCAGATGGTCACAGAAGCAGTGGGAGAACCGGTCACTCGTGAGCGGGCCGGCCTGTGATAATGACGATTGTCATATAGAAGAAACATCGCTCACTGCTGATAATTCTACATCATTAGACAAATAATAGACTGACTACCTCAAAGAAAAAAGTCAAACCCAGCAAAACTAGTACCACGTATGTCGTAGAATGTAGTATAATGTAGTACGTAGTCTTATGTATCATTGTATTTTCTTTTTCATATAGGTTGTTTTTACAGGCAATGCAGACCGAATGATGTGCCCATTCTAGGACGAGCTTCATCGCCTCTGGCGGGACCACGTCGGCATTCGGCCGAGATACGCTGGGAGGGGGGGGGGCACCAGCAAGCAGGTCGTTGACCTCTGACATTAATAACACGCTACCTTGCGTGTTTTCATTAAAAAAAATGGAGATTAGGAGAATCATGATCGGGCACTGTTCGAAAGGAATGTGTGGCACGTGGACCAGGTGTGTGGAATGTGAGTTACCCGAATCACGGTTTGGGTGTTTTCATATGAACAAGGCCTTAGACGCTTATGCAGTAAGTCAGCCAAAAAGAAGATTGCGCAATCTACGTACCTTACAGCCGTCGGAAAGCCATGCCTGTGTGTCTTCATTAAAGAAAAGACAGGTCGTTGTGAAGATCTGCATGGTGTAGTTGGTTGTGAAGTTGACGTGACTGTATTCCGTTTCAAGTCCCTGATCTACGCTCCCGGCTTCAGCATAGGGGACATGGTCCACACCTGTTGGTGCACATGTGGGTCAGCTTTCATGCGTTACAATTACTTTTTCACAAGCTCGATCCGAAGAGAACCATGTTTCCCGTCTATTTCACAGACAAACACACCCAATTAGGGTAGTGAGCTCACCGTCACGAATGGTACAAAGTATGAAGTGGTTCTAAAATAGATCTCTCTCTCTCTCTCTTTCTCTCTCTCTCTCTAATATCTATTTATCTATCAATCTATCAATCAATCTATCTATCTATCTATATATCTATCTATCTATCGAATTGGGCAACTTTTCAGCACTAGTCAAAACTTGAAATGAGACTTTTGTAGAATATATTTTTATAGCACGTTGATGAAGGTTAGACATCCAGGTAATACAATACGCCAAAAAGCAGTCTCAAGCAATTGGATATGATTTTTTCAAGATCATCTCCAGTTGCTTGAGTAACTGCGTTTTGGCGTATTGTATTACCTGGATGTCTAACCTTCATCGACGTGTTATAAAATGTATTTATAGCACTACTATTTAAACCACTAGCTACAATAAAGTATAGTTCATATTCCATCCTATTGGAGTCGCAAAATTTACAATTTGGTTCAGTTTGGTTGCGGTTGTGATGCTTATTCGTAATTAAGTAATGGTGATTCTTTGTTGTACGTTTTAAATTTCAAGATAGTCTTGTTCATTGGTATAAATCATCAACTTATCAGATTTTAGATTTACCAGGTTTTATTTCTTACGTCTCCTATGTTCAAAAAGTAGAATTTAGTATCGCAAAAAGATTAGATAAAATGCGTAAGCTCATCGGCAAGTGGTTTTGTTCTTTTGAAAATGACATTTAGATCTACGTTTTGTTCAGCTATTGTTTGTTTATCGCAACGGGGGGTGTCATTAATTTTTTCTATGGTCCTTATTATCTTCTGGTTTTATGTATCAGTTTTGTTGTTAGACATGTTGTGCCATGTTTTTTTTCGTTATTGATTTTCGAAAGACATAACGTTATCTACAATTAAGATTTAGCTCATGACAATTTAGCTCATGACAATTAAATGGTTAGTGCTACCCAGTAAGTACTGTCTTGTTTTGGACTTATAGGCGACCTGCACTCGGGTGGTGTAGTGGTTAGAGCAATAGACTGTGAACCGGGAGACCCGGGTTCGATTCCAAGTCGTACCCGGGACATGTATGAACATGCGCCCCGACGTTGCCCTTGGGAAAGGCACTTTACACGACTTTCCTCACTCCACCCAGGTGTAAATGGGTACCTAACTTTGGTTGGGGAAAGTCGTATTGAGGTCACCTTGTGGCGCCGAATGGCAGCCGCACAGACCCTTGCGACAGTTCCACAAAATTATTGTGGAATGAATGTGTGTATCATTTGTATTATTTGAATGTTGTAATTGTTGTGACTTGTATTGATTATTATGTGATACCCTGCATCAATTCAGCCGTATAAAGGCTGCGACTGCACGGGTGCTGTTTGGACAATAAAAAAAAAATTAAACAGTTATTATTTATTACTCACCCAATGTATATTCTCCGACTCCACCAACAGTCACGATTTCATCAGCAGAAATGAACCAGTTGAAAACACTTTGGTCCATGCTTTGGTTGTTCCAGAGCTGGATCTTAAAGGTTTCATCATCTGTATAAACAACACCGTGGTTTCTATGATGATACAGGTAACTACATACGGATGCTGTATTAAGAACGTAAATAGTATGTTTTTGGAGGGTTATAATTAGAATAGTTAGAAAAGAAGAAATACATTGTATCGGCACTTCTCATTTTTAGAATGCTTTGATGAACAAATTCTGTTCTATGGTGTTACAGGAACGATATGATCTATAAATCGTGTATTAACCGTAACACATTGAGTACATGAACTACTTGGGTAGGTTGTAACGCATCACTACAACTTCAAAAATACTCTAATCTTCAAGTCAGTGCATTAATTATTGGGTATTGCGTTCAGCTTAAAACATTATATAGACAGACAGGGAAACATTTTTGTAATTCAAATTTTACCTCCTTGAAAAATGGAGGTATTTTTTTGGTATGTCTATTTATGTGTGTGTTTGTGTTTGCGCGCGCGTGTTTGTGTGTGTGTGTGTGTGTGTGTGTGGATATGGTTATAAAAGGCTACCTGTATGTGAAAGAATTTGTAAATATTGTAATGCAAAGGCTGTGGAAGACGAAATACACTACATCTCAAATTGTTTCTTTCATAGCAACGCTCGAAATGAGTTGACTATTCAAACTTCTACAATTTATCCCAATTTTACTAAACTTACAGACCAAGAAAAAACTATTCTTCTTTTAACTTCCCAAAACCCGCTTATTTTAGAAAAGGTGGGACATTACGTCTTCCATAGCCTAAAAACGAGAAGTCAAACCCCTTAGACATAGTTTTAGACCTAGCTATAGCTCTAGACAACTACCTTTTATCATGTAGATTTTAGTTATTTTATACTACGTTTCGTTGTTCTTTTATGTTTGTAATCTGCAATTAGCCCCCTGGGCATGAATTTGCAATAAACTTCAATCTTGTCCTAGAGGGAGAAAGTCATTAATCACATCTACATCTGGTAGTGCTGATTTTGCAGGTGTTTCGTTACATGACTTCCTTGGCAACCGGTGTTGTTTCCCTTGCACGATAAAGAAACACTTGTGGACACTATTGTGAACGAGAAAAGGGCTTAGTAACCATCACACAAGATCTAAATATTTTATATATGGAGGTCTGAGATCTCCGCATTCCTGTTTACATTACTTTGTATCAATCCGTATACGTACAAAGCATTTATAGTTAACATTTCCAAATTAAGAATCATTTCGCACAAGTTGGCAATACAAAAATATATGCCCGTTAACCAGAGACAATGTCCCACATGTGAAGAAAGTTTTGAAAATGAGTACCATTGCCCTTGTACCAATGACTTATCCTGCCTATTCTACCGACAAAAATTAATAAATGTTATCACATGTAAAGCTACTAAACCTTTCCCAAAGACAAACACGGACATTTTCAATGTACTTATGTCACGCCCCGACCCCATATCTGCGAACTCAGGTCAGTATACATGTAGCGCCTTACAAAAGTACACCATGTCAATACACCGTTAACGTTCATATTCCTGTAGTAATAGTTCCTTAGAATAGACGTAACGTAACTCCGGATAAGTTCACACAAACTCCACATAGAAAAGGGAAGACACAACCACATTCCTCTACAGCAAAGGATCTGCCAATTTTGTAATCTAGATTATATTGAAGATGAATGCCATTTTGTAGTTGACTGCACATTATATAGAAATGAGAGGGATTCCCTCTATACTTATGTGATAGATAAGTTCCCAAGCTTTAGACATTTAGATAGAATAGAAAAATTCGAATTCCTCATGAAACGTGACAAACCATGTATCATTAGCTCAATATGTTCGTACACCTTTAACTGCGTCAAGAAGCGAGAAGAAGCTGAACCTGTAAATAGTAGATCACATTAGTTTATATAGTATGTAAGTGTCATTACTGTTTTCTTTTCCCTGTTTACCCATGACTTGTACTTAGTTCGTTAGAGCACAAGGGTACAATAAAGGTCCTTCATTCATTCATTGATCACTTTGTCGTTGTCGCTATAAATTGTACCATGTACAACTGTCGATCAAAGTTTCATTCATACATTACTTACCTGGCCGAGGCAGGGTGGTGTTGAGGTCGAAGTCGGTGCGAGTGGGGCGGTTGTTCCGCCTGAGGTACAGGCGGAGGGAGACGTTCTGCTCCACCGACAACACTGTGATGTGGATCGAGCTGCCCTCTTCTGACACGTTAAAGGAGTGCATCTAGGACAGAAAAGCACTTTAAAGATCCCACCGCACTTATCGAATAGAGTGTCCTTCCCGAGTGATTTCAGGCAGTTTGTACACAGCTTGTTGCCACTGGACACAACTGGGGCGTGTTATTACGCCTAAAAGAGGTTTAGCGGTTATGCAAAAAAATAATAATAAAAACTGATGTTGACTATTAGAAATGTTTCTCGACAACCTTGCCGATTAAATCGGTCATTGGATTGATGTGAATAGTTTCTCTGAAAGTGCTAGACTTCATCTTGTTCTCAGAGGCCATTTGACGATAACCTTACGAATACTGTGAAAAAATTATGTTGCTGGCCCTATCTTATATAAGAGACACTGAACGTTTCTATTTGTAATTCCTTTGTACATTTTTGTGTGATGGATGTACCTAGTACTTAATATAATATATTGCTGCATGGGAGGGCATAGAGGTTTTCAGCGCACAACACTTATTTCTCTACTTTCTATTGATCAGATACAAGTTAAATGTCAAGTGGAGCTGTTAAAAAAGTGTATAACTTGAGTGAACTTGAGTGCAGTCCCTCATTGTCCTTGTATTGTTCTTTGTGAGACTAACCGACATGGCTTGCTGCCAGGACGGAACGGTAGATCCCTGCTCCGTGGCAGTCGGCAGTCCTTCCGTGCGCTCTGTCACGATCTGCACGGGCTCGGTAAGCCTGCTGACCGCCAGAGGACCTCCCTTCCCCCGGACCTGCAGCCCGTTCACAGACGACTCCACCGTGTCCGAGCTACCGGAGTAGGCGTAAGGGTTTTTCTTGGACTGGAAGTTCTGAGTGAAAAAAAATACTTTATTGTACGACAATTGTACATGGTACAATGTATATCATAGTACAAACAAGACTGGCAATGAAAACATACATTGCCATGGCGACGGTGGTTGCTGTTAGGGTTATTGTTTGCATGACACTGCCATTGTTTCATGATTTTGAGGAAGCCTTGGTACCCTCCTCTCCCCTGAGTGTAGAGCGAATGAGCCCCGGGGTCAAAGAAAGTAGGGCATACGGGGCAGACAGGTTTTTCCAAGGGTTTCCAGGAATGTGGGCTTGTCAACAAACAGAGCTGGAAGACATTCCTGTAGACATTCCATGCCTGTGGACAAAATTCCTGTACAATTCCTAGAATTCTGGCGAACTACCTACAATACTGTACCATTCGGCTCCTCCCTGAGACGTCGCCAAAAAGAGTATAAATTATATATTAAATGAAACATCCTTGTTACGAAACATGTAATATTCAATCAAGTAGGGCTAATCATGAGTTTCGGCATTTTTTTCTAATAACAAAACATTTCTCGTTGAAAAGAGAACAACCGTTCTTTCAGCAAGGTACAGGCCTTGTTATTTCTCTATACCTCACCTGACATGAGAGACCTAGAGTATGTTAAGGTCATATAGCAGGAATAAAGGAGTAAGAGTACTATATTTAAAAACCACCAACCTCGGTTCCAACGGAACTTTCTCCCCTGCAACTTCCACCCAACAGCGTGCTAGTGCCAGGGACGACGAAGAAGTTTTGCGATGTTTCACTGGTTCTGATGACCTTTGGGGCTGATGACGTCACGCTACATCGCTCTTTATCAACGGCGATTCCAAATGTTCCAAACTCAAACGTTGTCTTGCTCTCATCCGGGGTCTTTCGATCCAAGATGGCGCCGTTCACATTCCCCATTGCCCCGAACATTGTTGTGGTTGCCTGTTGGTTCTGTATCAGATATAGTAATCCACCATAAACAGCCAGCTTGTTATGATTCACGAATAAATGTCATGGTAAAGTCTCCGATTTGGTAGAATCGGCTATTCTGCTGGCAGAGTCTTTGTCAGTAGAATCGGCGTCTCTACCCTGACATATACCTACACTCACTCTGACTTATTTTTTTTTGTTGAGATCCTCTCATGACCCGAAAACTAAAGCGAGCGGGCGAATGAAAAAAGTCCAGCCAAAAAAACTGGTGCAAATCCACAGGAATATGAAAGCTGGTATTGTGAATTTGCGGTTATACATGACAACCTTTAGTGGGCACACGCTAGGTTTTTGTGGCATTTATGAGTCGGCACAGGTGCATCACACTGAATTCTAACTCTGAGTTTTGTGGAAATTCGGTACTCTGGGTGCAATCTTCTGTAGCTACCACAGGCTCCCTATTGTCGGTAGCTTCCATGGACGACGGAGGATGGTACCCAGGCTTCAGCCTTGGAGTTTTTTGGGAACAGGCGAAAAGCAGTACACGCGCGCGAATGTCATCCATGTTTGGTGTCACTTATGGTCACCTGCATCACGTAGTCAAATACCTCATTACATAGAAGTGGTTTCGTATCGTTAGACATGATTCAATTCTGCATCAGCCATAATCAAACTGATGATGATATAAGTAATGTATCTTATATCATCATCATATCGTTCGTTCTCTCTAGCATGACAAGCCACTGAAACATCAACGGACAGTGGCTTCCAATGTCTTCAAACTGAACGTTCGCTAACATATGGCATACTTTGTTTACGTTACTGAAATACTTCAACATTTTCAACGTTAATTGGACTTTGAAATATATGATTTTACTTTTGCAAGCTGCGTTTGCCCCTCTTCTGATGCTCCGGAGCGTCTCTGAGCAGTGGCAGATGTGGACGAAGCTTGGAGAGTGTTTACAACGACTGTGAAAATAAAAGGACATATAAAGCACAAAATAAATTACAGGTAAATACACCCACTTATGCTTAGGTCACATTTCCAAAGCGGGACCCGACCGGGCAGTTTGTATGAAGGAAAAATTAACAATCCATATCAAGAATATACAGAAATAGTGCCCATGATTGTTACTAAGAACTTTTCAGCGTTTTGTTTGTTTTTTTTGTCTTTCATATCGAATTTTTGTTCCCAAAAGCTGCCCGCCCGGGCCCCGTTGGGAATTGTGACCTCAGCATAAGTGTTGGTCTGCCCACAAGGTGTGGTGCATGGTTTCTTTGCTTACGCTTAGGTCCAAATTGCGCCGGTGCTCGTCGGGGATGTAGTCCCGACTGGTCCCTTGCTGATCTGTGACATAAGAAATTCGTCCCGGTGGACTGCCGGCAACATATCGGTGTTCTCACGGTTAGGTCACGGCGTCTTTTTGTCAGTGGGGCCCAGGCAGAGATTAAGAACTACATTCTTCTCGGGTCCCCGCCGGGCCAAAAAAATAGCTCGGTAGCGGCAGGGTGTCCCGCGGGACCACGTAGGGGTCACGGCTTAAAGTGGCAAAGACAGCCCGGGAACTACCCGGCAGGGCCCCCTTTTCAAATTGGGACCGACGCATGACAGGGTGAGACAGTACTAGTAATACATTATGTCATGTAAGGCAGGCTATATGTAGCAAGTGTAATCACGTAATTACTATGTGCGTTGATGAAGGTTAGACATCCAGGTAAACGATACTCGTAAGAAAATTCAAACTACTACTTGATCAGTTACGGATTTTTTTCATTTACGGATTTTTTCTAGTTACTTGTATATAAGAGTGAATCGGTTCTCTGTTCATTTGTGACGCTGAAGAATGATGGTGATGAGTGATGGATGTCACTCGAAACGTCCGGAAATAAAAATCCGTAACTGATCCAGTAGTAGAGTTTGAATTTTCTTACGATTAATTACTATGTGGTTAATCAGCATGAACAAATACCATTACTAAGTATTTCCTCACAAATCATCAAAATTCACCAAAACCAATATGGGAGTAAAGTATTGGCTAAGACAACTTGAGAGTTGGTCAGTTACAACAGGGGAGTATTGTCAACCTACTGGTTATTGGAGAAATAATGGGAGCCCAAATAAAGTATATCCATCTACAATAGTAGAATTTTCTACTTGTGACATTACAAAGTTATACGGACCACTCAACACATTTCCAGCTGAGGCTTCCAGACCTTCTGCACCCAGGTCCTGTACGGACTGACTGCTGAGAACCTGGGACATCTTCAGTGCGATAGAAGATGAGGAAACCTGAAACAAAGAGAAGACAAAGCGTAAACCCACATGATAGACGCAACTGGCGGGCTACCATCAAACCTTTGTATTAGATTGCAAGTCCCCCGGGAGACTGGGAACAACTGACGTCACTAGTAAGTGTACTTTTAAGTACTGTTCTCCAACAGACTCGGTCTTCATCAGCTTTCTGACCCGAATATTGTTGAAACGTGATGGATCAAAGTTCATCGGAAGTCGATACCGCCCCCCGTCCCGGCGGAGAGAAGGTTGGTATGCCCGGACGTAGATAGCTTCCTCGTCGTATGAAGACCGAGCGAATTGGTCGAAAATTTCGGTGAGTCAATTTTCTTGAGTCGGAGAACAGTTTAATTCTCATTATTCATCTTACATACCAACTGTGATGAACTTTCATGCAAGTGAGTGTACTTGTGTGGGGATGTTACTGTACCATTTCAATGGCAAGTGCGTTCTAAAAACACATCCTCTTTACCTGAGCATCAGGCGTGACTTGGTCATCAGCAGCAGTGACCTGACCAAGCGCGCTGGCCAGGACGTTAATGTTGTCTACAGTCTGCACCTCCACGCTTTCCAGCGCAGTCACCAGCTTGCTTCTCGCCTGAAAAACATCAGACTTCCTGTCAGTTCTGCGTTTGTTTAGAAACGTGGTTCTGGCTCATTAAATATTATTGATGCTTTTAGTATTATTACGTACGGACTTAATTTTCGCCTGTAGAATAGCAAGGATGCTTACTAGCGTTATCGCTAAACTTAGTTTGCAAGACAAAGCAATGAATTGAAACATGGCAAAATAACATGGTCATGTTACAGTAAAACGACTATAGAACACCAGAAACTCATCACTCAAATATCCTCCAACACCAAGTCAATGAACCTATCGTTGAAACCACGCAAGTGTAAGTCCATGTCTATCGTGAGCGGCAAATCAACGGACATTAGCTTCACGATCGCGGGAGACCCTGCTAAAACAACTAAAGATGCACCGGAGAAATTCCTGGGAGGCTACATAACATTCTCAAGCAAAACAAAAGAGACTTATGACATTTTGGTGAAAACAGTAGAAACAACTATCGAAAACATAAACAAATCAGCCATAAGAAACGAATACAAACTCAGGGTATACATGGAGTATGCTTTCCCATCTTGGAGGTACATGTTGATGGTGCATGATCTGACAGATACACAGTTACAAAAGCTTGATGCTATCCACACAAAGGCGATCAAAACTTGGCTGAAAATGCAACCCAGTGCTACAAACGCTATCCTGTACAACACCAGGGGTCTCAACTACAGAACCATATCAGACCTGTACCTTGAAGCCCACACTCTAGCCTACAGTAGGTCCACTCTCATAGCCGACAACAAGGTGAAACACGCTGTACAGGCCAAATTAGACCGCGAATCGCAGTGGACAAGGAAAATGCAGAAACGGGGTATTAAAACCTGCCACACCATCCACCAACAAGCCACCTGCGCGGCAAAAGACTTAGAATGGCCTTCAGTACGTAAACACATCAAACAACAGGTGGCTGACATGCGCCATGATGTGTGGAGTCAGCATCAGAAGAACCTACTGCAACAAGGACACATGCTACAACTGCTTGAGGAGGAGAAGTGTGATCTTACGTGGCGGTCAACCATCTACAACTTGCCAAAGGGTATTTTAAGTTTCGCGGTGCGCGCCTCCATAGACGCCCTGCCTACCTTCTGTAACCTGGCGACGTGGGGGAAACGTAGCAGTGACAGATGCAAACTGTGCGGGAAGCGGGAAACACTTCACCACGTTCTGAACCACTGCAGTGTCTCTCTTCAACAAGGACGCTACACATTCCGACACAACGCCATACTGAAGCACATAACGGACAGCATACAGGACGCCATTGACCTCTCACAGATCACCGCCACTGTATATGCCGACATCCAAGGACACACGACCAACGGGGGGACTCTGCCGGTACACATACTGCCTACAACACAGAAACCTGACTTAGTCACTTACCTTCGAGAACAAAACACAATCCATATTCAGGAACTGACCGTGCCGTTTGAACAGAATATCAAAACCAGTCACGACCGTAAGGTCAACAAGTATGCAGCCCTAGCGGCAGACCTGAGAACAACAGGCATCACCACAACTCTTACCTGCTTCGAGATCGGATCCAGGGGACTCATCACACCCGACAACAAGAGCAGACTTAGGACACTGTTTCATGTAGTTAAGTCAAAACCACCAAAGAACTCCTTTAAAGACATTAGCCGCATTGCCATTTTATCGTCCTATGCTATATGGAATGCACGTCACGAGCCGAATTGGGACTCAGATACCTCACTGTAACTACATTGTACTTATCATTAATACCGGCCTACTCCCTGAAATAATAACGTGGTTAAGTCGCATTAGATAGAAGTGGTAATCTTTTTAAGCCAAAGTCTAAAAATTCTTGTGATAATTTTAATGAAAACAGTGCAATATTTAAGGAAACAGTGCAATATTGTATGTCCTGATGTATTGTATAGTGTCATACATGTATGTGTAATGTCTCCCTGCATGTTCGGTCAGTTATGGCCGATGTGACCTGGGATCAATGTTTCTTTCTTTTGTTTGTGAATAAAGAATGATTTTACTACTAGAATGAAATAAAAGAAGAGGTGCAAGTCTACAATATGCTTAGGGCACCTTTCCATACCAGCACTCGCTCGCTTGTGTTTGGGTGAACAAAAAAAAAAACAATTCATTTTAATAATATATACAGTCAAATACTATCCATGATTAGGTTTTAGAATTTTTTTTTTGTGTTTGTTGTCTTTTCTATCATACTTTTCGTTCCTGAAAGACCTGGCCGGGCCCAGGGCTAGAGGCTTAGCATAGCTGGTAAATCTATGTATGCATCACGGCGTGATAGTTTGGTGTCCAGTCTATCGTGGCTGGGGCGGGTTTTCTTCGGAGCTGCATGAGCTCTTCCCCGCTCGACTCAACTAGGTTCCCCGGTGGGATTTGCACGACGAGAGTTAAATTATCAACTCCTGGCGTGCAAAACTCCTGCAAGTGTAACACTCCTACCGGGTGGTCTATTGAGCTGGACGGGGAAAAAACTATTAGAGCCCCGAAGACAGCCTGCCCCATGGTCAACTACAATAGATTGGATACCAGACTATACTGAGTAGGGTTCGACGTGGTTTGTCACCTCTTGTGCTGCAGTTATACTCTCATTTGTTGCGTCCTGAGACGGTGTGTTCAACACGGAGCCGATACTACTGGCCAGCTGTAGAACTCCCTGTGAGTTTCCAGTGACCAGAAGGTTGTCAAGATCGGTGGTGAGATTCCCCAGAGCTGCAACAGTCTCCTCTGCACTGGGTAGCTGCACCTTTATGAAAGAATGAATGAATGAAAGGTTTATCTATCCATCAATATTCATAAAAAATATAGCAGGTATAGACTGAATTGTGTGTTTCTATACACATGATAAATCAAAAAGTGCAACACTACTTGTCAATTACTTAAACACAATAAATAAAATTAACAGGGAATTATTCTTAAAAAACAGGCTAGTCTGGTGTGTACAAATCTCAACGTTCTATGACTGTGTGTAGGTTTTGCTATCACAATGGTACTGTTAGTTTGATTAATGGACAATCGGATGTACTATTCTAAAATGGTTTTGTTCTTGTTCTGAAAGTAGCATAAGGACATGATTACGTATAAAGCATTATGTAATATTTTACACCAAAATTGAAATATTTTATTTGCAAAAATACTTCATGTGATTGTAATTTCTTTTCATATTTAAACATATTTGTGCAATTATCTTTTCTAACATTTCTGAAATTTATGGTTGGTGCTAACTGCTAACAAACAAGGCCCACTCAGTTTGTGGTGCCACCACAAAAGCAGAATGTAAACAAACACGATTAAAAGCTGTGTTTTTAGCTTTAAACAAATGGGTATAGCATCATATTTTCACAATTCCAGTTCCTGAAATATCACTTATTTACAATAGAGTAGGATTGATTCAACTTACCTTGTAAAGAAATTGCCAGAAAATTTACCTCTTATATCATCCTAATGTTACACAATGTAACTTTAAGTTATTGATACACATAGTGAATCGTGAAACAGCTCAGTCTGAAGAGCAGTTATGACAAAAATAACAACACTTAATGATATTCAGATAACCGTCAGTATGTAATGATATCTTTGGCTCTGATGTATCTGATAATGTTTATTGTTCAGTATGCACTTGTACAGATTTAAGGTTTATGATTGTGAAAAAGATACTGCTTACCTGCACTGTCATGTTATTGGAGTACGCTACAGCTCCAAATGCGTCTGACACATGAACTCGAAGAGTGACGTTGAAATCACGTGACTCTTGTCCAACAGGCAAAAGCGTAGGAGGTAGCTGGCTTTGCTGTCGGAAGAATTAATAAAAATGCGTTAAGGACGGGGAAATTAGTTTCTCTATAACATTATCTTCAGTTCCAAATTTGCAAACTCCATTGTGAACACAGCCAGGTATCAGAATATAGCACACACACACGCACGCACGCATGCACACACACACACACACACACACACACACACACAGAAACACACATGCGCGCGCACACACACACACAAACACACACACACATACACACACACAAACACACACACACATACACACACACACACACACACAGAAACACACATGCGCGCGCACACACATACGCCCGTACACACACACACGTACGCACACACAAGCACACAAACACACACACACATGTACACACACACACACACACACACACACACACGCACGATATACATGTAAACAGATAGATAGGGAGACTATACTATAAGCAGGTTGATGTTCAAAAACAATATTGTAAAAGAAGCTAGCAGAACGTTGTGCGTTTTGACTTACTGGTCCACTGAAGAGTACACTGAACGCTGCAGTCTGCCCATCGTTGTAGTGAAGAGCGTATATCAGTGGCCTGTCTGAGTCTTGAAATCCTGTGTAAGAAAAGTGAATAAAAATAAGGCCATGTTGACTTGATTATATGGATGACATCCGCGCGCGCATGAATTTTCGGCCGTTTCCAAAAAAAAAAAGTTTTCAACCATACTGTAAATCGTACAAAACAGTTGTAAAATGAGTAAAAATATACCGTAAGTTACAAAAAAATAAGTAAAAACTATACCAATGTCGTAGAATGACAAAATCAAACAAAAAGACGAAATTGTAAGGAAATGAACTTGAAGATTAGATTATTCGCCAAACCATATTCTGTCCCATTTGTTCAACCCTCATGACCACGTAGATTTCAGAATGAAAACATTCTTTTTTTTTTCAAAACTTTTTTTTTTATTCGCACGCGCGCATCAATTTTGGGGTTCCCGGAGGATGTCATCCATATAATCAAATCAACATGGCCTAAAGAGAAGTTACAGAGGCAAGAGGAATTGATACAAATCAACTACATATAACATGTGCTCAAAGAACGATCACCGCGAGCGGTACAAATGTCCTGATTTGAAAACAATTGTCGCGATTACAATATAAAATTACGGTAAGTTATATTGACATTTAAAGATTTAATGTACGTTATACACGTTATAAACTACGTTAATTTTGTATCGACTTTTAGTTTGTATATATTTTTTTTAAATTCTTGTATCGATCGTTAACTTTTATTTGGATTTTTCCTCACACTCAAAAACGCCAACAGGCGATATGGTTACTTTGAAGGAACAAACAAACAAACAAACAACCAGACTGGTCGTTTTACTTGTTTTGTTACACCATCACATTTTGCACTTTCTTGTTTTATCTTAATTGATATTTGCACGTTATTTTTTTTCCTTGATGTTTCTTTAAGTTGTATGCGTGGAGAAGAGAGGGCCTCGATAATATGTTTTTTTTGCCCAATCGTCTACAAGTAAATGTGAATGAAATAAACAAACAAACAAATAGATAAACAGATAGTGTGTACCTCTGCAGGACACTGAGAACATGGTACTGGTGGTTGTACCAGAGGCAGGAGTGACGGAACATGTTCCGGGAGTAGGCGGTTCATTCACGTTCACCTGTGCCTCTGTAAAGCCAGCTCCGCCCAAACCTTCGGACCCAGAACTCGACCTGACATCCAGCCTCAGTGTGTACTCCCCCGGTACCTGTCACCCGACATAGTCACGTTATGGTTTCAATCAATCAATCAACCAAACAAACAAACAAACAAACAAACGATCGATGATCGATCGATCAATTAATCAATCAATCAATCAATCAATCAAATGGTTTATTTGTAAAAACAAACAAGAACTTGTACCCGTTGGCTATATTGTGTCTTGCTGTACAATTCGCTTCCTTAACATTTCTGACATAACAAATGAAAACTGATACGTCATTCGATAAAATCCATATCGTTACACATTAATTACCTAAGAATAACAGTTTTTATAAACCGTATACTTTATATACAAATCAGCCAGCATTGTATTTAGAGGATCTGTTCTCTCAAACCTAATCTTGAGGCCTGTTGTGTTTTGACCAAAGGAGCATTCAAATCAACACGGTGGGATTTTTTGCTTCAGTAGTAATGTCTAAGTCAAAAGTCTAAGTCAAAAGCAGGAAGTTAACAAAGCTTAAAAAAGCAGAACATTACCAAGACATTCCATAACTTCCTTTTTAGTTTATGCTGACGAACACACACACACACACACACACACACACATTCACACACACACGCACACACAAAAACACACACAGACACACAAAGACACACACACACACACACACAGGTAGACACAGACACACACATTCACACAGGTAGACACACACACACACACACACACACACACACACACACAGGTAGACACACACACACACAGGTAGACACAGAGACACCAACATGAAAACGGAAAATAAAAATCTTAACTATATCTACGGTAAAAGAAGCTAACCGTTAAGACGTTGGCTTTGACCGCAAGATCTTGCGAGGTTTTCCCGGTGGCGGTATCCGCAGCCCAGTCCAAGTCAGCTCGCCCGAAAGAGGCAGGAGAGTTTGTTAATGACCACAGGTAGGCGGTGTCTGGTGGGCAGTTTTCACAGGACGTCACTAGAACAAGCCTCTCGGACGGGTTGATCCGGTCGTTACAGTTGACAAAGCAACTGGGTGTGATGGGGATTAAGACAAACATTTGGTGTTAACAAAGTATTTTTTTAATTTATCATTTTTCTTTCGTTTATTAAAGGAATATTACATATAAATAGATACAAAAATAAAACCGTGGCAAGCCCCCCTAATACAAATATGTTCGTCTCGAGTATTATCAATATCAGAATAGTGTAAAGATGGCATATTTTGCATATAATAAACATTTCGTGTTAACATAGTATTAGTAGTACGTACTGGAACTGACTGACAATAGTAGTAGTTAGCTGTAGTAGTAGTAGTAGTAGTAGTAGTAGTAGTAGTAAGTAAGTAAGTAAATAAACGTAAGAAAATGCCATGGCGATAAAAGCTATCTACCACCCAGATTTCGTGACCCTAAATCACGAAATATCAAAACTGTATAAGTTTTGCTGTAGTCACTCGGGAGCCCAAAACGTAATCAATTTTTAAATTGACCTTAAAAGGTCTCATTAAGGTATCATGTTTCAGGACAATCAATCCATAACTTCTTGAGTTATCGTGCTAAAGCACATACATTACATATATATACCCGAAGGTGCATTTTCTGTACAATTCCTAAAATTCTTGCAGACTGCACACAATAATATAGCATTAGGCTCACGCCTGAGGCGTCGCCAAAAATGCATTTCAACAAAGAATGTAGAACGACGTCTAAACGTTCAAGGGTTTCTGAAGATGCGACCACTAACCTTATAAGAACATTCAGCACTTCGCCATCCTTAAGCTCGACGACTTGTGAGTACGGAACGGATGTTCTACTGCCGTGGCTAATCTGGACCGAGAAATTAAAGATTTCGGACTCGGCCGGCAGAGACGACACAGGGATGGAAAAGGAAGGCCTGTTGTCTTCCTGTCCAAAGACATCGTTACAAATTGTCCCTATCCAATGAGAAAAGTAGTGTTGTTAGTTATTACATGAATCAATGGCCCATGATGATTTCGCTTCATGTTCTATGATATTCTATATAATGTGATCAAAAGTATTTGTATTATTTAATTATATAATTTTAATAAAAACATATCTAACGACATCTTAACAACTATTCTGTCTTCGTTATGAAAGAGTAGATTCTAACCCAGAAGTACCACATCAAGTGACAAATAAAAAAGTCTGTCAGTAAATTATAGCGTCAGGTTAGTGAGTGATGGAACACATAGCTCGAAACGTCGGTTCTATTAGAAACCAGATTTCGCAAAGTCAATATTCTAGTCAGATCTATATAGTAAGTTGACTTAACACTGTCCCGATGTATAGCGACATTCATGGAGTAAAAATGACCAGAATTCTGACCAAAAACGGTTACTGGAAGGACCTGGGTTGATTTTAAGGGTACCACCCAGTAAATAAAGGACTCACCTTGAGTCTTGTCTTAAATGCCTTAAGTATAAAACACTGATTCAGACGTGCTAAATAAATGTGGGACAGTATGTGTTAATATCATACAGATTGCCTTATTCAGAATATTTCCAGTTTTGCTGCTTTGAAATCGCATTGGATGCCCATAAAATAGTTTTGAATAAAGAACTTTGATATTTAATCATTCACCAATCTGATGAACTCATTTACTGTTCTAAAAAACTCACCGTTTTCCCCCTGACAGGTCCACGTGTAGTTGAAGTCCGAGCTGTCCGTGATGATCCCGTCCGGATCGTATGACGCCGAGGCGTTGAGGACCAGCGTTCCCTGCTTACCGACGGCCCGCCTGGAACCGCCGGCTATCAGCGCAACAAGCGGCGCGGGTAACACTTCCACCCACTGTTCCCCCTGAAGAGAGTTCTGCTCACCGGTTCTGTTGATGCTCACGGTGGCGTTGAGCTCGATTTTCACCAAGCCGTACATCAGCGTGTTCTTTGGGATGGCGAGGTCTGCAGAGTTGACAGTAACCGCTAGGGGGACAGCCTGTTGTTTGCCATTGGTGTAACGGAAGATTTGCCATTGGAAGGAGACGGTGTAAGACTCGTTACAGGAAATGACGAGGGCGCTCTGGATGGTCAGGGGAACCCGCCGTTCTACCGTCAGGGCTGTAGACTGGGCGCCACCGCCACCAGACAATGTGATGTCAGGGAAGCACTCTGGGAACAAACAGCAAGCAGATTACTTGTGTGAATTACTGTGTACAGTTTGGGAGGGAGAGAGATAGAAAGAGGAAGAGCTACTAAGGGAGAGAGAGGGGGATAAAATAGAGAAGAAGCTAGAGATAGAAATAGAGAGAGGAGGAGAGAGGAAAAAGAGAGGGAGGGGAGAGAGTGATAGTGAGAGAGAGGGGGAGAGAAGAAGAGAGCGAGAGAGACGGAGAGAGAGGGACAGATAGGGAGAGACAAAGAGAGGGAGAGAGAGGGAGAGACAATTCAATGGGGGAATTGACCACCTTACATATGGCAAAACTGTAAATAAGGTATACTTTGTGTATGTTTAATTTCGTTAAATGAATTCATATTCAACACCTGGATGTGTTAAGAGACATACCTTAATCATATTCCAGACCATCTATGGACAGTACAATACATGAAGAGAGATATTTTGTCCATGTATCGCCTTACCTGGTGTAGGAGGCTTCAGTGGAATGACTGAGCGTTCAGCATCATAAAACGTAAAGCCGGAGCTAAACGCTGTCAGGCGCTTGTAGTAGCAGTGCGACCGGGTAGTGGTCGTCAGGGGTCCAGGCTTGGGGAAGAACCAGATATTTGCAATTAGCCATCCGCATGTTCATATTTCGGTAAGGCTAAACTGATTCAATTTTACGGATGACATCCGCGTGCGCATTGATTTTTCGCCTGCTCTTATAAAAAATGCCGTCCTCCGAGGCTCTGGCCTGGGTGCCATTCTCCGTAGTCCATGGTAGCTAGCGGCAATATGAAGCCGGCGGTATGACTACTGAGGATGGCACCCAGGCTGCTGAAGCTTCACGGAACTCAAGAATTCAGTTGAGTGCCGACTCAAAAATGTAGCAAAGGCCAGTATGTACCGGCTTGTCGTAAAATTCGCTATGTAATACTGTAACTTTACAAGTCCAGCTCTGTATTCCTGTAGCCTATCAGCAATTTTTGGCTCGTATTCCAGAATAGCGTACAAATTTGCCTGATATCCGCAGTGCAATATAGCAAAGAAGAACAATTTATATCATTCGGAAGACAGCATACGACAGGTATAATACTGACAAAATGTAAAATTCTACTTGATCCATTCTGTATTTACACTTACACTGCAATCTTCTGTTGTCCATCGATGGGAGGTTTCGTTGAATCCCAGACAGTTTGTTGAGAACAGCTTCAACTTGTAGCTCAGGGTGAAATTAACATGCCTATAGTCTCCCTCGTCTACATCAGGTGAAGTAGTCACATTTCCTTCATAAGGAACATGCTCAATGCCTGGGTGGAAAAACGGGGTCAAATTTGAATAATTATATAATGAGAATTATTTTACTGTAGACGTGAGAGTAGATGCTAGCTAGATATGTAGTACTGAAGAGTTTGCCATGCATTGTACCTGTTACAATTGTTGTGCAATAAAGATTGACTTGATTAACTGTTCTTCAAATTGGCTCATCCCGGAATTTTCGACCGAATCGCTCGGTCTTCATTAGCTTTCTGATCCGAGTGCTGTAGACACGTGATTTTATGCACGTGTGACGTCAGCACTGGGTCAACGTTGGTAGGAAGTCTGTAGCGCCCCCCGTCTCGAATGGAGCAGAATTACACTTGAATAGTTGTAATTGTTGTAACGGGATGAAGTAATTCATCCCGTTGTTTGTTAGGGTTAAGAACAGGTTTTGGATACACATTAAATATCCATAATAACGCCTTAACATGGTTTTGGATAAAGCACGGTTCTCGACACAGCATCAAAAGCTCAACCTCAAGATGATTTCGTTAATACTTAAACCGACTTACTGAACATTAGATGCTATATGGTTCATGAGATACATTGCTTGATTAATGCATTCTTCTTTTAACTACCCAAAACCCGCAAGTTATGAAAAAAAAAGGTTGGTCATAACGTCTTCCATGGTTTACAAACGAGAAGTCAAAGCCATCAGACATAGTTTTTGACACAGATACAGACAATTACATTTCATTATGTAGATTTTGTAGTTATTTTGTACTCCATTTTAGTGTCCTTTTGTCTTTGGTATTTGCAATTAGTCTTCGGGGAGGACTTCGCATTGAACTTTGTTTTTTACTTAATCGCCTGTAGCAGAACAAATCTCCAGTCAGATTCAAAATGTATCAATAGTGCAATTCACCTGTGCAAATATATCAATTCATAGTGAATTATAACCTGTCCACTTACCGATAGTGTATTCACCAGGTCCACCAATTGCTGTGACGTCATCAGGTGGGATGAACCAAGTGTATCTGTCTTGTCTCACCCAAGTGGAATCGTCCAAGGCGATGGAGTATGGCGTGTTTTCTACAACAGGGAATTCAGGTTAAAGTGGCAACCCAAATCAAGCATAAGGCCACAGAAAGTAATTTTTTATGGATGACATTAAGCGCGCGCTTTGATTTTCGCCTGATTTTGTGGAAAAAAGAAGTTTGTTGTCCTTTGGCAGTGGTCAACATACCGAAAATTGGCAAAATTGCGTGCCTTGCCATGCTCGAACGTTGATGGCAGATAAACATGAAGAGAGAAGACAAGACAAGGCTCTGATTTATTGTTTTGACTTATCCTTTGATGCAGTGATGTATTCCCACTGAATCAAACCATTCGTACAATGATTGAGAACTTTTATTTTTGAAAGTTGTTTCAGTGACAGATGGATGTTGTAATAGTTGGCAGTTATACTTATATAGGTACCATTTCTTGTTTAAATTCAAATTTGAAAGTGTGGAAATATATTTTTTTTCGCTCTCTCGCATTAGATTTGGAGTCTGAGGAGGATGTCATCCGTAAGGTTTACTTGCTGTGGCCTAAGGTGGTTCACAAGTAAGACTGCGCTTGCGCAGCAATGATGCACTGTGGGTGTTATGTCAAAGGTGAAGGCCCTCAATTACATAAACAGCATGTAGAAAACATAGTTTCACTGCTGACACTGCGCATGTACCACCTCATCGGTAACTATACGGGTGAGTTAGCCAAAACATACACACAGCAAAGAGGGTGACCGTTTTGAAATTGCATTCAAGCAAATCAGAAAATATCAAAAGGAAGTAAATAGAAATAGCAGGAGATTTCTCGGTACCGAATGCCACTGTGAAACTTTTGAATACTCGTACAGTTTCTTCATTTTTAAATTGTCATAATTTATTTTTTTTTGTATTTGTAATTATTGTTTTTAGCAAACAAAGCCATGCAAAATTAAGTCGATGGAAATAGACCAAGTATAGACCATATTGGTCTCTGTACATCTCTTTAACACTTTATGTTTATGCTCTTTTCTACAGTATGTATTTCTATGTGCTATGAAAGAAAAAGAATATGAGAATATACTACCAGGTGCATTTATGTTACTTCATGTGACCTTGACAACAACAAAAAGAAAACCAGGAAAATGTGACACTATGTGAAACTGAAAACGTGATTTACTAAAAAGTGAATTAATCATTGCTCATATAATTTTCTATGTTCTGGTAGAAGATGTATTTGAATGCAAAATGTGTTTTGAATTATTTCTAGATTCGTAGCTGTTTTAACAACTCCAGTCTACGTTTTCCGTTATACTGTGTTTCACTTGCAGTATGTAAATGAGAGTGCAATTTATCCATCTGGCTGCAATATACTTCTTTGTGCAATAAAATGAAACTGATGTGCGCTATTATACTGTATTTACTGACAGTACTGATGTGCGCTGCATTTTCTATTCTACTGTGTATCACTGACAGTATGTAAACGAGCGTGCAATTCAGCCATCTTGCTGAAATATGCTTCCTTGTGCAATAAAACAAAAACGGATGTGCGCTTCATGCTACTACGTTGTGCTTAGTTTCTCCTTCCACCACGAGGGACGAACAGAAAGAGTGTGCTGGAAACCTTCGTTTAGCTGACAGATAAAGCCCCTGGAATGGTGACAGCCTCTCGGGTCCCACGTGGACCCGGTCCCGTAAAACGAAGCACAGCTACCGGAGGTGCCACGGGGGCGCCAGTTGGAGTAGCCGGATGACGCCAGGATTTGGCCGTCTTCATATACCCACTGGCCGTCGAGGTTGGCGTCAGTCAACCCGAGCCAGCGACCACGGACCACCGGTTGTAAACTGGCGAGATACGCGTTGGTCTCACCGTCCTTCGGCATGGCTAAAATCCCGCCGTCTGTTGCGCAAGCCTGGCTAGCGCCATCACGTGTCGTTGGCTCCGCAAAGCTCTTGTAGCAAACGTTCTTAAAACGAATGTACTCTGCTATTGGACAATCTGTTCGACAAAAACGAAAATTTCTAACATAATATATATGCAGCTAAACATGGTTCGTCTCTTACAAAAACACGTAATGCGAGTCCGTAAGGGTTACAGTAATGTACCCACTTTTTGTACCATTGACTGTAATGCTTCTAGCTCAACGGCCTCCACCGACCGCACTCTTCAACCCCATAAATGTGATGTGCTCAGGTTTTTATGAGGAGCTTCAGATTGTTGACTCATTTTTTAAATATAATTTGCATGTCACATAATGTTACATTTTCATTTTAATGTATTACAAATTCACATCAATGAAAGAAGACTCTTGCTACGGAACCGAGTGTTTATATTTAGCTATAAGCAGCAACACCTGTGCTGTGCAATATGAACCGGTTAGAATTGCCCTGAGGAAGCTGACAGATCTTTTTAACGAGTTACTCACTAACCTGATGAAGGAAACTATTAACAAATTCACATAAAGTTCCCACATTTATATGCACCTAGCAGTATTTAAGCAGCAAAGACAGTCAGGAACAACTGAGAAAGAGACAGACCTAAAAGAGGATACAGTATTTGCACGACATATACTTATGTGTACTATTGTAGTTAGTGTCAGAACTATTTCGAACAACATGATATATCAGCCAGTATAAGAGTTGCAGTATATGATAATATACTGCAAGTCTTATGCTGATAGTAATGTAGCCCATAAACTGATAGTAAAGTAGCCCATTTAGAACATGCATCAGGATAGTTGGTTTACTGTAACAGTTGTACATGTAACTAGTACTAGTCGATAGAGTAGCTTACAAACTAGTCCTTATCAAATGCTTCCTGTGTCTATTGGTTGTATGAATGAAGTTTTTAAAATTAATGTAAAAAAAATACCTGGAAGAGGAAGTGTGATGTTCCTGTCAAACTCTTCTCGGGACGGAGGCTGGGTCCGTCTAAGGTACAGCTGGACAGGCACGTCACGTGACAGTGACGTCAGCGTGATGTGGAGGGAACTGCCCGGCTCCGTCACGTTAAAGGAGTGAACCTGTTCATCAAAGTTCATCTGCGTTGGTAGTACTCATAGTGCAATGTTTAAGTTTAACTTTATTCCAACACGAAGAGGACAGAGAGATCAAATTTTCAACTACTGTAACCTTCATCAGGATAGTGACCGATCACCTCCGAACGTAAACTCGTGAAAGTTTTTTTTTTTTCGTCTCGTCTCATTTGTCACCTCATTGGACAAAGTTACGCACTTGAATACTGCACACTGAGCACAGCTTTTTAAGAGGTATAAAGGAGACGATATATTGAAAGTTTATACATGCCCGAGGGCTAATTGCAGTTACAAACAACATAAGGAAGAAAATACAGTGATATGTGAGACTGTAGCTACGTCCGTAAGGTTATACTATATTCTACAACAAACATGGTACAAGCTATAGTTTTACTGGGTTTGACTTCTACTTTTTAAACAATGGAAATATATCAGGGTCCTCCAGCATTCACGTAATAGAGTATAATGCTACGCCTTCCCTGATTTCCCTGATCTGGACTTGGGTATTTATCTACGAGCGAGATACAGCGGTGGTGTATTTAACCTCAGGCTCTTCTCAGCCCAAACAAAGGTGACTGAAATGTTAATGCGTGACCTTATTTTTGTTGCTCTCTCTGCCTATTGCCCCTTTATGATATAATATTGTTATTATAGTTTGCATTATGTTGTATGTATCAGTGGTATCCGCTATATACCTACCTTGTCGCTGCCTGGCTACCACGCCATGTCATGTTGCATTCCCAAGAAAGAAAGAAAGGAAGAAAGAACATAAGATGAAAGTGTACATGGCGGTACCGACCTCCATGCTGTACTTCCAGGAAGGTTCGGTTGTCCCCAGGTGTTCTATAACCGGAAATCCGCCCAGTCGTTCATTCACAGCCTCAACTGGTGCTTGTAAACTTCCGGTCTGCACAGGTCCGGAGTCGCTGAAGAACCTTAGCCTGATTACAGTGGACTGGATTTCCTCCGCACCGCCTGCACCGGCGTATAACCTTCCTCTGGTGAGGAGGTTCTGAAAGAACATGTTGAAGAAGTTACACTTTCTAACGCGGGACTATGTTTTAACGCTAAAAAAAGAAAAAGGTCTTCCATGCTGTTATGCCGAACGTAGGGTGGTGCCCATCTCCATTTCTGTACTGCCCTTCGGCGACACACAGTTGTGCAAGGCACTACAGCAGGGGGCTAGTCCGCTGGTAGTGCTGTGTGTTTGACCTTCCCACACTCTTTCTCATATGTGCTGAGTGCTAAGCAGAGAAAGAGGTGTGTAACATTCTTAAAGTCTTTGGTATGACCCGGCCGAGCTTTAAACTCACGACCTCCTGGTTACAAAGCGAGCACTCTACCAATTGAGCTATTGCACCGGTAAAAAAAGCTTAAGCGTTAAAATCATTATTCCTTCGTCATATAGAAGTATGCAACCTGTTATACCTTATCCTCATTGTTTTCTCTTTTTTTTATCATCTGTTTTTTTTCACATGTCCTTTAATCTTTCTGTATGTTTATTTTCTTAGTAAAAATTGAAAATGAAATCAAGATTATTGTAAAACAATACATTGAAAAAAGAATAAAAAATGTGTTTCAAACACCAATGTAGAAGTACAAAAAAAAGAATCAAAGAAGTATCTCAAACACCAATACAAAAGAACGAGAATAAAAACTTGTTTTTAAACACCAAGTGCAACAGAAAAAGAATAAAAGTGCCTCAAACACCAAATTCAAATGTATAAGTAGAAAAGAATAAAAGAAGTGTCTCAAACACAAAAGTGTAAGTACAGTAAATATCAAATCAAATCAACATTAATTTGCTCAACAACTGTAGCTGGTACAATGTATGGCAAAGAAATAGCAATGGTACATACACAAACTAATACTAAAAAATAATTCTAACGAGCTAGTCCATAATGATGCTGAAGCTAATAAGCAATAACACCAAAGGAATTTAAGTGGTAATTACAATCAAGAAGCAGACATTTACCATTGCTCCGATTGAATGAAGTGCAGGGTTAGTTTCGTAGATCAGTGCAGTGATATTCTTCACAGCCACGAAGCTCGATGATTGGTTGTTGGTCCTGAAGATTTGCGGCTGCGTGCTGGGCTGAACAAGACGGCGTTTTCCTAGAGCGATTGCGAATCCTGGCATGTCGTAATACGTCGCTGTTTCATCCGGGGTCTTGCGGGACAGAATTGCTAGGGACAGGTCTTCAGCTGCTCTGATCGCAGCCATGCTGGTTTGTTTGAGCTGAAGTAGAAAAAAAATTGCGAATTGGATGAAAAACGTACTATATATAATTTCATCAGGTTGGTAAATGATTAAGTAGTAAAGTCATTTTATTCACAACCATTTAGATAGCAAAGTTCTTTCATCACAACCATGTATTTTTTACGAGCCGATTTTTCGATGACCGTCTGTCATCTTTATCAGGGTTTACTGTGCGCTGACGCTAGATGTTACTTGGTGCATAGTGCGCTAGAGGTGTTACATAGTTCAAAGTGCACTGTTACTTAGTTCACAGTGCACTTAACCCTAAACAGTACACCTGGGGTTCGCGCGGACCCCAGCACTATATATTCTGTAATATCTTTTTTGTTTCTGAAGATTTTTTTCTGAAATTTTAGGTAATTGTCACCCACAAAGTTGTCCCTCAATACAGTGCAGAAAACTCCGTTTCTACCATTTATAAAAAAATTATATCTGATTTTCTTTTGGGGTCCGCGCGGACCCCAGCCGGCTTTCGATCATAATGGATACACTGGCATTCTTATACATTACCTTATTTCCGTTTTTATATGTTTATATGCACTAATCGTATGTCTACCAAGTTTTCAGAGAATGGTGTATTAATAGAATTAAATTTTAATAACTTTGGTGTAATTATGACGTCATATGACGTCAGAGCTAATAATATAGTCCGCCATATTGAATTTTGACCAATGACGTCATCAAATTAGCATATTATATGCATAGTAAAATGATTTAACTTACATTTAATCATGTAAGATGTTATTAATGTTGGAAACGAAGTGTAATTTAATATAAAACTCAGAAAATTTTTATGTTTAAACCAAAATCACTTCTATTTTCAAATAAACTTCCTGCTAGGAACCCGTCCCCATGGCAACACAAAAAAACATCAACTGACTAGTATTAAACTAATATGAACTTTTTTCCGGAGACATTTTAGGAAAGGTCTCCAAATTTGATACTTCTAGCGCAAGCCGTTTAGCCGCTATCTGAGATCAAAGTTGGGCCTCAAAAGCCCCTTCAGTCTGAAATGGGTTTAAAAATCGGGTATTTCTTCATGTCTTCTTTTCTTCACCAAAAAATAGAAAAAGTTCAAAATGTATGATTTTTGTATGTAATGTGGACACAGTGGTTCCCACATCAGTTTGCAAAACAATTGAGCTGGTAGCATGTTGATAATTTCTAAAAATTAGCATAAAACTGTTCTGGGGTCCGCGCGGACCCCAGGTGTACAGATTAATCAGTCCGGGAAGGTGTACTGTTGAGGGTTAAGCAAGTTTTAACTGTTAACAATGCATTCCGAACATAGTGCACTATGCACCAAGTAACATCTAATTCCAGTGCATAGTAAACCAGTCAGAATTACCCTGATGAAGATGACAGACGGTCATCGAAACGTCGGCTCGTGAAAAATAAATGGTTGTCATAACAAAACTTTGCTATTCATTAGTTTACCAACCTGATGAAATTATTTACGGAAGAACAATCATTAGTTTTAAATGTGCCTAAGTTTCGGTGACCGTCTACTATCAAATTCATCACTTGACATCAGGACTATAATGACTGGTTCACCACTGTGCACTGGGGCTAGATGTTACTGTAGCAATCCAGCTCCAAGCATAAAACCAATAGTGGTCATGACTTTTTGTTATAGCAATCATTTACCAATCCATATTCCATGAGTTTACGGCGTCGTATCCAATATGAAATGGAAAATGGAGACTACCTATGATTGATTATATGATAATTAGAATTACCTAAAATCACGAATGACGTCGTATGATATAATTCTTTAAAGGAATAACGGTTATCGTTGAAAGTATCAAAGATTTTAATTAGAATTCAGGGAACTTCAAGTCAACTTATATAGACTTCGTCCTCTGTGTTTCATGTGCACTGTTTCTATGTGAATGTTTGTGTTGGTAGTGTTGATATAGAGTGTATAAAACTATAGACATTACCTCCGAGAGCTCTTCCCTATCTGCAGACATATAGTTACTGACGTTAGCCAATAGCAGCGATGATGCGATGATGTTTGTTGCAGCTGTGCAGAAAAAGAAAGAAGTTCAATGTCTATTGTTGAACAAGGCAACACAACAATATGTTTCGTTTGTCATATCTATTTTCTTGTTTTATGTAATTCATTAGTTTGTCGTATGATTTTGAAGCGCTGTTACCTATATGTTATTATCATTATTGTGATTTAAGTTATTTTGTATCTTTGTTTCCTTGTTTGATCTTTTGTAAATGTATGTGGAACACTGTAAACGCCCTTGCGGCGATATGTTACACTCTGGGTAGATAAATAAAAATAAAATGGGGTTCTTGCTCATGACGTCATAGCCACCATTTCGGTTGGTTAAACCTGGGAATTTTCATCACATAATGGTGCAAATATGTGACTGCAGTTGCGTCATTTCATACAAATTCAAATTCTGACATATATAGCTAGGCCAAGTTAGCTAGCCAACATGGTGGACAATTACGTCATACTTACTTAAATGAAAACACCCTATTCATGAGTAAAGTGAGTATTGAAGAGGTAAAAATGCCACTGCATCTTTTAGTTTTAAGATACCTTTAAAAACACTTGCTGACGCCTCCTCAAGACGCTGTGGTCCAAGAACATCCTTAGGTTGACTGCTTAAGTATGCCACTACATCCACCATCATCTTAACTATGTCAGTCTGTAACGAAAACAAAATAGCACGTTAAGGGAACGTATATAAAATATTCAATGAAGGCATTAATAACCTTCATATCACACCATATGAAAGGTATTCAACAGCAATTTAGAGCAACCATTTCTGGAAGAAAAAAACGTGAATTTATTATTTGACACCTTATATGATGTGACACTGTTCAGTATTGGAAATTACCATATTTGACACTATTTCACCTCCACAATATTGTTTATGTACCTGTAAATCAGCTGTCATCTGGTCTCCAACCGCTGTCAGCGCAGCAAGCACACTGGCAAGCTTTCTGTAGCCTGCCAAAGTTTGCAGCTGCCCAGCTACAACCTGCACCTGTCTCGCCATAGTTCTCCTCGCCTACAACAACACAGAGCGTCACCTCAAGCCTTTGATTCACATGAAATTCTCCCAACCGTATCATGGAAACATAAAAGGCATGGGATAACGGGTTATTGTAATTGAGACTTTTACATTTATACATAGCCCGGTGTGTTATTGGTTTCTTCTACAAAATAAAAGTCTTCTACAGGCTGTGAAACCGTTTAGCCTCCATATTACGGACTTGTTATACTAAGATCATTACTGGTTATTTTACTATTAGAAAGAGAAACATTTGGAGAGGAACGAAATACAGAGGAAGACTTTGTGAAAATCAAACAGATATCCAACTCAAAAGTACATTTGACGTACCGCAATCTTCGATCGAATTTGTCGATTTTCATTAGCTATCTGACCCAAGTACTGTAGACGGGGGGTGGTACCGACTTCCGACTATGAACTCTGACCCATTGCTGACGTTACAGCCAGAAGTCGGTACCGTGCCCTTCCCGTTAATTCGAAGCACCTGGTTTCCCAGATTCTATTCGATACTTTACAAATAGACAAGATATGTACGAAAACATCAAAGCAGGACACGTTTAAACATTTGATGTCATGCAAGAACGAATGGGCAGTAGACAAACTATGTAATTATGTTTCCAGATGTTTCAAAAAGAGAGAAGAAAGGGCGACTAACAGTAGATGATAGGTAGTATATGGTATTGTTGTAATATATAGTCTCCTAGCACTTAGCATTAGAATATAGCGTTCCAGTATGCAGTACTCATAAATTTTTGTATCGTCTCGACCCCATTTGGTCACATTTGTGCATTTAGCACACATGGGCAAGAACATTCAATAAAGATTCAGATTCATATTGTATGTAATTTACCAACTCAGATGAACTGTTATGCTTATAGAACAGGACTTAGTACCTCTGCAGCGGTTTCTTTCATTTGACCATTGGGTGTGTTTGCGTTGAGGATAGAGCTGACACGATGGACGAGGTTCAGGACTTCTCTCGTGTCGCCGGTGTCTATCAGCGTGTCAAGAGTGCTGCTCAAGTTACCAAGTAGGAAGGATATTTCTTCTTCAGTTGGCAACGGAACCTGTAGAAATAATACATCATCTCATCACTTGTAAGGGACAGTTACAAAATGATAAATAACATCTTGAGAAATAATCCATGTTGTCCAGTCTCAATACAGATGCCGACATTACGACAGTCACATATGCACATTCTGTTCTATTTATTTATTTATGTTAAAAACGGTTGGGTGGTACTTTCAGTTTAGGACAACTAATTTCCAAGGTAGCCCAACATTAAAAAAAAAGCACAAGTACAAAGGACATACATGTAGACAATCGATTACTTAAACGTAGAGATGATAAATGATATGAACAAAGAGCACAAGTAGTCAATCATTGGAAACATGACATGTCAACCAAAAACAAACAGTCAAAGCCATAAGGCATAATCAAAGTCCGTGTCATTCCAGTCGAAAGATAAGTCAGTCCATGAGGTCAGGGGTCATGTGTTTAGTGCTCTCTTAAAATCATTTAGTAATTAAAGTAGCTATTTAATTGGTTCAGCTATTTAATTGGTTCAGCTGTAGAGGTTCTACAATTATCCGTGAAACAGTTTACAAAATGACATGTTCAATAAACCCTTCACATCTCTTTAAGGGAAAAAGAGTAGAAGCATGCCTCGATTGTCCAAAATCCTACTGTCTGGAGTTAGTAAATCAAAGTTTGAACTCGCAACCTTTTGGTTCTGAGACAAACACTCTACTGTTACGCCACATGACCCATTGATATTGTCAAAGCTCTTTACCTGAACTGGCATAGTGTTGGAGATAACAGTAGCTCCACGTGCGTTAGAGACATGGACTTCCAAGTTGTACGTGAAGTTGGTAGACGGCAAACCCACGGGCAGTGGCATTGCAGGCAGTCGGCCATCCTAGTATTAAAATGCATTATGAGTTTTCAGGAATACTATTATTATGTGCGTTCACTAAATAGCCGCATGCTATCTTTTTGTAGTTGTTATTAAAATTCGGTGCTCATGGACACATCTAACAACATGTAAGAGAGTAGTAATTCTAGAGATCACAATCGTATGAACAGAGGAATAATATGTCTCAAAGTAAAGGTATGACACTTGCCTTTAATGTAGGGTTAAAAGCTACCAGAGCTTTGGTTATTTATACATTCTTTTAGTACCAAAAATTATATTGTTTCAAAAACGTGCTAACTGCTTTTGCATGGGATAGTTATTTGTATAAAGGTCTTTCCCATTATACCACCAGGAGTTACAGCAATCTTCCTGAATGAATGAATGAATGGATGAATGAATAGGAAAACACAACACCCTACTGACCCATTAATGGGATATTTAAATAAAATACACTTATCCCTACAATACCGATAAGCACGTTTTAAGCGGCGATCACAACCCGCCGTACGTGCTTCTGCGTGCTGTCTACGTGCAAAAACGTGGGCAAACGTAGGGAATCCGTGAGTGGTGAGTACCACCTTCGTACGGAATCCTACGGATTTGGGAGCACGCAGACACGCTGTAGAACTTTAAGTGCATGTAAAACTTTTTCTACGTGCGGTCTGCGGATTCACCACACGTGCGTGCGAGTACGTGCGACGCGCGTGCTCCGTACGTGCCGTGCGGAAGAAGCGCGTGAGTGCGGCCTCCTTACGGTAAAGTTGCAATCACACAGAGATCGTACGTTGGAAGCACGTACAACTCACTTACCACTTGCTCAACGTACGATGCACGCAACCGCTCACGGCCAGACTTGGCGTGCAGACCACACTCTTACACTTTGTGAAACCGTGCGAGTAACGTGCGACTGATGTGCGTCGACGCCACTCCTTCTCCACGTTTTCAGAAAAACGTAGCAGACGTAGCCTCCCAAAAAAACGTACGGAGAAAAACACGTACGGCGTGTTGTGACCGTCGCTTTAGAGTCAAATACTTTTCTGAACTAAATAAATGGGATAAATAATCAGTTCTACTTTAACTGGAATACCTGCTACGAGTATACACAGCCAAGGTTCCCGTCGAATAAAGACTGAAATTTCTTGGAAAACAATTATTGAATTCAATTGGTTTTAGCATTTGTTAACACTTGTATGAATACCCTTTAGGGATGTTACGGTTGCTTGAGGCGCGGTCACATCTCCCAACTCGGGGCCCGACCGGGCAGTCGTTTGGAACGAAAATTATGATATAAGACAGCAAAACATAATCATGGACACTTTTTGTGTATACTCTTAATACAATTTTTTTTTTTTTCGTTCACGCAAACAACCCTGCCGGGCTCCGGCTTGGAAATATGACCATGCCCTTACCGGCCAGCTGAGCAGAAACTGCGGAAATCCGGCGGGAAAAGCGGGCTCCTGATAAAGTGAATACGTCAGTGGTGTGTCCGTATCACTGAATCCTGTAGAAGCAAATAGAACAAAATTGCAAAACCAACGTTAATGATTATTGGCAAGTGTTGGCACATGAAAATCGTACATTGTACTTTTGTTATTAAATGATGTTATTACAAGAAGAATAAATGTGTAAATTTCTCAGAAAAAAATGATAATTCAGGCTAACATTTTAAAATGTTACTTGTTAAATGAGGTTATTGATTGATGTTGAATGTGTAAAATTTGCTTTAAGAACATTTATTGTATCCTTTTATTATTGGATGTCCAATGTTAGTAAGACAAGTAGTTCGAAGTGAATGCAGTTATAATGTATTTTATGTAAGAGGGCTCCAGGAGGAGTAGTGATTGTATTGTCTCTTAAAATGCAAGTGACGGGGTCATATAGACGCACACATACACCGTAAGAACACATCTTTGGATGGAGCATACCTATATATATATGTTGCTTACATGTCAATTTTTAAATTTTCCGGGGGGTACTTTTATGCCAGGGGGTTCTTTTATCAGACTTTGAAGATTTGTCCGGGGGTGCATTTATTCCAGGGGGCACATTTTGAAGATTTGTCTTGGGGGTCCTTTTATTCCAGGGGGTACTTTTATTAGATCTTGAAGATTTGTCCGATAGTGCTTGTATTCCAGGGGGTACTTCTATTAAACGTTCAAGATATGTCCGGGGGTACATTTATTAGATTTTGAAGATTTGTCCGGGGGGTACTATTATTCCAAAGGGGTACTTCTATTGAACGTTTAAGAGTTGTCATTATTTATTCCAGGGGGTACTTTTATTAGATTTTGAAGATTTGTCCGGGGGTCATTTTATTCCAGGGGGTACTTATTTTTGAGAGGTGAGGGTAGATGAGACCATTGCCCCAGAAAGTGTTTAGAACAGTATAACATGTAGGAAGAGGTTCTGGAAGTTTATCAAACATCATTGTACTGACCATTCTGGAATTGTGCCACTGAAAGATAAAAGTTAAAGAGCCTTCCCGCGTCAAGTGACGCATAGGGCGGCGGCCATCTCCGTTCATTAACCCTAGGACACACACAGAAGTCGGTACAGCAGTTGGGGGCTAGTCTACAGGAAGTGGTGTGTGTTTAACTCCCGTCCTCTTTCCCAAACTTTGAGTGCTAAGCAGAAAAAGCAGTATGTTACACCATTTCAAAAACTTTGGTATGACTCAGCCGGGGATCGAACTCATGACCTACCGAAAGATAAAGGCAGACTTATTTCTGATCCACAGCAAAAAGTAGAACTATTAAATACACAGTTCCACACGTGAGATTCCGGGGATACCCACTCGACGCCGTCGGAAGACCAAGTCTATGCCCAGAATTATGTATTTCTCGACAGAGAGTCTGAAACTACTGCAAAAACTTACCCGCTGGGTGCCAAACTAGTATCGGGCCGTTAGCCGTTTTCCTTCGGCAGCCAAGAGCCCTTCTGCGCCTATCTAAATTACTGCTACGGGGGAGTTGAGCCCAAGGGGTTTGTCCGGCCCTATTACTATTCGTTTGTAGGGCCAGCCAAACTCACCCCGGGCTAGACTCCCCCGTAGAGGTAATTTAGATAGGCGGGGAAGGGCTCTTGCGGCCCGGAAAACGAGTTTGGCCTCCAAAAACTAAGCCCACATAACTTGAGCTGCTTACCAGTCCTGATGGCCTTAGCCCTAGAATTTTCGAAGAACTTTCTGAACAGCTAGCTGATCCGTTAACACTCATATTCAAGAAATCACTCTAAACAAGGAGATTTGGTGATAGGATGCACGAAAACGTGACTACTTTATCTAAAAAAGGCCACTATGACAAAGCTAACTACAGACCCACCAGTCTAAGATAATGGAGCAATATAATTGAAAACCCACAACTCAGTCACCAAAACAATATTTTCCTACCCGGAAAATTCAACAAAGGCGTTTAGAGATCTTTATAATGTTGCAATATCCATACTTAACACAGATCTCCAACCTTGCACCGAGACACAAAGTTCTCCGATCTTCCTGGTTTCCACGTTCCCATGAGATCTCCCCTGGCGTCCTGCCGACAACGCCAAATGTTGGGTCCGTGCTTGGGATACCAAGGATCAGTCGAACACGCCAGATCTCCGTGCCAACAATTTATTTCCTGCCCCTCAAAAGGGCCCCACTCCCCTGCCCTGCCAGACGTCACTCAAATGTCAAATGTCTGATATATTTTCCAGGCATCCGGCCCTCTCCTGACTCCTGACCCTTGAACGGGCCCTACCATTAGGTACTGGCGGAGGGGTGGTGGTAAGGGGTTGTCCCACTTCAACCTAACCTACAATAACCTACGTAACATATAATTTCTTTCTGTGTTATGTTATCATGACTTTCCAACATGAAGTTTTTAACCTTATCCAAAGAGCTGTAAAAATAAATTTTGTTGTTTTGGTTTTTGTCTAGCCGCAATTTGAACTTACCTAGAGGCGATCTCAACCCAAAAGAGGAATAGCAAAAGGAAGCAGTAAGACACTTCCTCAAAAAAAGTGGCTAGAAAAATAGTTCACCTGTTGTCAGGACCATCGCTATACAAAGTGAGAATGCTACTACGTGCTGCGGTCGGTGCTATATTTCTGCTAGCCGAGCTACTATTTAGCTCCCAGGTTCACCACAACTCTTTAGTTTTGGGTGAACGCGTCACGGAAATACCGGAAGATGTGTCAGTCGGTAGCACGGTGGTGCGGCTGAGAGATTTTCCTGTTGTCGCCAGTTCTGCAGACGACGCCAACGGTACGTGTTGGTCTGTCAACATCACCACGGGGGACGATTGGGGACGGTTTGGGGTTCGTGCCGAGGACTTGGTGCTGGTCGTAGCGGCTCCGCTGGACTACAGGACACACTCACGGTACAACCTGACAGTGGAGCTGACAAACACCGGGAACAACAATGTCTTGTACGTAACCCTCGTTATCGTAGTCATAGACGTGCCTGAATACCCGCCATTCTATAACAAACGGTGTGAAACGCCAGTCCTTCCGGATAAAGACAGGGACGGGGACTATACCCAAGTAATCAGTAGTGACGGACATTTGTTTTCAATTGACGGAAAGATACTTGGGTCGTACGAAGACTTTCTTCAAAACTTGCAGAGAAACAGAGCCGCTAACTTTGTCTTCAATTTCAAAGGCGAATGTTCCGCCAGGTTTGTCGCTAGGTCTAGAAGCCTAGCTGCGCTAGGTCTAGGAAACTATGCCCTACTCTCCTCCAAAGCGCATCACCAAGGACGAGTCGAACTTGAATGTCGCAGCCGAGAGCGGAAGTCTAAAGGGAGGATTACTATATTGGATACCACTCTCGATAACGACTTGCCTCAGTGGGTAAGAAGTGGCAACTTCAAGATAGACGAAAATGACCGCTATATATTTGCAGGAGAGTTGAACGAAATGTGGGCCACGTCATCGAACTGGTTTCGATGTGGCGCCAATTTCCTGCTCCAAAGCGGGCCAGTTCTGTTTGAGTGGACATTTCAGTACAACATTACAGGATGTCCTGAGGGCCGGTACGGTCTGTACTGTGACAAGGACTGTGTTTGTAAGAACGGCGCCCGCTGTCATGGCTTTAACGGTGCCTGTAAGTGCCACCCGGGCTGGAGAGGGAGGGCCTGTGATATTCCCTGGCCTGGAGTTGTCATCGTAGAGACACCTGGCGATTCAGTCGTGAAGTACATCGGTACCAATCTAACTTTGACATGCCTGGCTCCACATATCATCGTGGCAAATATGACATGGGCCTATCAAACAGGAAAAGTCATCGCAGAAGGGGGGACAGTCAAAAACAGTTCTATCAGCTTCCAGCCGATCCTAGAGTCAGCTAACGGCAAATATAGCTGTATGGTACAGGCTGAACATGGTCAACTTTTCAATGCGACTTTCATACTAAACGCTAGCCAATGTCGACCTAACTATCATGGGGAAAATTGCAGCCAAGTGTGTGACTGTGAGTACGGAGGGACGTGTGACAGGTGGGCGGGGTGTCTGTGTCCTCCCGGCCGTCGTGGAGACAGGTGTGAGCACATCTGCGCACCTGGCACATTCGGGAGGGACTGCAGACTGAGGTGTTACTGTGAAAACAACGCCTTGTGTGATCCAGTCAATGGCAGCTGTATTTGTGCTGAAGGACAGTCAGGCGAGTTTTGCCAGAATACCCCAAGGCCTGAGAAGAATCAAGTCGTAGTTGTAGTGTTGTCGTCTGTTATCCCGACTATTGTTCTTATCGCCTGCATCGTTACTGGAGTCCTGGTGAAACGGAGTCGCCGAAGCCAAAGACCAGAACAGCCAACAGCGGACTTGGAAATGACACCATTCATAGAAACCCTTTCATCATGGGAAATAGATAGAGAGGACATCCACCTTGAACACATGATCGGGGAAGGAGAGTTCGGTCATGTCGTACGGGCAAGACTGCACGTACCGGATTTGGGCTACGAGGTCCTGGTCGCGGCTAAAACTATCCGTCCTGACCGCATGACGGCGTCTGCTGTCCGCGACTTTCGCCGCGAAATGGACATTCTCGCGAGAATCCACGAGGACAAAGAGGGACACCCGAATGTGGTGAAGCTTTATGGATTTCTGACGAAGTCGGAGCCTCAGTACATCCTGGTAGAGTACGCGAGCAATGAAGAACTCCGCCGGTATCTGTGGAGTTTGCGGGAACAATACAAGATCACGGGGGATAGGAAAATGTTAGAGCGTCTCGGTTTCGCTTGTGACGTGGCCTGTGGGTTAGCAGAGCTGGCACGTTTGAAGATCGTGCACCGAGACATCGCCGCTCGTAACGTCGTCATCAGTGACAGGATGGTGGCTAAGATCTCGGATTTCGGACTATCGCGTGACGTCTACGTGTCATCGGCGTACAAACGCACGAACCAGGGCGGGGAGGAGGAGCTGTTGCCGCTGAAGTGGATGGCCGTGGAGTCGTTACGGGACGGAGTGTACACGTGTGAGAGTGACGTGTGGTCGTACGGCGTGCTGCTGTGGGAGATCGCTAGTTTTGGGGAGGAGCCGCGCTACGCTGGAGGCCCCATGCACCCGGACGTCTGCACACTGTTGGAGCTGCTGAAGAAAGGCGTCCGTCTGCAGCAGCCGGAGAACTGTCCGCTGCCGGTGTACCGCATCATCAGGTCCTGCTGGATAGTAGACCCCTCCAAGCGGCCGTCGGCCGACGAGCTGCTACGGAAGATTGACCTGCTGAAGCCGCAGAGACAGGCTGCACACCCGGGCAACCACATTCCATAAGGTGTTCTCTTAAACTTATATATGCTCTACATAATTGTTTTCATATATTAAGGAAATTGTAATAGAACTTATTATATTCGGCTAGACATTGATTTTAAATGGTTAAAATCATCATTGCTGTGCTTTACTTTCAGAAAATGATTTCGTTAGTCAAAGCCATACATAAAGTACGACCTTATCAAAATATGGATAATACAGTATATCATATTTTAATCATTTTACAAATACTCATTATATAGAATTATTCTAATCGTAATACTAATAATCGTCATACTAATGATAATCATCATCATAATAATAATAATAATAATAATAATAATGATGATGATAATAATAATACTAATAATAATCATATACTTTATAAGGATATTGATATATTTTACAGAAACGAAAACATATTAAGGGGGACAATTGAAATAGAATATTTGGTTAAACATTTCATAGACGCGCTGTGTAAGGATAATACTTTAAGAATATTAAAGTATTGATTTTAACATCTACTTAAAACCAATGGCTTGATTTAGAATTGTAGTTGTATTTTTAGAGATGTCATATTATATAGAATTTATTCCTATTTTCTTTGCGCTTCATGATATACAATAAATCTAGATTCTTTTCCACTGAGAGAAGTTTAGTTCATTCTTCCGTGATGAAAATCGTCGTTATATATTTTGACATGAATGGCATATTATTTTGTAAATTCGACCTAATGTGTATGTGCCATTTTTAGAAGCTACACTATACGTATTAGATTAATTTTACGTCAACAGAACATCCATAAACGGATAAACTCAAAGTACCACTAGCTAGGAATAGGGTCAGAGGATAGTTATCCAACGTTAGAACTGTGAAGGACTGGAATTCCTTGCCAAAAAAAGTGGTTAGGACAGTCAATGAGTTTAAAAACCGACTGGACAGGAATTGGGCCAATATTATGTACATCTCCAGTACAAGCTATAGTGAAGATCTACAGCCCAAAAACAACCCGGAGATGGTATATGCAGGTATGCAGATATGAGCAAGGGTTCAAAGGCATCCAATGCAATTTCAGGGCGGCAAACCAAAAATATTATGGATGGAAAAATTTGTGTAATATTGACATTTGCTACAATTTCTTGGCACATTTTCGTCATCATTTCATACTAACGCCCAAAAAAGCTACATGGTTTCCATAATTATTTTTAGAACAACCAGTAAATAGCTAGAACCAGCCTATGATAGGAAGCATTCCTTCATAACAAAACAAAACAAAACAAACAAATAGGTTGGGAAATATACGGTACGTAACGGCTACACGGTTACTGATAGGATCCTGGGCTGATTTTTGGGGTACCACCGAGAAACTAAAGGTTCCTCTTGGCACTTGTTTCTGCGCTGTTTTTAACGCCCAAAGTCAGTCTACCATAGACTGAACTGAACAGCCAGATAGTCTACCATAGACTGAACTGAACAGCCAGATAGTCTACCATAGACTGAACTGAACAGCCAGATAGTCTACCATAGACTGAACTGAACACCCAGATAGTCTACCATAGACTGAACTGAACAGCCAGATAGTCTACCACAGACTGAACTGAACAGCCAGATAGTCTACCATAGACTGAACTGAACAGCCAGATAGTCTACCATAGACTGAACTGAACAGCCAGATAGTCTACCATAGGCTGAACGGAACAGCCAGATAGTCTACCATAGGCTGAACGGAACAGCCAGATAGTCTACCATAGACTGAACTGAACAGCCAGATAGTCTACCATAGACTGAACTGAACAGCCAGACAGTCTACCATAGACTGAACTAAACACCCAGATAGTCTACCGGTACCATAGACTAAACTGAACACCCAGATAGTCTACCATAGACTGAACTGAACAGCCAGATAGTCTACCATAGACTGAACTGAACACCCAGATAGTCTACCATAGACTAAACTGAACACCCAGATAGTCTACCATAGACTGAACTGAACACCCAGACAGTCTACCATAGACTGAACTGAACACCCAGATAGTCTACCATAGACTGAACGGAACTAGCCAGATAGTCTACCATAGACTGAACTGAACAGCCAGATAGTCTACCATAGACTGAACTGAACACCCAGATAGTCTACCATAGACTGAACTGAACACCCAGATAGTCTACCATAGACTAAACTGAACACCCAGATAGTCTACCATAGACTGAACTGAACACCCAGATAGTCTACCATAGACTGAACTGAACACCCAGATAGTCTACCATAGACTGAACTGAACACCCAGATAGTCTACCATAGACTGAACTGAACACCCAGATAGTCTACCAGAGACTGAACTGAACACCCAGAAAATCTACCATAGACTGAACTGAACACCCAGATAGTCTACCATAGACTGAACTGAACACCCAGATAATCTACCATAGACTGAACTGAACACCCAGATAGTCTACCATAGACTGAACACCCAGATAGTCTACCATAGACTGAACTGCCAAAGAAGAACGGCTACAAACGTTTTGGAAAGTTCAAGGCCCTTTATATTAGGCTCTTCTTAAAATTTGGACTTTTTATCTTATATGTTTTTGAAAATTTAACACATTTGTGGAAGGATTGACATAACAAGTGACTATGGAAAGATTGAAATAACAAGTGACAATCACCTCCTCAAAGGTGTCAAACCTGACAAGAATGTAAAGTTTGAAGCAATCACACTGGGAATGAACTCTGCTCTTTTCGATATTGAGACTAAGATTGGTTACCAGGAACTTACCTTCACACACTACAGAAAATTCCTTGTTGTCAGGCGTTGGCTGAACGGCACAAGTTCCGCTCTCGGGCGCACTGTCCATATTGACGTCGCACTCAACAAACCCACGGGCTTCACTAGAAGCAGTTACATCCAAGCGAATCCTGTATGACCCTGGAATCTGTAACAAATACGTAATTGTTATCAGGCTGTGTTGTCAAAGCTTTTAGCGATTGAACACCAGATATTTAAGTCCTTATTCTAGTCACGTAAATACATATAAGTTGAAGCAACGCTAACCCAATGTATATCGGCATTCATACTTGAGACGGGAAACGGTTACATGTAGGATCCTGAGCTGATTTTTGGGGTACCATCCAGCAAATAAAGGCTCCTCGCTCTTGGGACTTCTTTCTGTGCTTTTCTAAATGTCTAAAGTATGGAATTCTAATTCATATGTGCTTATGTGGGGTAGTTTGTGTCAATATTATACAGTCCACAACCAGTTGGACATCGAAAATTTGGAGGTACGTGTTTCTACCTTTCAAAAACAGTCACTGATTGATGATTTTCTACTAACAGTCCTCATTCAAAATATTTCCAGTTTTGCCACCCTGAAATTCCGTTGGATGCGTTTAACAAACTGCAGTAAGTGCTCATGAAAGTGTTGCCGAAATCATCTAATTGTACACGAACCTTAAAAGAATTAGCTTGTAGAACAAGACTGGGTGATGTGCTGGTGGTAGAGAGAAGGCCACTCCAGTCTTCCCCCTCCATCTGAACACCAGCTGGATGGTCTAGAAGCGACCATCGGTACTCTGTGGACAGCGGGCAGTTCCTACATGATGCCAGCAGCACCAGACGTTCGGACGGGTTATCCCTCTGGTTGCAGCCGCTGTGTAGGTTAAAAGTAGAACGTAAAAACTGTGTTATTTTGCACTTCTATTAGATATGAGGCGGTTAGAAGGTCATGGACTATAAAGAAACAACTGCAGCATAAATACATGGTCACATTGAAAGGCAACTATACAATGCAGATGCAGAATCTACGTTTCATCCATTATAGTGAATAATCTTTATTACTGCCCAGATAAGATAAATGCACGTGACCATATGTGATCTATATATAGGATATAAAATATCCTACTGAACATTGAAACGTTACATTCTAACGCTAAGTACTACTTTAGTTCTATGTACAAAAATGTAATACAGTATTCTATTTATATATCGTTTACTGCTGGTCACAGTTTCTCCTCTCTTTTTGAAACACATGGAAACACATATTTTGTCAGTATACGTTAATTCCTGCATGACATCAACTACCTGAAAGTGTCCTGCTTTGACATATTCTTGTATATTTTGTATAATTGTTAAGTCTTCAATAGCGCTTGGAGTTCATCTATATATTATGTATCATGTAGAAGTTTGGTAGACGCCATTTCTTGTGCTGACAGACAATGGTAGTACTTACATGATGTCGACCTCCAGCACTGTCCCGTTCCTCAGCTCAACTCTCTGCTGGAAGGGTGAGGATGTTTGTTGGCCGGACGTTGATGATACTGAAATGTTGAAGACGTTGGAGGAGACCGGTAGCGACGCCTGCGGGACCCTGTAGTGCGACCTCCGCCCTCCGTCCGCGAATATACCGCACGGACGGCCTGGTATGGAAGGGATAAACACATTCTAGCAATCAATGATTTTTCAATTCTGAAAATAAACTAGAAAGATGGCATTTGCAGAATGAATGAATAGTGTTGTTGTCAATGAATTTTTTTTAAATCATCCTTCTGATTTAAATTAGACCATGTTAATTCAATCATATGGATGACATCCGCGCGCACATGAATTATCGGTTCATGAAGTCCCCCAACCCCCCCCCCCCCAAAAAGGGGGAAAAAATCGCACAAAACAGTTGCAAAATGAGCAAATATATACCGTATGTTGCAAAAAAATGCTAAAATCTAACAGAAAAAAACTAAAATGTACAGAAATAAATTTGAACAGTAGATTATAATTATTCGTCATACCACACTCTGTGTCAGCTGTTCAACATTCATGACCATGTAGATCTCGTAATGAAAGCAACTTGTTTTCGCAAAACTTTCTTTCATTCGCACGCTCGCATCAGTTTTGAGGTTCCCGGGGAACATTATCAAATCAACATGGCCTTGGGTATAATGAGAGCAAACTGAAGTAAGGGGAAACTTCTAATTGCAACGTACCGGCGTCTTCCAAGCAACTCCAGGTGAAGTTGAAATCTGCTGAGTTTGTTACAATCCTGTTGGGGTCGTATGCCGAAGCGTTGAGCACCAAGTCTTCCCCTCGGCTCACGGCTCTGGCGGCCCCGCCCACGATGGACGAAAGCAACGGTGACAACATTACCTCCACCCACTGTGTTCCTACAAGAGAATTTCTCGCACCAGTTCGCTCTATCACGACTGTCGCGTTCAAATCAAATCTGAACAAGCCAGGGCCGAGGGTATTTTTTGGTATGAAGATTTCTTGGTAAATTGTTGGCACGCTTATATTAGTCAACTGAAGCGAACCATCAACGTGGGAATAGACCATCCACTGAAACTCTATGGTGTATGTCTCATTGCATGTGACGTGAGTAAGAGCTTGGATGGCAAAGGGCACCGGTCTTTCAACTGCTAAGGCTTGGTCCATGGTCGGTCCTCCTCCGGCAAGGGTGATATTTGGATAACATTCTGCACAAGTTGAAATAAAAGTAAAGCGTTAACTTCAAGATGTTGTGAATTTAACAATGGTTGATATGCCTCTTAATAATGAAAAGGCAGTTTTGAGAAAACCCCAGACTACAACCCATTTACAACGAATCTAAACGAGCAGGCCACATATTATTATCTCAATACCAATTGTCTTCAGAAGTCTCAAATTCTTACGTTGTACGAATTGGATAGAAGCAATATAGACGAGTTGGTATAGATTTAATATTTAATTCGATTAGTTTAATTAGTTAATGTACTATATAATTCATGTAATACATAATATACATAACATGTCATATATAACATATGAATTATGTAATATATATAACGCACCCTTCTTAAACTAATAGTAATACCAATCTAATGATATATGTAATACTTTGATTCCGACAATATTATAAATAGTAGTAGTAGGTACTTGAATATAATAATAATGTTAATGCGTTTGTGCAATTTTATCTTTTAACGCTTTAGTCTAACATGATTGTATTAATGTCTTCAGACTGCAAGTGTAATATGTTTGTATGAAATGCCAAATAAACCATTCCTTTTCATCATCATTAATTATTATCATCATTATTCATTATTACAAAACGTACTCTACCTGGGATAGTCTTTGCCATTCCTGCAGTGACAATGATATCCGCCAGAAATCCTTGGAATTCCAACGAATCATCAGATCTGAAGACGACGAACAAATACTGAGCCGTTGAATTCATCAGTCCTGGTTCCTCGTCGCCGCAAAATTTCCCCAGCAACTGTGACGACACGCCTGGACCATCGTAAACAGCCACATAGTCGTTGGAACACTCAGTGCTGTTTTCGAGGCTAAACTCGGTGAAGTTTAGGGAAATTGGCCCAGTTTCGCCGGCGTCGATGATCCAACTACACGCGCTGTTTCTTAGATACCTGCCGCTGCCGTGGTTTGGGCTCAACATGTGTCCAATGCTTCCATTTTCCCCCGAAAGGGCGAACACTGTCGGGTCGTTTCCACACTGAAACATCCTATCGTTGGACAGGAATGATGACCTGTACGGGTTGTGGTCTTCATCTGCAAAAATATTGTAGATGTCTTAGTCCATTATGCCCCGTAAGAGAATCTCAACGACACATATAGACACATTTGATGGTGCCCAGTCCAATTTATGAGGCTCAAAGATAATACTTTTTAAAGTCAATATACTAGTCACTGATCTATATGCTAAGTTGAAACAACACTCCCAATGTTTATCGACCTAAACTGAGTAAAATTCTGAACTCGGATAAACGTTTATTGTTAGGGCCCTGATTTTTGGGGCACTGGGGTAAAACAAAGACTTGTCTTGGGGCTTGTTTCTGCGCTGTTTTGAAATACCCAAAATAACTGATACAAATGTTTCAATATTATACAGATTGCCTTGCTCAAAATATGTTCAATTTTGCCACCCTGAAAATTGCTTTGGGTGTATTCACCAGCATGGCTTTCCGAAAGAGAGATTTGAAGGTAAAAAAGAAATGTTTGGTGATGTGGCGCAAGGCAAGGGTGTTCGAATCGGAACTAAGAGGTCTCGAGTTCGAATCCTGCCATGCCAGCAATCTTGTTCCCTTGGGAAAGGCACTTTACACGAATTTCCCGAGGTCAAAATTAGTATGTCTATTACCTATTTATGCATTTGTCTTCTGTATTGGTGTTGGTTACCATGGAGTGACCATGTTATAGGATAACTTTTGGAATGAAAAAAAAAACAAGTATTGCGTGTTTACCGATGATTTCGTAGACTTCATTCGCCCAGCCTCCTCCCTCTCCGTCCGCCTGGCAGGCTGAGGATGCCCCGTACATCTGGTAGGTCTCCCGGGCGGTGGCAGTAGAGGCGCACCACCCGCCGGCCTGCAAAGCAAACACATCGTAGCCCAGACTTCTGGAGACGGTGTAACACTTGTACAGAGCCTGCTGCCGGCTCCCGTAGGCATCGGAAAGAAGCGGATCCGTCCCCTCCAGCGGCTGGATTGCTCGGGAGGAACTGTCTGTCCAGCAGCCCAACGGCCGGACCCACCCTGTACGGCAAAGTGTTAACGTGTAGATATTATGTAAATAGTGTACGTTTGGGAATGCATCTATAGCAGCGACACCTGTGCTGCAGTGCAATGTGAACCAGTCAAAATTGCCCTGAGGAAGGTGACAGACGGTTGAAAGCGTTGAAAAGACTTGGTCGTGTAAAAAGACTGACTTTTTACTTAATAACTTGGACACGATGTTTGTAAATAAATGGTTTAGATATTTCATCTTTTAGGCCTTTGAAAAATAACAAATAGATAATAATGAAAATGTAAATATAATATTTAAGTAGCAAATTTAAGATTATAATGACCTGTGATAACTCATGTATGGTAGATATAGGAATGTATATCAAACAATGTCTAGACATAAGAAATTCCTCCAATATTGTAAAAGTTCATTCACATCCTATATCAGCCACAAACTCCTGTATTAGTTAGTTTAGTCCATAGTTAAATTTATAGATAAGTTTTGCCATACTTTGTACCATGTAAAACTGTTGTGCAATAAAGTTATTATTATTATAACCGTACAAGGGAGACGAAAGCTTAAGAGCGGATGTCTGTAAAAACCAAGCAAATCAGAAAAAAAGTGGCCAAACTAAAAAAATCAAATTTTCTCAAACTTTGTGTGGTGGTAGGGCCTTGGTCCAAACCTACAAAAATGGGAAAGTTTTGGGCCCCTGGTTACTTGTTGCCATGGCAACGGCCATTTTTCAAAATGGCGGATTTTCACCTTGTGAAGGCATTGGTCTCGCCCAAATTAGACCATCTATGACCTTCTGTATCTCACAGAAAGTAACACATATTTTATTGTGTCTAACATATGTTATTATCCATATATTAACAAACAAAATGATATAAATTTTTGCTCCAAATGTTTTTGCAGTGAGCTGTAGCGGACCGTTAAAGATTGCCTGTTTTTGTAAAATTTCGAAATTGAAAAAAAAAGTCATTTTTGGGACGTTTTTAGATCAATTGTATAAACGAAGTTAGGCAATAAATTAATAAAACAATATATATTTAAAATTAAGTACAAGAAAGAATTTGTCATTCCTTGGATAATCATTTCTGGATGTACGGCCATGTTGATTTGACTATATGGATGGCATCCGCGCGCGCATGAATTTTCGGCCGTTTCCAAAAATAAGGTTTCAACCATACTGTAAATCGTACAAAACAATTGCAAAATGAGCAAATATATACCGTAAGTTGTCGAAAAATATTAGAAAACGATAGTATGCCAAAATCAAACCAAAAAAAAACGAAAATGTAAAGAAATGAATTTGAAGAGTAGATTATTTGCCATGCAATGTGTCACTTGTCATTATTCATTCGTTCAGTCTGCATGACCACGTAGATTTTATGATAAAGGCAATTTTGTTGCCAAACTTTTTTTATTCGCACGCTCGCGTCAGTTTTTGGGTTTCCAGACCATGCCATCCATATCATCAAATCGACATGGCCTAATTGATAAACTTGATTGTGACTAAGAAAGCAGTAACCATAATTCTTACCTGGGGTACCATAAAGTTGTATTCCTGCCACCCATGGTTCACTCCCACCCACGACACCAGTCACAGTAAACCTCCAATAGCGCCCTCTGGCGAAAAACCCATCAAATACACCCACAGGAGCATCCTGGGTAAATGTGAAGTTTGCAGCGGTCGTGTAGTCCTGACCAGTTTCAGACGATTCCAGGATAAAGGAAGTGACGTAATGAGCCCCGTCGCCAAAGTTGATTACCTGTAGAGGACAAGTATTTCCAAAATTTTACAGCAGAAATTCGTAAGGCCACAGCAAGTACTTTTCATGGATGACATTACCGTGCGCATTGATTTTCGCCTGATTTTGAAAAAAACAAATTGCTGCCTTCTGACAGTGATCAACATGCCGGAAATGGGCAAATATGTCTGTTGCCATGCTGGAAGGTGAATGGCAGATAACTATGAAGAGAGGAGACAAGAAAAGGCGCTCTGATTTAATGTTTTGTTTTGTTTCTTACTTACCTTGAGGCAGTGATGTGTGATGCTGGCTGTGTATATGTAATGTTCCTACCGAATCAAAGTAAAACTTGTGAAATTGTAAAATTGTATAAAAAAAAGTAAAATTGTAGGAACCTTGTTTTTTTCGCCCGCTCGCATTAGATTTGGAATCTACGGAGGATGTCATCCATAAAATTTACTTGCTGTTGCCTAACAACAACAAACTACGAATATACAGATTACTTAAAACTTCATACAACGAGGAAAACTATTTAAAGATGGAAAACATGCGACACAGAATAGCCACTACAAGACTTCGGATTAGCTCACACCAACTTTTTGTTGAAAAGGGTAGACACGACCACATTCCTCTGCAACAAAGAATTTGTCATTACTGTAACCTAAATGAGATTGAAGACGAGAGTCATTTTATTGTGGACTGTACTCTGTATTATAATGAGAGATTCTCTTCAATTGTTTACAAGATTGTCTCCCTAGTTTTAGAACTTTAGGTACAAAAGAAAAAAAAATTATTTTCCTCATAAAACTCGATAACCCTCGCACTAGAAGCTTAATCTGTTCTTACAGTTACAACTATCTTGAAAAGCGAGAAGAAGCAAAACCTGTATAAATGTACGTGCATGTAGTTTTACTACTATTGATATATATTAGTCTACCATCGCTATTTGCCGTGACCTGTACTTAGTTCGCAATTGAGCAAAAATGTACAATGACGGTCTTTTATTTATTCACCAGAAAACAGGGAAGTCTAACCTCATTTGCATAGGACAGGAAGGCATCGGAATGATCCTGTTGACGTTAAACAGCTTGTTTTTCAGTGTGTTTTGAGGTGTTGGGGCACAGAGAATGAATTTTTTTGAATAAATTGTTTGTAACGTATAGTGGTAACGCTATATGACGCTGTAACGTTAGAAACCACATGTTCCATGTTGAAAAGAACACATAAACTTCATTCTCTATTTGTTGTCAGATTCGACCTATAGTAATTTAATTAATGTTGAGCATAAAATGCCCCAACACCTCAAAACACAGTGAAAAGCAAGTTGTTTAACGTCGCCAGGATCATTCCGATTCCTTCCTGTCCTATGCAAATGAGGTTAGACCCCCTGTTTTCGCTAAGCATTCTGGGGATGGGAAACTGGTGAATTAATTCAGAGTAATTACTCTGCTGAAACTCCAAACACTTGAAGGCCGTAGAGTCGCTCTGTGTGCTAGGTTCACCAAGAAGGTACAACTCCGATCTGTACAGTCACTGGTTGCCTGAACTTAGAGGTAACATTAGCGGCAGGGTGACCAGACAGAACAGAAAGATTGACCAATTGCCAGCAAGAACCGACCGTTGTAAAAGGAGCTCAATCCCATACTTTGTCACACTGTTGAACAACTCTGTATAGTAGGATATCCGTACAGTCCTTCTGTGCGTACAGGTTGTATTTAGTGTCCTTGTATTTAGTGTCCTTGTATATACATGTACTTTACTAGTTTTTAAAAGAAAATAAGCTAGGGTTTTAAATAGTCGCGGCATTATGGTTTTAATAAGTGATATGTAATATGTGCACGCAATTCAGCCAGTGGCTGGGAGGTGAAACATGCCAATTGTACTGTTTATTGTATTTGCGAAATAAACCAATATATGCATTACCCTGATGTAGTAGACCCAGTACGGCTGGCGCAGGTCGTACAGTACGGTGCCGTGGGACCCGCCGGCCGGGGATGGAGCCCAGTAGGTAGCCGTGTTGCCGTCCAGTGTGTTCTCCGCGCCGTTGGCACTAACCAGCGGTGTACCGGACGACTCAACCACGTCAGGCCCCATTTCACTTATAAAACCCGCATCAAGCTCTGCAATACCAAACAATAGCATCAGATTTGCAATTTGACTATTTTCATTATAGAAGACTACTAAGATAATTGTAAGTTACAGGAAGAGATTTTGATTCATATTTAGTGCAAGCTGCATATTCAATCTTATATTGAAAGTTCATTTTTACATACATACATAATAGTCGAATAAAGAGGCTATAAAGCCTATAAAAATCCACTTCTTAAGCTAAACATTAAACAACACGATTGTTGGTGAAATCATTATAAAGCAAGTTTAAATTGTAATCCTGATCCCAAAATTGGACATTTGACTGTATAACTCCAGTTTTAGTCAATGAATGAATGAATGAATGAATGAATATGATCAATCTACGCACTGTTTCTATCTAACTTTATGTTAGATAACGGGGGCGCCACAAACTTGACAAAGACTAAAGTTGTAGAGTCAAAAATTTTGGATCCAATTTCTTGTGTTGGAAATCGTAATTTGGAATCTGCTTATTTATTTGTCTCTATATGATATGGTACATATTGAGCCAAGGTATAGAAACTTCATGTTAGATAACGGGGGCGCCACGGACTTGACACAAACTGGAGTTGTACAGTCGAAAATTTGGGTCCAATTCCTTCTACTTCTACTTCTATGTAATACTGGTCAAAACCCCTCACTGGGGCGTCACGACCAGGGTGCTGGGTGCACGGCAAAGTGCGGCCAGTGGGGTGATGGTGCTGAAAAGAACAACATAAAAACAAGAAAAAAAGTGCAAAAACTGTGCTTAAACTCAATTTACATGGCCGCACTTAAAATACCTCATTGTGTTTGAAAGTGTAATTTGGTTATTTATTTGTTTATTTGTCTCCACATGGTATGATACACATTGAGCCAAGGTGTAGAAACGTAAGAAGCAATGTGCATACCTGGAGGTGGGAAGACCTGAACTTCACACAGATGTAGACTCCGCGCAGCAGCCGGGATTTGCACGGTGACGTAACGTCCTACAATAGCGAGGCCACAGTCCAGCTCCAGTATATTCCCGTTATCCTGCACGTCGGAGAAAGTGGATCCACAAATCGTGTTTTCCTGGACGCCAAGACTTGTCCCTACACGAACCCGCACGTCCTGGAGAGTCCCATCTTTAAAAAAAAAAGAGACAACGAAATGTCATTAGGCCACAGCAAGTGATTTTTATGGATGACATCAGCGTGCGCATTAATTTTGACCTGATTTTGAAAAAAAAATTGATATTTTGTTGCCTTCTTACAGTGGCCACTATGCCCAAAATGGGCAAAGATGTCTGTTGCAATGTCAAAAGGTAGATGGCAGATAACTATAAAGAGAGGAGACAAGAAAAGGCTCTGATTTAATGTTTTGCTTGTTACTTTGATGCAGTGATGTTCCCATTGAATCAAAAACCATTTGTACTATGATTGAGTCAAAATTTTAAGATGCAGGAACCTTGTTTTTTTTTTCGGCCCGCCTTGTCTTTTTTTGCAATAGATTTGGAGTCTGCGGAGGGTGCCATCCATGAAATTTACATGTTGTGGCCTTAATGTGGTGATTCTTCCCCTGTGTATCGACCCACTAAGATTCGAGCAGTACGTTGCTATACGCTGTATTTGCCATTGTCCTCAATAGAGCACAGAAAGAGCTAAATCATTTAAAGTAGTCGCAAAAAAGTTCCCAAGCTTTCTAAACCTTTCCAGCCTATAAAAAGCTGCATTTCTATTAACATGTCTCAGTACATATGTATATCACAAATAGTGACGTAACGGTAGAGTCTTTGCTTGTAGGAATCAAGATGCCCCGAGTTCGAATCCTGTCATGCCACCGATCTTGTGCCCTTGGCAAAGGCACTTTGCTCTCTCTACTCAGGTGAAAAAGGGTGTTGTATGGTCCACTGAGTTGGTGCATGGCGGCATGAAAATAAGTTGAAAAAACTTAAGTGTGCCGTCGCCACATGATTACATGTTTGAATAAAAAATCATCATAACTTACCCAAACTGCCAAACAAGCGGACTTTCTGTACTAGGTAGACCCCGCCAAGGTCCACCCGCCACCAGGGCTGGTCCGTGACGTCCGTCCCCGCGCAGACAGCAGGAGCGCCGGTCTCAGTGTTCCCGTCCACCGCCAGCCCGGCAGACAGAGATGCCCCTCCCCGCACACGGGTCGTGCTCTGCTCGGCGGACTTCGTCAGTGCGAGGTTTCCTGTGAACGTCAAGTCAACGTTTATTGCACAACAACCGTAGCAGGTACAATGCATGGCAGATAATAAGATTACTATATAGCTGGTATGGGTCTAGCAAAATTCTGCACATAGGTTCAACCGGTACTATGTTTGGCAGAATGATGAATAGATTACACCTACGACTACGAGGTTATATTTTCGGTGATTTAACGATGTTTGTCGTTTAGAAACATTACCCAAGAAACTATGACTTTAAAAGAGGCTTTAAAATTTGTATTAAATGCTTGATTTGATAAAACAATGCTTGGATTTGGGGCCATCTGACATCTTTTCTTATTAAACTTGTTTTGTATATGCAAACAGAAACAAGATATACGTCGATGAAGGTTTGACATTTAGGTATTGAGATATACACAAGGAAATTGTTTTATTCCCACTGCTGAAAAGTAGTGGATGCTACTCAAAGCGTCTGGCAGTTCTTAAAATCTATCCAGTTGCTTGAATAACATTTTTCTCGTGTAGAAAGAAAATTTTAGTCCTAGACATGGACCTTTCCAACAGTGATAAAATGTAGTATTGACGACATATAGATAGTCCTGCAGTTCCAGAACAAGCCTCACGACAGTTCTTCCACAGCTACCTACCACCCAAATTTTGTTACCCTAGCATGTCTAGATCATGAGATATCAAAACCGGAAGCTCAGCTGCAGTACCATAACAAGCCGCTAGGGAGTCCAAAATCTAATCATTTTGAGGCCTTATCAAGACCTACCCACGTACCAAGTATCAAGACAATCCATTTAAGCCTTTTCAAGTTTTCGTGTCCACAGACGGACACACACACATACATGAACGCCTCTGAAAACATAACCTTCTTGGCGAAGGCAACCAAACAAATGCAAAAGTACAGACGTAACATGAGGAAATTTTCTTACTTGATTTTCCCACAGCAAATGTTGCGCTAAAAGTTGACATGTGGCGTCCATACGTGACAAACTGGACAAACATGGTGCCCGAACTGATCACTGGTGGAGACAAGGCACTACCACAGAATCTCCCAAGCAAAGGAGCCTGGGAGTTCGCGCCGTCATACACGGCCAGATATCCGTCTGTGCACCCGGCACTATCGGGGAGGTCAAAGGTCGTGAATGTGAGGGTGAGGAGGCCGCCATTTTGGGCTGAGATGAGCCAACTGCAGTTCTGGTTGACAGAATAAACTGGACCAACGCCGTCGCTGTTTTGATCTGTCAGGTTCCTTGACTTAAACAGGAGGCCGGAATCTCCAGACACTATGTACACAGATGTCTCACTGCATTCATAGACAGGGGACGGTTCTTCTGAAAAGAAATAATGATTAAGATATCAAAATGTAGCACAAATGTCACTGTGAAGTATTATTGCAATATTGCAATCCGATGTCTGGCAATCACTTATTACTTTGATTATTCTTACAGGTAGGATGATTGGATAGATAAAGGAGGATCTGAAAGAAGACCTTTATTGTACATTCATACCAACAGGGTTAACTTCAGGTCACAGGAAAAGAATTTCTAATGTATGTACATTATATGCATTGTACATACACATGATGAAGCTATCACTAGCAATACAGTCTATTAAGTAAACTGGACTCTTCGCTTCTCTATGATGGTTGAAAAATAAGAACAGACAAGTTTTAAGATCAGCGGTTTGTCTAAGCTCATTACAAATGAGAATTCGTCTGTACTACTTATAGTGTATATTAAGTAGAGAAACATTGATGATATTGTTCTGTAAAGTTTTTCTTTCTATAAAAATTACATTCTACTACAAAATGATGTTCATCTTTAATCTAAATTGCAGTATCGACAGATTCGTTGTAATGCTTTCCGGTAATGAAATAATGAAATTAATGATATTTCTGATAATGAAATTTTGACTTGAAAGTTCATCTGTGTTAATAGAAGACTGAGAAGAAAGTTTAAACCGGAACTTCCAGGAATGAGCACGAGGTATCAAAGAGGTAATCTACATGGGCATTACAACCAAAGACGGGGGGCGCCACAGACTTTCTGCAACATATGGTCCTTTGCTCACCGAGTCAGGTTTGTCATCTGCATAATGTGACGTCACAGAAGCGGTCGATTGCCCATTTCTTGACAAGACTGGAGTTGTACAGTCGTAGATTTGGGCAAATACATTTTTTGTGCTTGAAGTTACAGTTTAAACTTGCTTCTTAGTGAGAATGAAATGTAGTACCTCGTCCCAAGTAGACTTCGACCTCACAAAGCCTGAGGTAGTCAGCTCGCCCTTCTATCTGAACGGAGACGTAACGGCCCAAGACGGCGTCTCCACAGGAGATCTCGATGATGTTCTCGTTCAGAGGCCCATCTGTCCACACTTGACCACACACGGCATTCTGGGACATGTCTGTATTATCTCCAATACGCACGTTGAAGTTGTTCATTTCTCCTGCAAAACGAGAATGTTTTAGGTAGTCACGTTTGTTTATTTTTTATTAAAGATTCAAAGATTCCTGGGGATGGGGTAATAACCTCGAGATAAAATGTCATAATATTATAATAATTAAATATGATCAATTAAACAAAGGTCAACCGGAATAAATAAACATTCATGAACAAGTACAAATCGTACATGACAAATAATACAACGAAAGAAAAATAACGTAGTAATATAGCAACAATACATGGTCATATTGCTTGGAAGACGAAAATGTATTGACGTGCTGTATTTTGTGAATGCTACCATCTATTGACTAACATATCAGCAAAACACAAAAAAAGCGTTCTAAAATAAATTAAACATTTTGGTAGGTTCTTCAACTAATCTGGCATAACGTAATAGTAGGGGAGGGTGACAATTTTGTAATAATTGCACACTGAAAACATAAACTGGTCAAGATCATAGGTTTTAGGGATTATAAATTTCGTTCTTGGAAAAGTTATGATGCTCCTGCTACTTACCGATTATAGTGTCGTTTGCATTGGTGTACAAACGTACTTTGGTCACCGAGTAAGCCACGCCCATATCCAGCTTCCACCACGGTTCATGCTGATTGGTTGTTAAGGAGCAGGTTGTTAGGTCACCGTCAACAGCCTTCTCGGGAACGTGATCCACGCTCAAGTCAGCGATATGAGAAGCGGACTTTCCCAAGGCGATGTTCTCATCTGTAAGGGAAATAAAGACATCCGTAAATAACTTCATCAGGTTGCAAACGAATGAATAGCAAAGTTCTTTGATGACAACTAATTAGTTTTCACAAACGACGTTTCGATGACGGTCTGTCATCTTCATCAGGGCAATTCTGACTGGCTATGTATGTCACAATACCTATTTATGTATGTCACAATTGCACTACGTCCGGAAATGCATTGTTAACAGTAAAAACTAGCTTAGGTGCACTGTGAACCATGTAAAACCTTAGTGCACTATACACCAAATAACATCTAGCGTCAGTGCTCAGCAAGCCAGTCAGAATTGCCCTGATAAAGATGACAGACGTTCATCGAAACACGGCTCGTGAAAAATAAATGGTTGTGGTTAAAGCACATAGCTATTCGAAAACAAAGACAGTCTGTCACCAAACAATAGCTACACGTTTTACTATTGGCATCTACCTTCGCTAAGTAGGTTATGCTTCTGAGTGTGTCTGTGTATCTGTGAACAGTATAATCTTTAACTTATAACTATAAGCTGTGGACGGATCTTGATAATATTTACTATGTTTGTAGGGTCTAGGAAAAAGTAAGAAATGATTAGATTATGGATATCCTAGTGACTTTCCACGGTCTTCAAACAGGACTTCTGATTTTGATGCCTCGTGTTCTGGACTTGCTATATGGTCACGATATTTGACAAAAAAATAGCGGTTGAACATAGCAAGAAACCTCTTTTTTTTCATTGCACTGAGCTAACAAAGCTTTATAATTGTAAAAAATATTGACTGACATTTTAATTCCGGTGAGCAGTTCAGTGTAATAAGCTTACCAAGCTCTTACATACCTGACACATTGAAACATACATTACAATGGATGGCAGAGGAATGGAAATGAAATGGAGACAATTTGAACTGGACAATGACTGGACTGGACAATTTGTACTTTTTGTTATTATCATTATTTATCAATTTTATTGGTGAGTTACTGTTTTTCTTAATTTTTATTTCCATTATCATTATTTATTGTATCCCTATTTTACTGTTTGCACGTGACTGTTGTGTTTTGTTGTGTAAAACAGGGCCCCATTGAAAAGATGTGTAATCACTTCATGGGCCACCCTGTATAAAGATGACAGAAGTAAAGAAATAAATGGCAGGAGTAATCAAACATACCCAAACTAACAGCAGTGTATGTCGCCATGAAGCCGAAACTTTCCGTTTCTCCATCAGACACGAACTCCACAAACATCTGACTTCCAGACATGACGACGAACTCAGAGGTGCCACAGAAGCGTCCGAGGACTGGGTACGAAGACGTAGGTCCATCGTAGACTACAACAGAATCCGACGTACAGCCGACGTCGTCTTGCAAGTCCATTACGACTATGCTTAGAACTATGATGCCGTTGTCTGGAGCTGTTAGAAGCCATCGACAGGCACTGTTGGGAGGGTATGTGCCCGAGCCGAAGTCGGGACTGGAGAGAGTGCCGTTTTTTCTTTCCGTCACAAACAGGGTCGTCTCGCAACAAGCAAGAGACGGGCTCACGCCTTTGGTGGCAAGAAGGTAATGGTAAATGGTTAGTGATCAATATTTAAACTGTTTAAAGATGATATAGAGTGTCCAGGGTTCTCCACCTCATAACTTTAAAACAAACAACTCATAAAAGCGCTGCGCACGTTCATTGCTAAAACCAAGAGATTCTTTGTCTCTTCCAGCTGAGTCACACTAAATGCCAAATTGCTGCTAAAATACTTTCTATAAGTACTAGTGTATTTTCGATATATTGTAACGCATGTATCAATTACAGCTGTTCATTATTGTTTTCCGCCCAATGTTACATGAAGTGTTTGTATTTGTGTAGGTGTGCACGCTATCAGCATACTTGCTGCCTTGTGCACTCCTTGTATTGTCACGTTGCAATTTTTGAATAAATAAATAAATAGATAAATAATAGATATATGGTTAACGATAGTAACCTGGTTAACGATAGTAATTTGTGGGTTTAACAAAATCGATAGAGGAAGACGTTCTATACAAAATTTGATTCCGAATATTACTCAGCTGAAGTCCATACATTTTCGCCCTTTACCGAGCTCAAATATCTATATCAAATGATAGTTTGAACAATTACAAAATATGTCACTTTTTTCTAATCACATACACTTTAAGTGTCCGGTTTCTCTATTCAGCTAAATGGATTTGGATAGGACTGGACAATGACTTTTTTCACTATTGTTATCAAAATCTATTTCAATCATTATTGTGGTTTTCATTATTTTTATTATTATTATTATTATTACAAATATTAATATTGTTATAACATTATTATTTGTTACATGTTATGTTTTGTTTCGTATGTGACCAGATAAGGGTCTCACTATAAAGTAGTGTCAATCGCTGAGCTAGGCAACTCTATATATTAATGACATAAATAGATGAATGAATGAATGAATTAATTAGTTAATGAATTAATAAATAAATAAATACGTCACCTGTTTCCGGGAAAACTTCAACTTCACACAGCGACAGGTGTTCCGTTGTTTTGATGGTTTGTACAGACACGTACTGTCCAACTGTGCCTTCCCGGCAATGCAGCTCTATCCTTTCTCCGCTAGAGGGCGTCCCCGTGTAGATAGCTCCACATGCTTGGTTCAGTTGGAAGTTCTGTGAGTCGCCAACTCTCACCTGGAAATTCTGCAATCTTTCTCCTGAAAGAAACATACGATATTCACAGTACATACAACATGCGTTTTGCGCTGAAATCTATATGATGTTCTGGGACCATTCTGCTTAACAATCCAGGTCGACTACACAGGTGACCGAGGAAAAGTGTGTTTCTTAGACAAGTGGCCTTCTTACACAAGACGTATGGCGAAAAGACAAGACGAAGAACAAGAAAACCACAGAACAATATCCATCCATTTTATAATAGACCGCCCCATTTTTTTTCAAATTGACATTTCATAATGCGCCAAGACTTTCATGCTGTCAAAGTCAATGGCAAACTGGTGATTCCATCAAGATTTCTCACTAGTTATCATAAAAAAATGTTTTGCGCCACATAATTTAGAATAAGTCATAGTCAGAGATTTCGCTATGTGTGATCCTGCCGGGCGCGGTCGTGTTGGACATTTGGTCGGTTCAGACAAATTCGTTACGTCTATAGGGAGAAATCGGGACCGAGAAAAACCGGTCGTTGTGGCCGGCTTATAGAGGTGGCCGCTTGGACAAATATGACAGTACTTACCACAGCAGTCCCCGCGATTCAGGATGCGCACAGTTCCTACGGAGGTTGCGTTACCGAGGTTTACTACCCACCACGGCTCGGTGTCCTGGGCCGTGAGCGTGCAGGCGTTACCGGGGTCCACCGTAGTCCCGAGGTACCCGTCCACGGCCTGCCCTGCGCTGGTGTCCCGGTTAGGCATCACAAAACTACTGCTCTGGTTCGCAGTTTTACCGACAGCGACGTTACCTCCTGGTAATGAAGGAAATGACACGGTTCACAGTTTGACACACCATATGGTATCGATGACATTGCTTACAAATTATACTAAAGTATGTACGAATGCAAGATATTTGGATCCCAAACAAAACAGGTTCTATTTGGGCGTTTGGACCAAGGGACACCACGACCAAGGGGTGCCAGTCAGTTCCGATTAACGAAAAATCAACAATTTATATCAATAATATACGCCAATAGTTCCAATTGTTAACTTTTTCATCTTTTGTGTGCTTTTATATCATACTCTTTTTTCCATGAGACTGCCCGGCCTGGCTTCGGTTTGGAAATATGACTTCAGCATTATAATATCGTTGAAGAGGTTCATCAGTCATGTAGAATTAACAGTTGGTAAAAATTCTTCAATCAATGACTGTATTTTGTAAGGTAAATTGGGGGGGGGGGCAGAAGATCCACACAAGTCTCGACCTAGTCTCGTGTTCTCGCGAGACTAGGTCACTCCGTGATCAAGGTGTACAGTCAACACAAACAATTTGGAGGTACGTGATTTACCTTACATAAATACAGTCACTGATTGAAGAATTTTCTACTAACAGCATAAAAGAAAGGAACGTGTAAAATTATAATGGTCAAGTGCTTACCGTAACATGTCTCCCGTGCCTTCTCCACCTCCGCCTTACTCAGGGCAGTACCGTACACCTGCAGGCACGAAACCCTCCCGCCGAACGCGGAGCTCGTGTTCAGGTTCCCGACGATCAAGTCGCCCTGCGCTGATAGCGCCAACCTCCCGAAGTTTGATTTTGCCACAGGAATACCTTCATGCCAGATCATAGCAACTCCCGTGGTGTAGTCGTAAGATACTCCCAAGTAGTTCCAGGAATGGAGTGCCAAAACGGAAGCTTCTAGAGGAAGGATCACGGGCGTACCTGAAGACGTTTGTGTTAAGATGCTGCAAATAAAGATGAATATTTTAGATATCAATAATTTATCGAAATGCTTCTGTATATCTGTTACTCAAAGGATTACCTCTACTGTCATCTGATACCAACACTCTCGCACATTATACTTATCTCAAACTTATTCTTCACTAATGTATTTCACAATTTATAAAAAAAATATCTTAATTAATTATTTGATTCTGTTCCTGTACATCGAACCGTACCCATTTGATATTCCTTGTCCTGTATTGTAATTACTATTCTACGTCCAATGATGGCGTAAATACATTGTATGAGTTCTTTCTTTTTTGAGTGCGTCACCTCAATGTATTGTTTTGTTTGAATGTTGAAATAAATTTAAAAAAAAGATGAAGCTCAGAACGTGATATAAGAATGCCTCAATATGCGTGAATGCAAATTTGTGTAACGTTTTTTTTTTTTTGCACTGTACGCACAACTCACTTCTTTTTCGGAAGACTTCTTTTCCGGCCACGTATGCATGAGTTTTTAATGACCAGATCACCTGTTGTCTTGCCTAGTAAGTCTTGCCTATCATGTTTAGCTCGAAGATTGTTTAGCTATTAAGCTAATTGTCAGGATCAATCATTTCACTGTATCGTTGCACACCATTAGTTTCTAATGGATTTTCGTAAATGCTACAACATGCATGTGTTATAGAGAGGTTTGGTAAAAGACTTTGAGATTCTCGTGTAAGTCTGGAGCTTTTCTGTGGGATCTTTTTCACTCTACACACTTTACAATGTAAGCGGTATAACCTAGCAGTATTAATTAACTGTATTTTCTCACTGAAAAGCATTTCATTAGCACCTAAAACTTCATTGTTTATCAAATTTATTTAGTTTCTCATTCAAGTCAGAAAAGTTGCTCGATCATTGATTTTGTGAAACAGCTCAATAAGTTAGTGTGTGACAAACTTTATCACGTGTAAAAGTAGTTGATTTGCTATTTTTCAAACTTTTTTGAAATAAAAATGTGATAAATATCTATAGCTAACATCTATGCCTAATAAAATAAAATAATGTTCGTTTACTTACTTGAAAATCACAGTGGTAGAATTCGCCTGTTGGACATTCGTATTTTGGCCATCAGGGAAAGACAGCAGTGTGCCCCCCTCCCCAGTTGGATAGATGTTGAATAAAACAGTGAAGGACTGAGCGGCGCGGAAGACTCCACTGTTGATGCGTAGGAAGGATACCTGGGACCTAGAGATGGAATAAGACCCCGAGGCTTCACCCTTTAACCCTGGGGCCAACCGTACGCCCTCGGCCGTAGCATGGTATCCATTGCCGCTGGTGTCATTGGCTCCGTGTTGTCTGTTTAGAGGCCAAATGCCGACGGCGGCTGCAGGATCTAAACAAATCAACAAGTAGATTAGCATACAACTTCCTATACCTGATGATATCGCTACAGGTTAAGTAAAGGTAACATGAGGTAAAAATAACTTATTCAAATCAGTTCATTTGCATAATTTATAGAAAAATAGATATGATAGCTGTCTTTGTTACAGTGTAGTAAGTAACTAACTTATTTTCAAAATAAATGAAAAACATTTATAATTCGTCAGTCGTAAATGTTAACATCATCTGCCGAAGGCATGAAGTCGTGGAACTCTTTCTAAATGATCATAGCACAAACAACACGTTTGGGGGATTTTCACTCGAAAATTAACGCAGAAAATTGCGAATTTTTGCGTACGATAATCCCATAGAAAACATTTTTCCTGCAGAAATGACTGATGCTGGCAGAAAGATCCAAACCTTGACTATACTCGAGTAAATTATAAAGTAATATGTTGTATGTCTGTGCTATGGGCCATTGAGCCTGAAATAAACAATAGATAAATAAATAAAAAAAATTCTAGTACTAAAATTTTTTAAACCATCCACGGCGCGAAGGTTTGCAAATCCACTCTTTGGAAGGCGCAAAGCGAAATCTAGGACAAACGGGTGGATTACACTTGGCGCGCAAGGATACCCGGAAGTAATGTTCGGAGCCAAAAGATATTTTCACCCTAAAATCACAACCTCTTACACTCTTCAGCCATGTTAATGTTTAATGGCAGTTTATTAGAAATGTCACCTCAAACTTGGACCCTCGAAACCCTTTCGTCACGTTTTTTCAACGGACTACCATGGACCCCGGTCACGGAAGAACTGGGGTGTGCACCGTTAATTAAACTGCATGCTGCCGTCAACAAACATATGCTTGTGTGTTGTTTTTTTCGTTTGCTTCCCCCACAATGTATAACCTTTGGTCTACTAAGTCCACAAATTTTTATGGATGCATACACAGTATTAATAGACGGCCCCCGGCAGTACAAAGTAGTACGGACAAACTTTTTGAAGCCTTACTAGAAAGTCTTATGTGAGAGGTAGCCAGGTACCAACTGTGATATGTGGTATAGAGGTATTGTACATATAGAAATGTGTACAGATATATATAGGCCTGTTTAGCAAAATTTACATTCACTGAACTTCGAAATGCCACAGATTTGAAATTAACACCATTAACCACTTTAGAATTATATAATTGTCATGTGCTTTAATTACCAGGCCTAATTTCATCATACCTACTTCTTGGCAGGTTTCCTTAAATCATCTAAACTATATGTTTAGGTGCACTAATTTTTACTAGTATTTTAGTTTGCGTAGCTTGTTAAAGTCAGTATAAAATACTGTGTAGATTGCTGATTATGGCAGGGTCTTTCCTTGGTGCAGGTCCTGTAAAGCCGTAAAGAGCAGCATGTACTACTTACCGCATTGATACCCAGCCTTGCTGGCATCTCCGAAGACTCTGGTGTTAGTTGTACCCCAGTCAATCACGTTGCCATGGTAACCACAGTCCGCTGCTATTTCTGCTGGAGACAGCACGCGGTCCCAGAGGTTCACTTCTGACAGTTCTCCGATGAATGACTGGTCTGCTTCGAATCCTCCTCCGACTTCGTCTTGTTCCTGACCGAGGATCCATGTTCCGCCTGTGCGCACTCTTCCTCCCACTTTAAAACCGGAACCCGAATCGGTCAGCACGCCGTCAGCATACAGCTGCCAGGCCCCATCACTGCTGCGCCAGGTAGTACATATGGTGTGCCACTCACCGTCCCAAACGGGTGGGTCCGCCATTTGGATCTCGCTTTGTAAGATTAACTAAAAAAAATTACATGAGCCGATTTATCAGCCAAAATATTTCAAAATATATATTTCAAAATATTTCAAAATATATATATATGCAGGAGGAAGAGAGCTGTGGTCTGTGCGGAATGAGGGGAACACTGAGCCACATTCTGTCAGGATGCAAGGTGGCGTTAAGCCAAGGCAGATACAGATGGAGACATGACAGAGTCCTGAGGGTGTTGGCGGCAGTGTTAGAAGAAGAGAGAACAAGGAAGAGACAACAGGTCAGAAAGGGGCCACAGTTCATAGGCTTTGTGAAGGAGGGAGAGGTGAAGAAAGGTGTAAGGAGGAAGCCCGAGGAAGGAGGGATTCTAACTGAAGCAAATGACTGGGTCCTGCAGGTCGACCTAGATAGGAAACTGACCTTCCCGGAAGAGGTAGTGGCAACAAAGCTTAGACCAGACATGGTCGTTTGGTCAAAGCAGGCGAAGAAAGTGACCATGATTGAGCTTACAGTCCCATGGGAGGAAAGAGTAGAAGAGGCACATGAGAGGAAGGCACTGAAGTACCAAGTCCTAGTGCAGTCATGTAAAGATAAGGGATGAAGAGCGATGCGATGTGCTTCCCCGTGGAGGTGGGAACGAGAGGTTTCATCTGCCAGTCAACATGGAGGATGTTAGGAGCGGTAGGGGTGAAGGGCAGAAGAAGGAGGGCAGTGACAAAGAGAGTCGCAGAGGAGGGAGAGAGAGCATCCCGATGGCTCTGGGTCAAGAGCACAGATGGAGAGTGGAGCCCGAAGAACCTTGGCTAGCTGTGTTTGGCAAGCACTGCTGCCCCGCCTTCCTGAGTGGGTCCTGCTATAGGGGGCGAAACCCACGAGGACAGAAGGAAGCAGCTGATGAAGCCAAGGAGCAGTAACTCACACTGTGTTAGGAAAGCTTCACTTTATACATTATTAATCTATAGTTGTTATCATTCATGTCAGTTGAAATATTTTAACTGTTTTGTTACTTCAATTTTCCATTGATTGGATTGGACAAGTACATCAATTATTACTTTTATTCCAGACATATTATTTCTATTATTTGACCTCTGACCTTTGTCATAATTTTAGCATAATTTTGTATGTTTTATTTATTATCATTATTGCTAAAAGTACCTGTTATTATTATTATTACTATTGTTATTTTATCTTATGTTGCTGGACTCCATGAAAAATAGTATGGGAGTTACCATACTAATGAAGATCTCAATAAACAAACAAACAATACCATGGTATGGGTGAAACATATCTGTTGTCTCCCATGTCCGTCTCCTGCTATCATTTCAATTTATTTATTTCGAAACCATTTCGTTAAGTGGATTCTTTATTTGCCATTTGTCAACGAGATTTCGTATGGAGGTTAAGTGGGCAATTTTTTTCAGCTTTTTTCCTCACTCTTTTTTCATCCAGACTTTTAAAATTGTTTTATTTGGGTTGTTTTTATTATTTGTTTTCCATTCCAGTCACGACATAAAATAGATGCTTGTGCTTGACTTTGGATACAAAAAGAAATTCAGAATATCTCTACAAAAACTATTAGGACATACTTGCAAATAATTTTACATTGGATAGTTTACATACATATCCGGCATAAGTAAGCAATAGACAGCAGAAGCCCAATATCAAAAGCGATTGTATGCTTTTAGTAGAATATTCCTCAATCAGTGACTCTTTTGACAGGTAGAAACACGTACCTCCAAATTTTCGATGTTCACTGTACATCTTGCTCACGGAGTGACCTAGTCTCGCGAGAACACTTTTGTGGATCTTCTGACCTCCGTGAGCAAGATCTAGATGTCCAGTGGACATCAAAAATTTGGAGGTACGTGTTTCTACCCGTCAAAAGAGTCACTGATTGAGGAATATTCTACTAACTGTCAATTCTACGTGACTGATGAACCTCTTCAACGATTGTATACTTACTTTAAATCCACCATTAACAAACAAGAGAAGCTCGTTCTTGTGTTGTGACACTGCGTAGCTGACCAGGCTGATTTCATTGCTGGAATCCATGTTGGAGCGCATGTGCACACAGAGGGTAAAGCTCGTTAAGTCCGCAGGCAATGTGGTCTCCATCCTGGCATAGTCATCAATGCCTCTTGGACCGGGGAAGATGATCTTTTGTGAGTCGCCTGGTTCAACATGTGACTTTGTTAAAGTAACAAACTTTTAACGCAGACGACATGTGTGACAATGTGGCAAACCAAAGTAGTCACCAAGAAATGTACAGCTTAAAATCACAATCTGCAAGATTCGAGAGGAAGAAAATACAGTGCCAATTCACATCCATGGCGGCACGTGGATTCTCGGTCAAGATCAAGACGAAGTCGGAGGAGGATTCGAAGCAGACCAGTCTTTCATCTGAGAACTGTCGAAAGTAAATTTCTGGGACCGCGTGCTGTCTCCAGCAGAAATAGCAGCGGACTGTAGTTACCATGGCAACGTGATTGACTGGAATACGACTAACGTCGTAGTCTTCGGAGACGCCAGCAGAGCTGACTATCAATGCGGTAAGCAGTACATGCTCATTAACACATGATGTTCTTTACGGCTTTACAGGACCTGCACAGGTATGGGGACACGTAAATGTGTCTTAGACAAGCTTTTCAGCACGAAGGAAAGACCCTGCCATAATCATCAATCTACACAGTATTTTATACTGACTTTAACAAGCTACGCAAACTAAAATACTAAACAAAAATTGGTGCACCTGAACATATAGTTTAGATGAACTGCCAAGAAGTAGGTATGATGAAATTAGGCCTGGTATTTAAAGCACATGACAATTATATAATTCTAAAGCGGTTATTGGTGGTAATTTCAAATCTGTGGCATTTCGAAGTTCAGTGAATGTAAACGTTGCTAAACAGGACTATATATATCTGTATACATTTCTATATAACAATAACTCTATACCACATATCAGAGTTGGTACCTGCCTACCTCTTACATGATACTTTCTAGTCAGACTTCAAAAGGTTTGTCCGTACTACTTTGTACTGCCGGGGGCCGTCTAATAATACTGTGTATGCATCCATAAAATTTTGTAGACTTGCGCGCCAAGTGTAATCCACCCGTTTGACCTAGATTCCGCTCTGCGCCTTCCTAAGAGTAAATTTGCAACCCCTCGCGCCGTTAACAAAATTTCAGTACTACAATTTTCTTTTTAATTTCCTCGGGTATAGAGAAGGTTTGGGTCTTTCTGCCAGCATCAGTCCTTTCTGCCGGAATTTTTTTTTCTATGGGATTATCCTACGCAAAAATTCGCAATTTTTTAAAAATCCCTAAAGCACGATTTTCGGGACAATCGTGACAGTCATTTTGAGCCGTAAATGGGGTATGTTTGACTCTCTATGCTTCCAGGTTTGAACGAGTTTTGCAGACATGTCATATCGCCCGAGAGTGTGCATTGTGTTATTCATACAAGCGTAAAGAATCATTACAGTATTCAAGGTCACCCAAGGATACGACAGTAGCTTAGCTACATGTTACATGTCCACAAAAAAATGATAGCAGACATGTACTGTCCAGGAAACTGTTTGTATCTATAGAAAAGTGTTGTTTTTTTATCTGTTGCGAGGCACTCAAGCAGAGGGGCTTGTTTTGCCGCTTCATTGTAAATGACCGCAGGTGACCCCGAAATGGAACGCGGGTTCGATTCGAATTGCCCAGATCGAACACGATCGAACACAGTTCGGATTCTATGAAATGTGGGAACTTTGCAGCCCAGATTTGACCACCGTGTTCATAGATACACATTAGGTACACATAGTTTGGCATCATTTCCGTTTCAAAATTACGGACGTAAAAAAAAGTCACGTATCCAGTTCATACGTCAAGCTGAAATACATGTCATAGTAGGGTTCAGTAGAAAAGAAAGAAAAGCATCTAACATGCCTGAGTCTAGAGTATGATCTATGACATAACTAAAAACAGGCCCTTTTTTAAAGACGCGCTAGGGAGGGTCAGCATGCTCACATTGGAACGCAGTTGCATAATGCTGCGCATTTATACACAAGCTGAAAAAAGCTTCCCGACCTAAGTCATCCAGTCATAAAACTGATATATTTCTACACCAAATATCACAGTTGGCACCTGGCTACCATGCATAAGGCGTTCTAGCCAGGCTTCACGAATTTCGTCCGTACTACTTTGTACTCGCCCATTAACACTGTGTTCTACGGCTAATACCATACACAGCGTAAACTGATGACGACACCAGAACATGACTACTGATCTGAAGGCTGATGTGGACGCAACCATTAGCAAAGAAAAGGGGTGATTACAATCATGAAATGCACAATAATGTACTCAGCAACTCTCTAAATGGCAAACTAAAAGGTCAATATTTGGAACTGACCTGATGGAGACACTTGACAGATGAATTTTCTGCCGGCATCGGTACATGGTCCATCGTTCCATGCGCTCTGTTGGGACCAGCTTTCGGGAAAGTACTCGGCACAGTTCTCGGTACCGCTGCCACTGGGTTCTCCTGGACCCCACGCGCTGAAGTCGCCCAGAGGAACGTTATCGTCCCACATCCAAACTCCCTCCTGGTCGTCATCAGTCAGTCCAAAACGGAACCAAGCGTTGATGTCAACGGCATTTTTCAGGTAGATGAGGAAGTCGTTGGTTGCAGTGTCGCGGGGCATGGCAAGGGTTCCCCCGTCTGAAGAACACCTACTGACTGCACCGTTGTAGGTTGCCGCGTCGTTGAATGCCTTGTAGCACAGACGACTAGGTTGATGATAAGCGTACCCGTTTGGGCATTGCAAACCTTTTTCAGAAAGAATAAGGTTATTATTTCAATTGCCTGCACTTGTTCTTGATACACTCTGTAGACAATCGCCATTTTGATGCAAGATAGAATCAGACAATAAGATTAGTTTTGATGGAACGATTGCATTTTAACATACATGGCTGGAATCCATGTTGGATTTATTTCATATTGAAAACTTTTGTTTTTACCATGCATGTTTCAGTTTAAAAAAATTGTTGGTGATTTCAGATGTTAGGGTGCAGCTAGCTAGTTAGCGTATTTGTACGTTCTGAAGTTGCCTGCACCCACTGAACAAATATATTGCTCAACAACTGTAACCATAATCCATAATAACTATACTAGTTTCAATTCTACCAATTTTGGAAACTGATCTATTGCATGTTTTTGTACATGTAATAGCTAAGGAGGGTATTATATCGCATTCTACGATTTAATCTGGAGATATATCTGATGTTACGGTTTCGCTTTTGCACAGATTCGGATATGAATTTTCTTACGTACACTGATCTGTTAGAAGAGCATGGTATCTTCATATTTACCTTGTCCCTGTTGTCTGCATTCGTATAAAACATCCAGATATTTTTCAGTCCCTGAGCATGGATCGCCGAAGACACTGTTTTCAGCCTGTATGGTACAGCTGGACTTCCCTCCACATTCCGCAGTCATCACTGTGAAACTAATGGATGCCCTGAAACATCATCACGACATTGTATTAGACGAAGAATAGCAAAGCGATGTCAATTACAACATCTCATTTTGACTCACTTTCTCAAAAAAATTTACAGTTTTTAGCTTCTTCTTTTAGGAGCAAAGAAGCATACGTAAGGACAGTTAGAACCTGGGTAATCTAGCTTGTCCAGATCGCGAGATGTCATGACCAGAAGTTTCGCTGCAGTACCAAAGGAAGCCACTAGGGGGGCAAAAATCTTATTATTCCTAGACTTAGTCACACCCTATGGACGCACCAAGTATGAAAACAATCCATCCAGCCGTTCTTGAGTTATGTTGTTGACATAATTTAATTCCCTAGGGAATGCATTCGTGTAATTCGGCTCCACCCCTGAGGCGCCGCGAAAAAACCGTTACGAAAGTTTCATTAATGACTGTAAACATTTTGTTCAGTGTGGCTACAAATGACAGTGAACAATCCTTTCTTCTACTTGGTTCGTCCACCATGTTATTTTGTATTCTTACATAGTCTGAACATTTTTGTCTGTCTTCCAGAACGACAGACATCCCATTGTAGGTTTTCTTTGAGGTAGGGCTGGAATGCGTTTGAGAATGAAGTTAGTGTAACGACAATATGTGCACGGCGATACGTACCTACAGTTGGTGTTGGAGTTGGACGCGCACGGAGATGCATGTTGCTTTATCCTACCGTACACGGCCCACAGGATGGCGATCTGCGTGCCGGCTGGACACTCTATCGACATCGTCTGACGCTCACACACCAACTGCCTCGTCGGGGTGGCTGGATTCAAGACAACAACATATTCACTATAAAATAAAGACTCACCTTTCTCTGTCCACATTGGAATTAATTGGGACTTACCCCAAATTTCCAGCCTTCAACCTTGTTCACGTTATGGACCCGTCTACTCTTGGAACATGACGTCAGAGACATGTGACCGTAGTAAAAGGTCATTTGTGCGGATCAATCTGTGTCGCCCCCCGTCAGATCAGCCGAAACGTTGGGTGAAGTCCCAATTTATTCCAGTGTTGGCAGAGAAAGTTTAGTCTTTATTTCATAATGACTTGTACCAACACAGGTGACGTTTCATGCTAAACCCATTGACTACTTTTCACGACCTCATCACACGGCCAAAAAGGTAAAATACATACGAATATCAAATATATCTAGCAAAAATGAAGTGGCTCAAAATTGGTTTCAATCAGAATGACTGAGAAAGTAAGTTTGTACGGCCTTCCAAAAGTGCATTTTTGAAGATCCTATGGCAAAAGGGTGAATACTTAAGTTATAGTCCCATTGACTCATTGTATTCTCATTACTTTATATTATAAGTTTGCATCTTCGTTATAACTAAGAGCTTAGTTTAAAAAAATCGCATTGACAACTTAATTGAAACACTGTATATACGATACCAATTTGCTTAGCGTTATTATTAATAATTGTTTGTTCTTATCTAATGATGATGATTATTATTACATGTTGTTAAAACATCCTTAGTTATATTTTATCAATTACTGTTATAATAATGTGCAAGGGGAGGATCCAGGACAGGCCATAACGGCTTTTAACCCCCCCCCCGCTTATGTTTATCTTATCACTTTGAGTATTTCGCAATAAATAAATAAACAAACAAACAATGAAACAAACAAACTTACACTGTACAGTGGCGGTCTCCTGTGCATCACAGACTGCAGACAGCTCGTCCCGTCCGTCCGGACAGTCCGCCCAGCCGTCACACTGGTCCAGCTCCTGGACACACGTGTCGTTACCGCAGCTCACTCCCAGCTTCACCCCGCTTACTATGTTAGCTGATGGAGCCAGTGCATCCGGGTGGGTCCCCCTGAAGCATTATCAAACGTAAAATAACTATGATCTTTATTGCAAGTTCCCGGAGGGCTAATTGCAAACTGACAAGGGATGTATGGAAGAAAACAAGTGCTAACAGAGAAAGTTATATTTGTACTTATTCAATGTTCCATCTCTACTTAGTACTATTAACGTATGTATATGTGGCAGAGAGGGAGAACATGAAGTACAATAACTAGTAAGAATTATATGACTATATATGACTATTGCGTGACTCAATATGAATATCTCTCTATCTAATCTATATCTATATCTGTCTCTTTCTATCTGCCAAACTACCTACAATGCACTGTAAATTGGAATAACAATATGCATACCTATCCTATCATATAAATTAACCCGTATTCAAAGTTGATAGTTACATGCTTAGAGTTAAGACTTTTGTTCCATCATAAAGGAATGTTCTTACCTAGAGCTTTCGATCAGTCACTCTGATCTTCTTCAGTAGACTGACCCAGTGAGACTGTCCGTGGCTTCTCTTGTTACGTCAACCCTGGGTCAGTCAACCAGTCTTCCTCAGTAGACTGACCCAGCGAGACATCGTCAAATACAAATGTGTAACCCTATGGAATGAACTACCACCAGCCCTAAAAAATTCTACCTCCTTTTTCCTGGCGCCGTTCAAACGAGCTCTGAAAAACCATCTGATAAACCATCCAAGCCCCTTGCAGTAATCCCATATAGTGTTCTTTCTCATTTTATCTGATACCAATCATTATTGTTATTATTGTAGCATCATATTCATACACCACCCTACTTCTTTGTCATTAATTTATTACGTATTTGTTTGATCATTCTTATGCATTATTTCCATGTACATGATTTAATCTAAATTATCGATTACATTCTTCTTGTTAAATTTAGAGGGGGAGGGCCTCGTACAAGCACTCCATGCTTCTGCCCTCCTCCTGCACCTATTTTAACTTCATTCTTGTATTATTGCATTATCTGTATCTGTATCTGTATAGCCGGTATGACCGCCTTTCGGCGTAACACACCAGCTTATTATGTTTTTGTTTCAATGTGCAAATAAATAAAATCAAAATCAAAAAAATAAAAAAATAAAAAAAATCGTTTACCGGATACATTTGACACAGTGTTGACGTCATACTTCAGAGATGCTACGTGACAGATCCCACCGGGTCAGTCTACTGAAGAGGGTCAGAGGTACTGGTCGAAAACTAGGTGAGAACAATGCTTAGCGTTGGAAGAAACCTTTTAACTCTAAACAAGCATACTTAGTACCAGCAAGCGTACCTTCCGTAGCACTGACTTCCCCAACTGTTCCCGTACGCTGAATAATGAAACGAGAAAGCCACACAGAGCGGCTCCGCGTCACAGGCCCTCGCGCACTCGCCGTATCCCTGGGTGTCAGAAAAGTCGCCCAGGTACCAATAGTTGGGAGGATCGCTGGATCTCTCTCCCCCGGCTATCATCCCGTACACTGCGCTAATGCCGTACTCACTACTCCAGCAGTACCGCAGGGAAGATACTGGGTCCGGTATAGGGGTCGGCGTGGGTGTGCTGGAATCTAGAACATGTCAGAGAACAGTTTATTCGTGAGTGTGTAGGGATCCGATGTAAGATAACAGTATATATATGGGTGTGGGGGGATTTGGAAGATGTCAGATCACAGAATATGTTTGGGTGTGCCGGAATCTGGAAGATGTCAGATCACAGTTTTTATGTGTGGGTGTGTAGGGATCTGGATTATGTCAGAGTACAGTTTGTGTGTGTAATGATCTGGAAGATGTCAGATCAGAGATTATATGTTGGTGTGCCAGGCTCTGGAACACAGATCACAGTTTGTATGTGGGTGTGTAGGGATCTGGAAGATGTCAGATCACATATTACATGTGGGTATTTAGGGATCTGGAAGATGTCAAATCACAGTTTATACGTGGGTGCGTAGGATCTGGAAAATGTCAGATCACAGTTTATATGTGGGTGTGTAGGATCTGGAAGATGTCAGATCACACTTTGTATCTGGGTATGTAGGGATCTGGAAGATGTCAGATCACGGTTTATATGTGAGTGTATAGGGATCTGTAAAATGTCAGATCACAGTTTATGCGTGGGTGTGTAGGATCTGAAAGATGTCAGATAACAGTTCGTGTGTGAGTGTATAGGGATCTGGATATGCCAGATTACAGTTTGTATGTGAGTGTGTAGGGATCTGTAAATGTCAGATCGCAGTTTGTATGTGGGTGTGTAGAGATCTGTAAAATGTCAGATCGCAGTTTGTATGTGGGTGTGTAGGGATCTGGAAAATGTCAGATCACAGTTTCTATGTGGGCGTGTAGGATCTGGAAACTTTCAGATCACAGTTTATATGTGGGTGTGTAAGGATCTGGAAGATGTCAGATCACATATTACATGTGGGTATTTAGGGGTCTGGAAGATGTCAGATCACAGTTTACATGTGGGTGTGTAGGGATCTGGAAGATGTCAGATCACATATTACATGTGGGTATTTAGGGATTTGGAAGATGTCAGATCACAGTTTATATGTTGGTGTGTAGGATCTGGAAGATGTCAGATCACAGTTTATATGTGGGTGTGTAGGATCTGGAAGATGTCAGATCACAGTTTATATGTGAGTATGTAGGATCTGGAAGATGTCAGATCACACTTTGTATCTGGGTGTGTAGGATCTGGAAAATGTCAGATCACAGTTTATATGTGGGTGTGTAGGATCTGGAAGATGTCAGATCACAGTTTATATGTGGGTGTGTAAGATCTGGAAGATTTCAGATCACAGTTTATATGTGGGTGTGTATGGATCTGAAAGAATGTCAGATCACATATTACATGTGGGTATTTAGGGGTCTGGAATATGAAAAATCACAGTTTATATGTGGGTGTGTAGAGATCTGTAAAATGTCAGATCACAGTTTATATGTGGGTGTGTAGAGATCTGTAAAATGTCAGATCGCAGTTTGTATGTGGATGTGTAGGGATCTGGAAGATGTCAGATTACTCTTTATATATGGCTGTGTAGGGATATGCAAGATGTAAGATCACAGTATATTTGTGGGTTAGTAGGATACAGGAAGTAATTTCAGATTACAGTTTATGAGTAATATAATAAAAGTAGTATATCTATTTATCTACACGTACAGTAGTACTGTAGGGATCTGAAGATGTATAACATGTTAACGGTGAAAACAGAATAAGAGAAAACTTTTCTCGGGGCTGCAACGTCTGCTATATAATGGAGACGATCGTATGTAAAACATTGATCAATGGATTTGAAATATTTTTGAACAAAAATATGAAGTTCTGGTTTCTACCTGTTGGTATATACGCCTGAACAATGGTTGGTCCTGCGCCTCTCGCGTTCGTGCCTTCCACAAACCAGGATGGGATAGCTCCCTGCTGACTGATCATAGCCCAGGACTCCCTTACAGCTAGAGTGGAGAATCAAGAAATATATTAAAACCATTGTTCTGCGGAGTCCATATATTAAATATGAGTTGCACATACAGAACCATACATATAGCGCCCTGTGTATGCACGATTTTGGGGGGTGTTTCTCATGCAACGCATCACACCGCAGCGAAACGCAACGAATGTGGAAGTATAACTACGCCACCGCTGGGTAAAAAAAAATCAAGGGTCTGTGGCCTGACTAAGACACCAAATTATTTGAAAATATTGTGTAAAAAATTGTATCAGGACAAGGGTTAAAGACCAGAGATGCCTAGCACATACATCTAACTAGACCACCTACTTTATTCCATAATTTTGGTTATTGTGTACTTCCGTATAAAATAGAACAGGTCAATTTGTAGGAAATGATAAGAACAATATTTGCGTGAGAAATAGTAAAGGCTACATTCCCCTTAAATGCAATTAATTGCATAATTACTTGTGGCCAGTTACTAATAGTTTGTCACATAAATTGTGAGGTGAAACAGAATTAGAAAAAGCAAGTTATTATAGATATTATTATATATTTTGTATATATTCCTTGAGATGACAAATTAGTTATTGATTTGTAACTGGATGGTTCCCAATTTATGTAATTCCTTTGTTATTAAAAAAGTTATTATAGATACACAAGAAAATAATCAAAACCGACGGACATAACACAAAATTCATTAGAACTGAAATACAAATTCAACTTGTATAAATTAATTAAATCGATAGGTTATTAAGCATTATGACAAAGTCTAATAGAAACATGTAAATACAAAATGTTGGTGCAAGTAAACATAGCATAAAAAACAAACAAGCCAAGATATGAAGATGCTTACAGCTTACGCCAAAAAGCAGTTACTCATTGAGAAACAAGCAACTGGATATGATTTCGGAAAAAATCATATCCAGTTGCTTGAGCAACTGCTTTTTGGTGCATCGTATTACCTGGATGTCTAACCTTCATCGACGTACTTACAGCTTACTTTCATTAAATGGCCTATTTTGAAAAGAACATTTCTAATGAGAGAAGCGGTACCTAGTCGTGTTGTTGTTGACCCGTATGCCCTTAGATCAGGTGAGTTGTCCGCGTTGGTATTACCGCTGTCATAGACAAGAACCGCGACAACCCGTCCCTACAGCAAATCGGAAAAAGTAATGATGCAAAACTTGGCAAAAGCCAAAACTCCTGATTAGTTCACACAAACTCCTATTGAAAACGAAGACACAACCACATTACTCTACATTCTACAGCAAAGAATTGCCGATTTCGTGATTTAGATAAAATCGAGGATGATTGGCATTTTGTTGGTGACTGTGCATTGTATAGAAATGAAATATCCTCTATAATTGTATATACGATAAGTTTACCAGTTTTCGAATCATCATTATCATTAAAAAGCTTCATTAAAAGGAAAAAAAAAATGTGCCAGAAAGGCAGTAGTCATCAAAATTTTACTCGGTCTTCATTTGTACTTTTCTATTGTATCTCAGTCTGTCTAAGTTGTAGATTATCACTACGGTCATCTTATATATGCTTGGTCAGATAAAAACACAATTTTACAGCTTCTATATCAAATATGCATTGAGAATGAATGGATAAGACTTAGACGGTCTGAACCAGAATATATCGTTTTATTACCTCCACAATCCCTTGCAGAAAGGTTGTCAATTGTTGTGCTGCTGTGACTCCTCCTCCTCCATGATGTGTGTCGAACACGGCCTTCTCTACTACTGCCCCTGTTTGTTCATTCACTATATACACCTGGTGCCCACGCCTGGTAACTGAAGTTGAAAAAAGCAAAAGTCTTAATTTTTCGAGGGTCTTGTTTTACTTCCAATAACTGTTACGTGGACTTGTCATAAAATGCAATTGGACATGACTACAAGTAACATTATACTGTAGTTCATGGTGTTCGAAATCAGTCTGTACAAAATTTAATGTAGGCCCATGCCTGCCTTTGAAGCTTTCCATAGAATTGAATCAAATTTAAGTTACATTTTATTTAAGTCAGATTTGACTCTCAACCATGCCCCGACCACTGCAGATTTGACTCCCAACCATTCCCCGACCACTGATGACCTACTCCCAACCACCAGCCAACCACCAGCAGAATCTCTCAACCGCACCCGAATGTTTAAAACATTTTGAAACATTCAGGTTTAGCAGTCGAACAGTAGCCGACCTCGCCGAAACCAGCCAACCGCAGCCGACCTTGCTCCCGACCTACTCCTAACCACGGTTGTGGGAAGTTCAGCTAGTGTTCGGAAGGCCATATTCGGCTGGGTGTGACAGAGGCTTTTCCTTGAATGTAGATTTAGCTGTCATTTAGTTCGTTTACCATGTACTATTATCATATAGCCAGAAGGCTTCGACCAATCAGAAGGCTCCATTTGCCATCGGTTATCAGGCCGTAACCTCAAAAGTGGTCGGTTATTAGAATAACGGACCACTTTTTGGACCGTACCATTCACGTAACATAGATTTTTTTTTCGGCAATGGAGGAATTTCATAAAGGAATTTTTTCAAATAACTGTGTCAGTTGGATAGGCTATATGATAATAATGTTAATGCCCCACCTTATCCTCGGTGGTTTATTCGGTCGTTAACGCACCTGACCAGGGGTTATCTCACCAAATACACCTCGGGGCATTCTCCCGTTATCGATGTTACTTTTTTTTTAAAATCATATTGCATTAGTGATGCTTGGAGTGACCATATGTTTTTTTAAAAACATAAAAATTTCATGCCAATCTTTACAAGTCTGATTGATTGTTTCACACAAGCACTGACCTGGTAGCACAAGCCTGTCATACATGTTGCCGTTTGCATTCGACACTTTCTCCGAGGCAGAACACAGCTTATTCTTCAGGTAGCAGGCAGCCCTGATGGAGTACTGAAACGACAGACATGTCGGCAGCGCGCAGCAGGCTTCAGCACAGAACTGGAGAGAAACGCCCGTGTAGCCGGTTATGTCCACCGCGGAGCCTCCACAACCAGTCCGAGGGAAATGGCGAAATGAGGATTGTCCACATGTCCCTGAATCTGGAAAAAACAGGCGGGTGTTACAATGAATTGATTCCATTGTCCGGCAGTTGTGCATGGTACAATGTAGCCCATGTTTCCACATGTTAAATATTCGATAGTTGCCTCCATAAAAAAAAAAATTGAGGTATTTTTGTATGTCACCTGTGTGTGTGTGTGTGTGTGTGTGTGTTCGTTTGTGTGTCTGTGTTCCACATGGTCCTTAGGTTGTAACTGGTATGGATGGGTTCCATCTGCCCCAGAGGGAGAAAGCTATGAATCACATTTTGGAGCGCTCGCTGCTTTCACAGTTTTTTTACATGACCTACTTGACAGCTGGTATTGTTGCCCTTGCACGATAAAGGAAGTCTTGTAGACACCATAATGAATGAGAAAAGGACACAGCCAGCGTCACACAAGATCGAAACAAACATTTCATAGAGGTCTCAAATACAGATAACGCCACTTCCAAAACAGATTATGTGGGGCAAGGGGGGTCTATATTGGCCTGTATTCACTGGCCTTCTGTAACCATTGGCACTTACGTAGGCTATACGCCAATATAGACTCCCCTTGTCCCACAGAATCTGCTCGGTGATTATATTAAGACCCTGACACACATTCAGAACCTTTCCTCAAACACCGCCCAAACAATGTTGGCTGATGTTCAGGAGCAGTCTGATCAGATTTAGGCCACGCCCACATTTCTATATGAATCGAAACGAATTTGATATAAATTTGAGTCGGTTTACAGTACCAACCACGACCGAAACCGAATGTTCAAAACATGTTTAAACATTCGGTTGGCGCATCCGAGCAGTAGCCAATCTCTATAACACCATCTTTGGGGAATTCGGCTAGTGTTCAGGAGGTCATATTCGTGAACGTGTGACAGAGGCTTTACTGACGCAGGAACTCACCTGGTACTCTCCAAGCAGAGGTTGTGGGGAATGATCGTTACCTTTTTATAGTTGGCCGTTTTTTTTGTCCTGATCCCCGTCGGTGGCTAATGGAGCTTCTCTGGCTAATGGATACTGCCTGGTCGATTTGATACTGTCTTTTTGCCACCGAGAGGGATCTGCTTGGAGATTACTCACCTGGTTCAAACCTGCTCTGCTGTCCGTTGCTGATGATGTACGCGCTTTCGGCGCTGAAACCCGGATCATCCCATCCTGACGACTGTGCCAGCACTGTGAACCCGTCCGGCGCTGTGGAACAAGAACCACCAAATAGCTTAGACTCTTATTATCACCATACATACGGTGTTTTCTGTCGACCGTTTTAAATAACCGTTTATAAGACGGGAACGCGCGACGGCGGTGCAGGTTACGACATGCTTGCCGTGCAGCAGGTGCATCAAAGCTGATTCCATGCGTATACATTAAGAATGCGGCTGAAAAAAAAAATAATTAATTGTCATGCCAGCCTGCACTATCCGTGAAAGATGCAGGTAACATTGAAGCTGCAAGCGAAAGAAGTAAGAGCAAAAACAGAAATCTCAAAATATCCTTCCACCAAAGGTAACACCGCTTTGCCACAAAGAAATCTTTATTTTGACATTTGCAGCATATCCTTGCATTCAAGAATAAAGAACCATAAACCCATTAGTTTTATTGCCTGTCACCGTCATCACCGTCTTTCGCAAAGCGAGCTTGTCGCTGCGTGCACAGAAGATAAAAACTTTCCACCACCAGAGACTCTCCCTACTGTGTACCTGGATACACCTCCACCTCGCACAGCTGTAAGATCCTGCCGCTGCCCGGCAGGAGGATGCCGACGTACTGCCCTCTCATCCCGAAGCACGACACGGTCATGTCCACGCGGTCCGTGGGGAAGGTATGGTCATCTCCACACCTGGCGTTAGCGGCGACATCCGTGGATCCGCCGATGTGGATGCGGAAGGGACTGATCCTCTCCGTGCAGCAGTCCTGCCGGGTGTACACGGTGATGTAGCCGATGGTCCTGGTCGTTCCGAGATCGACGTACCACCAGGGGTCTTGACCGTCGTTCACGCCGTCAGTGTGAACGCAATACGGAGCTATGCGATACTGAGTGTTTCTGTTTCCATCTACTGCCCGACCTCCTGGTTGACTACGCCAATGATGACTGGACTGTTGTGTTGGGCGCCCCAAAGCAAGATTTGTAGCTAGGAATGCGGAAAACATTGAGATAGAATTCTGTTGTTATCCAAACCTGTACGTTATATGCCAGATTACAGCTTATCGTTAGCAGCGTCCCAATCGTCAGATACAGCACGTTAATTTGAACAACATACTGTATTACGCTTTGGTGACAAAGAAATGAGTATGGATGTCATGACATGTAAGATGAATGTAGACGCCTATAAGTAGATTGGTGGGCTTTAGCAAAAGGACCAACCGTACTAATGTTGCATGCTCATGTAAAATACAGGCGGCCCAAGGACATTTTTTAAAGAATTTACTTTGATTTGTATCTAGGGTGCACTTCCCTTCGTGTAGCCTCTGTAGGGAGGAGTTCAAAATTTGACTAACCCAGATATTGACGTAACAACACGTAAGATTGGAAAAAAATGGAGGGTCATGGAAATGTGCATTTGTGGATGTGTACCTTCATAAACTTGCACTTCGCACATGTTTATCATCCTGCCACTTCCAGGAAGCTGTATGACCACTACTTGTCCCTTCCTGCCTGCGCAGGGTACAGACATGCTGGCTTGACCTTCCCGGAACCTACGATACGATACGATACGACACGACGTTTTTGTTTTATCGCAGTTTACGGAAATTGAATTCAAAACCAATTTACATGAAGAATTTTATCAAGTTTTCAACATTACAGACATATATATTTACAAGCTTTCTACTTTTTGAAATTTGCATAATTAAAAGATGTACGGAAGAACATCAATAAATACCATAGGTTGTCCAAATTTTAAATTCACTTTACATAGTTTGAAAAGCTAGCAGCCGTACTGATTATGCAGTCGTGTTAGGTAAAAGGAATTGTGGAATGACTTTGTCAGGCAAGGAATCGAACAGGACCTGTGATCCCCCCCGCAGCGCGTGTCCTCAGTCAGGCTAGACACAGAGTCCGTCACGTGCACGTGGAAAGGGTTGATTCTTTCCCAGCAGCAGTCTTGGCGATTGTAAATGGTGACAGTTCCGATATTCCGGGAAGAGCCGAGGTCTACAGACCACCAAGAGTTGGTCCCGGATTGGGTATGCGCGCATGAGCCGCCGCTCCAGGATGTGTCTGTGTTCCCGTCCACAGCCAGGCCCGGTGGGTGAGAGGAGCTGTAGATACTAGACTGTGCAGCCGGCCGCCCGAGAGCGATGTTTGCTTCGTGGCATACAAAACGCATCATTAGAAAGAAAGTTTAGAGTTAATTTTAATGTGTTATGCCAGAAATCAATTTTAATTTGTTATGCCAGAAATGTTAAGAAAGCAAATTGCACAGCAAGATATAATTTAGCCAACGGCTACAAGTTCTTGTGTTTTTTCACAAATAAACAATTTGATTGATTGATTGATTGATTGATTGATTGAAGTTTTAACTAATAAGGGCTTTACGAGCAACCTCTGAGCTCTGCAGATCTACTCCATGGAGGTTACTCGTACAGCCCCTTCTTTTTTAACTGTAATTTTCGATACAAAGGTTGGACTTATATGTACCCTAATTTTTGGCTGTACAGCCCCAGTGTTTATCAAGGAATAGGCAATTCACTGCTCCCGTGATGTCACGTTATGCAGATGACCGACGTGACTCGGTGAGCAGTGGATCTTAAGTTTGCAGAAAGTCTGTGCCGCCCCCCGTCATTGTTGAGGGAATGTTTTAGTGCCCCGATGTAGATGGCCTCTTGAATCCCTCGTACATAAAAGGGGCGGGTTTTCTCATTCCTTGACAAATACTGGAGTTGTACAGTCGACAATTTGAGTACGTCTAATCCTTTGTGCTGGAAATTACAGTTTATACTTGCTTCGTAATGACTCCTGCCAAAATAGATGGACTTAAAAAATGCCATATTCTAAATTCTTTAATCAGGACACAAAAATCCATTTTCCTTCCAAAAAATTTACACGAATAAACGATCAAAACTATCAAAGTGAGGCATGTAACAAAATAGAAGACAGTGTGTTCTACATTTAGTACTTAATCAGTCGTTAGTACATGTACCAAAAATACCAAAATGAACTTTCCCTTGTGAATACCATATTTAAACCGAGTACTGCACCACCACTTAAAACTGTTCTAGAAAGTCATCACCAGAAAATTATATCAGTACTTTTAGTACTTCCACCATATGATTTAAAAAAAAATTGTATGCATGGTACACCGAAAAATGTATTTCCCCCGTGTCAATAATACATTTATACCGGGTACTGCACCACCACTTGGTAGGTATTTCAGAAACTCATCACCAGGAATGGGACATCTTAAAGGGGCATTATGTAACATTTTGAACAAAACAAAAATTAAAAATATTTTGTTGCAAAACATATTTATGTAATTGTTACATAATTGCATGTGATTTTTCAGCTTCATATTGTGCAATAATCTCACATTTCTGACATTTATGGTTGGCACCAGAACAGCCCATATGAGGAACATGTAGTTTGTGGTGCCACCACAAAATAACAGAATGTAAACAATGATGGCTAACAACTTTTGATTACACTCACAAAGCGTCATATTTTGGCACCTCCAATTCCTGAATGGCACTTATTTGTAATGGGGCAGAGTTGATACTTACTTTGTAAGGACATGACTAGAAATTTTACTTAATTTTCTTGTCCTAATGTTACATAATGCAGCTTTAAATCTCTTTCAGTCTACTAGAACCACAAGAAAAGCGATGTGACGAAAATTCTTGTGATTTTCTCATGTAGACCGCCACCACTGGAACATCTAGACACCTTGGGTCCTTCAAACTGACCACCTGCACCTCGCTATTAGCGTGTCCAGTATCTTAGTATCAAGAGAGACCCGTTTTCCAAAAAAACATGAGTTCCATTTTTACCAGGGGAGGATGCCGATCTCTTCTGTCGCTCAGGGCTCATTACGACTTTTTCTGTAAGGTATATGGTGTAGTTGAGCAGTAAAAGTAAATGATCATTAAATACGTCACGTATCCGCAAAGTCTCATGTGAATAAGGTCACATGTCTGTAAACGCAACTCTCGCGAGTTTACGTTTGGAAGTGATTGGTCATTAATTATCCTGATGAAGGTGACAGTGGTCTTCGAAGATTTGATTTCTCAATCCTTGTTGTGTTTGAATAAAGCTGAACATTTAACTATGACATATTAGTTGTTGCAACTTATTGCAAGCGGAAATCAACGCGGCCTTACTTGTATCTGTATGGCAGGTAAAACCGCCCCTTGACGTAATAGACCAGCTTCGCAGGCACGCGGCGCGGTGGCAGCTGGCTACATTACACTTACACCCAACTACTTGTTACCCTTGTAACCCTTGAACATCTAAATCTAAACAACGTTAAATGCTATGTTGTGGAAAATTTTGAACTGTTCTCCAACTCATAAATTTCACTCAGCGGAATTTTCGACTGAATCACTCCGTCTTACTCAGCTATCTGACCCAAAAGCTGTAGACACGTGATTTTTCCTACGTGTGACGTCAGCAAAGGGTCAAAGGTTGTCTAAAGTCGATATCGCCCCCCGTCCCGGTGAGTGAAATTTATGAGTTGGAGAACAGTTTAAAATTTTACATAATGTAATTTACCAACTCAGATGAACTTTCATGCTAATGTTTAAAGCTATCTAATGATGACCTTACGTATTGGTACACGTACACCGTAACGAGCAAGACATACCTGCGAACCCGTAGAAGCCTATCTCCGTGACGTAAGGAGGTCCATCTGCCGGGCTCGCGTGTGTCTCTGTCACCTTGAACTGCCAGTACCGGGACGTCACGGAGAAACCGTCATAAACACGGGGCTCAGTCGACCTATATCGCATTGATATGCAAATTCAGTCCTGATTTCAATTCTGATTTCATTGTATTATGTTCTACCTTGGTTCTACGTTATATGATGTTAAGTTTACAATATTGTTTCTCTTGTAGGTTGAAGAGGTTCATCAGAAACGTAGAATTAACAGTCAGTAGAAATCCTTCAATCAGTGACTGCATCGGGAGAGGCCAGAAGATCCACACTAGTCTTGACCTAGTCTCGTGTACTATGTTCTCGCGAGACTAAGTCATTTCGTGATCAAGGTGTACAGTCGACACCGAAAATTTGGAGGTACGTAATCCACCTTACAAAAATACAGTCACTGATCGACAAAATTTCCACTAACTGTTTCCCTTATGTTATTTCATTTACTTTGATTTCGTATCAATTTGTCATCTGCGTAACTTCATTTGAAACCTTTATTTTTACCTTTATTTGATACCTTTGTTAATCTTGAGTTCATTTTGTTAAGGGATTTTGTTTGGGGTTTTCCCCAAGGAACCATTGAAAAACGCCATCAGGCGATATGTATTTCCTGGATAAATAGATAAACAAACAAACAAACAAACAAACAAGAAAACAAACCTATCCGAGGCGACGTAAGTGACGTTGACCACGTCGTACCACAGGTATGGCCCGCTGGTCTGTGAGGCGGAGAGCACGAACGCTTTCACGTCGTGAAGTATATCCCCCCGTGTGCTGAACCTGCAGATCAAATTCCAAAAAAGCCATCCACCAACTGTTTATATAATATACTTTCTGTATCGATATAACCGGTATAACCGCCCTTCGGCGTAACACACCGGCTTGGTAGGCACGCGGCGCGGAGGCAGCTATTTATATCACACCGAACGATTTGTTACACTCATTCTTTGCACATTTAATTGCAGGAGTTGTTTAAAGCTTTCTAGTGATGATGCCCCAACTGTTCTTGGTGGCAACGAGTTCCAGTCTACGATAGTTAGGAACATACTGGAAATACGAGTTTTTGAACATCTCAATTCTTGGTTGATAACTCTGATATTTGAAGGCATGACTGTTTCTTGTTCTTTTCTGCGCTGGTATCAGATCCTTAGTGGTTGGTACGTCCACCAGTTTATTAGTCATCTACTACTAGTTCTGGTACTAGTATGTAGATTATTTTCTTTCACTTGTTTATAATGTAAATTTCTTTTTCTGCTCAATCACGTATGTGTGTTTGTCATTTGTCATCTGTTGAACAGTGTGTTTTTATTTTTGTATGCATAAGTCCTGGAAGACTAGCCTTTTTGGCTAAATAAAACAAAAATAACGACTCTCGGTGGTAAATGTGTTGACACATCGGCGCACCAAATCCGTAGTGTGTTTTGGCACACAGTTAGACAGATTAGCCTAAGAGGCTCGGTGGGCGTCACTCCACCGTACAGGCGAGGAAGTCGTGTAAAGTGGCTTTCCCAAGACACAACGTCGGGCGACGGTGAGTATCGAACCCGGGACCTATTGGTTCCGAGTCCAACGTTTTAACCGTTACGCCACAGACGCCACGACTAAATGGCATTGAAATTTGTTTGTTTATTAGACAGATCTCCATTAGTTTGTACATACATGAGTTGCCATACATACTATTCTTCCTGGAGTCGTATAACTGCATACTACATGTACTATCGTAACAACATGGTAATGCTTATAAAAACAACTACATAAACACACACAACATGTAAATTGTACCGAGAGGTCAGAGGTCTATTATAAATAAAAACATTCATATTTACACTTTATCGACATTTTAATCTACCATTAATCTTACTAACACCAAGATTGTAAGGGTTTGGAGGTGTTCGCCAAACAAAGGAAATAAAGGAAAACCTGAACTTGGAGAGAGTGTGCGGTGCCTGCAGGTCGAAGATGATCCAGTAGGCGTCGCTGGAGTACTGGTTGTCCGGATGAGGGTGCCAGTAGGTGTCGGTGTTGCCGTCCAGCGCGGCCGCGGCGTCATACGTCACGCCATCGGACACGTACGGGCTGCCTGACGTCTCCGCTATCACGGACGAGTTTAGGGTCAGCCAGGAGCCCATTCCTGTTGGGTTTATCATAATAATTATTAACTTTATTGCACAGTAATTATACAGGGTACAAAGTATTGCGTCTACTAGTGCACAATCACACCTTCTTCGTAGTCTCAGTCTATCGTAACTAATACAAGCGTGGATTTTCAGTATCGGATAGGTATAAACTTTTACAATTATTGGAGGAATTTCTAATATTTATATAGTTTTTAATGTATATCCTTATGTATATTATGCAGGGGTTGTCACAAGTCATTATGTATTTAACATAAAGTGCCTTTCATTGCTCAAGGTGAATGCTGGAATAGAATATATTAGGAACGCATGCCTTCTTATCCAATCAGAAATAGTCTAAATACAGATTTGAGATTTTTCAGTCGCAAAAATTGAATGGAAATTGGACGCGTGTCCTGATCCATTCTTCCCACAGGCGGTTTTATCATCGCCATATATAATGAATTGCCATAAAGTCATAAATATAACACTTAAATGGTCTGTTCAGTGACTCAAAAAACCTAAAGGTATACGTCTGACTTAAAGACTTTATTTCGACAACGGGTAATTTGTTTGCATCATCAGTTCCTGTGCACGTCTAATATGTTAGCTAAAATCATCAATGTGACAGCCTTTTCAAATTCACATAGTCGTCTCTATAAGGCAACGGTTGAATTACTGCTAAAGAATCACTAAAAAATACATGTGATTTTCTATATAATGTCTATTATGTAGATGCTTTACTATTAACTGTTTATATTGCTTCTATGTTACATGTAATGTATGTATTTGGTGAGCAAGCTAAAGCATACTACTAGCTGCCTAATGTTCACCTTGTTTTTTACATGTTATGTCAAAATTTTGAATAGACAAAAAATAAAAACGGTAGACCACGCACCTGGTGGTTCTGGAGATGGCGTGGTGTTATCTGTAACGACAAGACAGTCATCAGTGTACATGTGTACGTTTCTAACGATTACTCATCCAGGGTTATAGATAAATAAAATTGCGTTTCAAACTTGGATATTATCATTTATTATCAGATAATTCAAGTGTTTGTCCGACACACTCTATAAGATTTACGAAACGAGAAACAAAACATTTTCTAAATACAAAAAAGGTAATAACCATGTTAACCATGTCAAAGCTTGTTCTAAACTTAACCAAAAGCTAACTGACAAAATGTTCTAAAATATGTTATAGAGAGGATATCAAGGAAAAAATCTGCTGAGTGCCGGGAAGACACTTGAAACGTCTGGTATTAAATTTTATATCCAGTGGTAAAGTTGAACGCAATTATGTTTTTATTTAGTCATCAGTATAGATTTCTAGATTTTTACTTTTAGAGCGAAAATGAAGATGCAGTTTCAAAATACACATACGTATTCTTATAAAATGACAAATTTCTCTCTATGAAAAAATAATATAGTACTCTCTTACTGTGTGGATGCCAAGCGCTTTCTATTAACTACGGGTATTCAATGACAAAGATCGCACTGCATTAAACATGTTGCCGTCAAAAAAAAAAAAAACGCGAAAATGATATATTTCTGCGGCATGAGAAAACAGCGCAAAATATCGCTTCTGCTACGCGAAAATAAACCCTTGCCGTATGTGTTACGGATGAGTACACGTGCCCTGGTCCTATGTGTTATAGACACGCGTGCCCTGCCCATACGTGTTGCGGGTACGCGTGCCCTGGTCCTATGTGTTATAGACACGCGTGCCCTGGCCATACGTGTTGCAGGTACGCGTGCCCTGGCCATACGTGTTGTGGTACTCGTGCCCTGGTCCTATGTGTTACAGACACGCGTGTCCTGGCCATACGTGTTGTGGTACTCGTGCCCTGGTCCTATGTGTTACAGACGTGCGTGCTCTGGCCATACGTGTTGCGGGTACGCGTGCTCTGGCCATATGTGTTACAGACGCGCGTGCCCTGGCCATACGTGTTACAGTACGCGTGGCCTGGTCCTATGTGTTATAGACGCGCGTGCCCTGGCCATACGTGTTGTGGGTACGCGTGCCCTGGTCCTATGTGTTACAGACGCGCGTGCCCTGGCCATACGTGTTGTGGGTACGCGTGCCCTGGTCCTATGTGTTATAGACGGGCGTGCCCTTGCCATACGTGTTGCGGGTACGCGTGCCCTGGCCATGCGTGTTGTGGGTACGTGTGCCCTGGTCCTATGTGTTTTAGACGCGCGTGCCCTGGCCATACGTGTTGCGGAGGCGCGTCCTCTTGATACGTGTTATCGATAAAAACAAGAAATTATTTTACATCAGTGTAGCCGACAATGTGGAAAATATGCTATAAAGAAACATCATAACATGTAGAAAATCAATCATATTTAGCCCCTTAATAAAAGAAGAACCTTAGTCAGTTGAAGCAATCAATAGTTTGATATTTATTTAATAAGCATTGTTGTGGAATACAATGAATGGAATATGTTAAATGTTAATACATGTTCAGAAAGTAAGTTGATCATTTTAAAGTCAAATTACCACCAGACAAGAATAGTGCTAAGTTAAGGCAGAAGGGGTGACTTTATTATTATTCACATTTGTGAACGAAAAGAAAAAAAAAAACTGTGCAAATCATTTCCCATGGGTGCATGTTAGTATTTGGAAAGTGAGTTTAAGGCCCTTTTCCCTTTAGAAGAAAATAGTCTGGATAGGGCTGGATAGTTTGGCTTCGATCCTGCCTCAATACGAATCCTAACGTATTTTTTTTAATTAATTTGAACAAATAAAATCATTAAAAATGCAAAACAAAGAAATAAAAACAGTCTGCGGAAGGAGGAATGAAGCCTGTAAGGCTTGTACAATGCCCCCCTTCTTTAAAATTACTAAATATTAATCATGAGGCTAAAAAATAATAACTAACGATAAATAAACGGAGGAAAACTTAGATATAACAAAACAAACGCTAAATATTAATCATGAAGCCAACACAATAATAGGTAATGATAAACCTCCATTTTCATCTTTGCCGGGGCTCTAAGATGTTGTACAAGCCCCGGCTACACCCCCAAATAGCCCCTGTTGGGGCACTTTAGGGGGGGGAGGCCTTGGTCTAAGGCGGGCAGGACTCCGAAATAAATAAACAAAAGGAAACCTAGATATAACCAAACAATTCTCAAAACCTTACCGTCACACTTTGTCCTTGCTGCTAGAATCTGTCCTTGCTGCATGGCGTAATCATACAGCTGCAGGCAGGCTATCCTACCAGTAAACGCGCGTCCGTCTCCGTCCCTGTACCCCACCCTCACGGCGTAGTTTGTGCTCAGTTGTGTGACGCCTACCGACCGGCTGCCGACTTTAACCCCGCCGTGCCAGACGGCCAGCTCCCCGGTGCCGTAGTCGTAGGTGGCGCCGACATAGTTCCAGGAGCTCTGCTGCAGAACGTCTGCACTCGCCTCATCAAGCAACGTTCCGTCCCTGGTGACAGCCCTAGGAATACATACGAACAGCGTTTTGATATCTCATGATGTAGACATGTTACGGTCACGAAATTTAGATGATAGATAGCTCTTGTTCTGGGAAAGAAGTGACGTAAGTTTGGATCCCCTAGCAACTTGCTCTAAAACTGCAAGGCCGTTTGTTTGATAATATTCAAAGAACATCAAGCAACGTTCCGTCTCTGGTAGCAGCTCTAAGAATACATACAAACAACGTTTTGATATCTCATGATATAGACATGCTACGGTCACGAAATTTAGATGACAGATAGCTTTTGTGCTGGGAAAGAAGTGACGTAAGTTTGAGAGGCCTAGCGGCTTGCTCTAAAAATGCAGGGGCGTTTGTTTGATAATGTTCAAAGAACTTCAAGCAACGTCCCGTCTCTGGTAACAGCTCTAGGAATACATACAAACAACGTTTTGATATCTCATTATGTGGACCACCTACGGTGAAAACAATTAGATAATAAATAGCTTTTGTGCTGGAAAAGAAGTGACGTAAGTTTGGGCCCCCTAGCAACTTGCTCTGAAACTGCAGGAGAGTTTGTTTAATAATATTCAAAGAACGCCTGCACTCGCTCATCAAGCAACGTTCCGTCTCTGGTAACAGCTCTAAGAATAGATACGAACAACGTTTTGATATCTCATGATGTAGACATGTTACGGTCACGAAATTTAGATGATAGATAGCTCTTGTTCTGGGAAAGAAGTGACGTAAGTTTGGATCCCCTAGCAACTTGCTCTAAAACTGCAAGGCCGTTTGTTTGATAATATTCAAAGAACATCAAGCAACGTTCCGTCTCTGGTAGCAACTCTAAGAATACATACAAACAACGTTTTGACATCTCATGATATAGACATGCTACGGTCACGAAATTTAGATGATAAATAGCTCTAGATCTTGTGCTGGAAAAGAAGTGACGTAAGATTGGCCCCCTAGCAACTTGCGCTGAAACTGCAGGAGCGTTTGTTTGATAATATTCAAAGAACGTCAAGCAACGTTCGGACTCTGGTAACAGCTCTAGGAATACATACAAACAAATGGAACTATGAATTGTGGGGTTGTTTGGCGTAACCGTAGAGTGTTAGCCTCGGAACCAAGAGGTCCCAGGTTCGAACCCTGCCATGCCACTGATCTTAGCTTAGCTTAGCTTAGTTCGGACTTTTCTCACTTTACTCAGGTGAAAATAAGAATTGTATTGTCCCGTGATAAAAAAAAGTTTAAAAAACTTGAGTGTGCAGTAATCTTGTTATTACATATTTAAATTAGAAAAAAATAATTACTGTAAATTGCGTTAGTTTCACCTTAATGAGTAACCTAATTAGTAAAAAACGGTACCGATTAAAGGTAACTTGCATGGAAACAAACTGCGTAAATACGATTTCGTTCGACGTAACTGTCAACATTCAGCGTCAGTATTGAGAATGTGGTGGTCTTAACGTACCTCACAAATATCTGACTAGCTGTTGTTTGCCAGAAATGAAATCCCCAGTCGTCAGTCCTGAAGTTGAAGAGTGGCCCTGCGTTCCCTGTGGGGTATATGTGCGCCAGGATGGTCAGGGAGTAGCGAACGTCCAGTCTCCCGTTGTTGGGAATCTCGACGTAAGACCTCGAGGAGCCGGAAAACTCGTAAGATCCCGTGGTGGAGTTCGGACCTTCTGTCAGCTGAACAGTTGATGCAAAGCCGTCATTTCCGTTTCCGGTAATGTCTGCCGTCCCGTTTTCCGCACCGAACGTCCATAAACCCACAGGCTCTGTATAAAAAGCGACACCGTATTGTAAATAATTGAATTATAGAATGTAATAATACTATCTTTGAGAACAAAATGCAATATAGTGGTTTTGGTAGAATTCAAAATTATGTATTAACTCGAATATGCAAGAATAGTATTTTAGTATTTTAGTATAGTGTAGGTATCTACCGTTCTTGTTCCTTCTCTGTCCACATTATACCAGTTACAGTTTATGAGCAGTGAAGTTGATTTGATTTGATTAAACGACGTCCCTCTTCAGTTTGGAATGTCTTACCAAATGTTTTCATAGAATTCCATATTGTGAAGGTATTTATAGTTTTTTTGATGTCATAACATGAAAACAATAAAGATGAAAAATCATCGGAAACATTATTCATACACGTTTCCTATATCGTTTTAACGAACATACATGTGCCTATGTTTAAGGTTAAAACTCTTGATCCAACACGCAAAATTCTCTTATCTAGAGCTTTCGTCCAGTCACTCTGGTCTTCCTCAGTAGACTGACCCAGTGTTGACGTCATACTTCAAAGAAGCCATGTGACAAGTCTCACTGGGTCAGTCTACTGAGGAAGAACAGAGTGACTGGTCGAAATCTCTAGGTGAGAAAATTTCTTTGCGTCGGATCAAAAGTTTTAACTTACAACATGTTACTACCAACAAATATGAACTTTTTATAATAATTCATTTACCTAGTTGACATTGAAACGAGAACTGTCCAGTGCTGCCCTGCCCAGTGGAGTACCCAAAGTACAGAACTGGGAGCGGGTCCGGGTCCTGCCACTGCATGAACGGGCTGCTCTCCCCGTCTCGCCCGGCGGCAATCGTGCCGTCCTCCGCCCAAGATACCCAGAACCCTCTAGGCTCACCAGGAGACAAAATGCCTAAAAAAGAAAGATAAATGAATAAAAATCATTGTTTACATTATTAATTCCTTTATGTACGAAAGAATTTTCGAAGGAGGGGAAACACACTGCAGTCTTATGAGATTAAATTTACCTAATAGTATCAATCTACAACAGGTCTACGTGACCAAAAACAATGATGGTCTCTTTTGAGAGGTCATTACCTCCACGAAAAATGGAGGTATTGTTTTAGTCTTGTACTGGAAAGGTAAAATTTGCAAAGCGATTGCATAATGTACACCTTCACGTGGTGTACCCTAACAAACTACTTCCCAACAAACTAATTTTATTTATACATTCATACTAAAAGTATAGTGATCAGTCCCTTTAGCTCTGTGCTTCAAAATGTATCCCAGTGCCACTGGGCGTCTGCTACAGCACCAGTTACCATGGTGACAGACGTCTGGTCTCGGTCATTGACTTAATTTGTTTGGAAAAGAAGAAAAAACGTTGAGGAAGAAGTAGAGCAGAAACTATACGTTCTGCGTCTGCGAAGGTAAACATAACTAGTCACATTTAAATAAATGTAACAGATTAATAATGTAAATCCAACATACACTAACATGATGACGAAGAAATGCATATATTACCAGCTGTGGAGACACGTGTTTGATCGGTCCCGGCCGGGGCCCGGCGAATGGCGGACTCAGAGTTACTCCAACCACCGATAACGATCTCGTACATATCGGGGAGGTCGGCTCGGGCTGAGGACAGGGCGATGTGTACGTCATTGTTGGCCGTGACCCGAAAGGTCAAAGGTGACGACCCGACACGTGCGATGTCCCACTGGTAGATCTTCTCAGAGGAGACTGTTGTTCGGATGTGTTCGCAGTCTGGTGATGATAAACTTACGTTATGTACCTTTTAAAAACCATCTCACTAAATTAGTACGCCCCTTTCGTCCCCCGTGGTACTCTTGTGGCCAAAGGTACACCTGCGCCCTTCTTACCAGGTTACGCATCGGTACCTGCAATCTTAACTATAGTCTTTTTAATCGTGCTTTGATTCTTAGCCCTTCATGTATTTGTGGGTATCCCTGCGAATCCATTTCTCATTTTATATTACACTGCCCTTTGTTTACTCAGTTAAGAGCTGATTTTCTTAACAATCTCTCTGATTTAATCGGTCATTTGATTGATTTAGATGCCCTTTCAGAAAGTGCCAGGCTCCATCTTGTACTCAGGGGATCGCTTGCGATACCTTCTGAGTACAATGGAAAAATTATGTTACTTACTCAAGATTTTATAAGCGGCACTAGACGTTTTTCTGTTACATAGTATACTCTGTTTTGTTTGATCATATAACACTTCTCTTTAGATATATTACTGTATGTATGGGGTCTAGTTTCTCAGCGCACTACTTGTATGACCATTGTATTTATGTTAAATGTTAAGTGGGGCTGTAAAATAAGTTGTATAACTTGAGTTCAGCCCCACTTCGTCCTTGTCTTGTATTGTTTCATTCATTAAAAAATAAAAAATAAACAGGTTAATAATAAAGGGTTAACGCCCTGCCCCGAGGTGTATATGGTGAGATGATCTCTAGTCAGGTGCTATATGCTCACTTGGTGGTTTATTCGGTGGTTATCGCAGTAATAACCGACCACGTTGTAGGTTGCAGTCTGACAACCAATTGAAAATGGAGCCTTCTGATTGGTCGACGCCTTCTGGCTATATGATAATAATATATGAAACTGCAGTCGCCTTCGCCAGAAAGGTATGTTTTCGGTTTAACCATTGTGGAGTGGCTGTAGTGTGGGTTTGTATGTATAACAACATCATATAACTCGAGCATCTGTGGATGGATCTTCATGATATTTGTTGAATGAGTAGTAAGTGTGGAAGGAAAGGTCAAGTTCGAAAATGGTTCACATGGCATTTTCAAATGGTACTGCAGCGGGCTTTTTATGCATTTGTTCTTTGCATGTGTACAACTCAAGAAGCTGCAAATAAAAATTAATGATACTGTATTTGGTAGGCGCGTAGTGATTTGGGAAATGGAGGTCATGTTCAAAAATTGTCCACCTGCTGCGTTACTATGTTGCTGCAGCGGATAGTGTTTCTTTGCGTTTTTTGTAAACTATATTGAGTACACCATTACTCAAGAAGCTGTAGATGGTTGTTCATAATATCCAGTAAATAGGTAGGAGCAGCAAAGACAAATGTCAAATTCAAAAATGGGCCTTCTGGCAGGTATGCATGGTACTGCAACGGAGCTTCAAAGTTAACGGTAAAATTGTCCGCACGTGTTAAGCTAAGGTCCCAATTACGCCGGTGCCCGTCTGGGATGTAGCCCCGGCTGGCCCCGGCCGGGTTCAGGAGTCGAGCGGGCATCGGCTGTCGTGGTCACAATGAAAAAGTTTCCTTCAGTAGCATTTTGTTAGAAATTTTGTCACCCTCTTTGGTCGGTATCCGGCAGGCACCCGGCAGGTACCCAGCAGATTCTCTGACGATGCCTTGTATTGACCTATACGACGTAATGCAGAATTCACGTATTTGTTGTGGTCATTTGATCTGAGGTCACACATTTTACCCGGGTTTACGAAGTACACACCTTTATTCTGTTCATCTGGTCTGTGACGTAAGAAATGTGTCCCGGTGGAATGCCGGCAACCGGAGGGGTACCTCTCGGTGTTCTCACGATGAGGTTACGGCGTCTTTTTGTCAGCGGGGCCCGGGTAGAATTTAACTCAGAATTAAATTCTTATCGGGGCCCCGACGGGCCAAAAAATATCCCGGTAGCCACAGGGTGCCCCGCGGGGCCACGTCGGGGTCCCGCCCGAAAGTGGTAAAAAACAGCCCGGGAACTACCCGCCTGGGCCCCTTTTCCCAATTGGGACCTTAGCTTAAGTTTGATGATTTTTGAGTAGTCGAAGCTGTTAAGCACTTAAGGGAGTAAGCGGTGTGCGTTTGGGTCACTTATCAGCTACTTGTGTACACAAATACCACAAATTTTAGACCACCTACCTCGCCGATAGTCCACTGAGCGCAAAACGTGGCAAGATAGAAAAAAATCAGTTTTTTAAGGAGAAAGTATATAAGGATCAAATCTGATTTTACATATGTAATTTAGAGCGATGTCTGGCGTAATTATTATAATGGTGCGTAAGTGATTATTCATAAAGCTTAAATCGTACAGAATTTGTCAAATTAAAAATTATAGAAATAAAACAGACTTTTGTTGTAATTACGAAATCCTGTAGTCTGGTTGCTTTATCTTTACCTTATTTTTAAAGTCTGATTTCTGACATTTACAATGAGAATATCTGTTGCGGATCTTCCTTTATGAGATTGTTGTCAATCTGTTGCATAAAATTTCAGATCTAACACTAAAAGTTTGAGACTCACCTTCTGTTCGGCCGTACCCAAGAGCTTCGTCAGAACGCCTAACCCGATTAGTTTGGACACGTGACCCTCGGGCACGTAAAAATGTCATTTGCCCGAATTCTAGCAACGCAGCATGAAAAGAGAGCGTTTTTGTAGATAAATGCTGGTTTATATTCTATTTGCCATCGTATCTCTACTTATTCAACTAGTTACCCGAGTACGTAAACATCTTCAATAGGGCCTTAGAAACCAGTATGAATAGAAGTACCAGTGTGAATAGAAGTACCAGTAGGAATAGAAGTACCAGTAGGAATAGAAGAACCAGTAGGAATAGAAGTACCAGTCGGAATAGAAGTACCAGTAGGAATAGAAGTACCAGTGGGAATAGAAGTACCAATATGAATAGAAGTACCAGTAGGAATAGAAGTACCAGCAGGAATAGAAGTACCGGCAAAAATAGAAGTACCAGTACTGTAGGAGTAGAAGTACCAGTAGGATTAGAAGTACCAGTATAGAAATAGAAGTACCAGTAGGAATAGAAGTACCAGTAGGAATAGAAGTACCAGTAGGAATAGAAGTACCAGTAGGATTAGAAGTACCAGTATAGAAATAGAAGTACCAGTAGGAATAGAAGTACCAGTAGGAATAGAAGTACCAGTAGGAATAGAAGTACCAGTAGGAATAGAGGTACCAGTAGGAATAGAACTACCGATATGAGCTCAGGGGTCTTTATTAACCATTGTACAATTGTTGGGCAGTAAAGTTCTTATTTTATAACTAGGTTGAGAGAAAGTTTGATACGAACCAGGAACTCTGTAAACAGACATCCTCCATGACCCTCCGCAGATCTGAGACCCGTCACCGCTGCAGGCACTGCTGCATTCCGCCAGGGGGCGTGCCACTCCCAGGTCTACTAAGTCGTCATCCGTCCCACAGAAGCACTCGTTCGAGTGTTCGGTCGCTAACGATAAACATTTATACATGTTATTGTATAGATTCCGATCTGGTAAAATCGACATTTTTACTGGTAGAGTACTCTACAAGCAGGGGTTTGGGTTTTGGCTCATTTTTGGCCTGTTTTATGCTTCTACAGGGTTTTCTTTTTTCTTTGTACTTTTCCTAGTCCAACAGTTTTCCCACTTGGTATTCTTTTTATTCCCTTAAAACATTTTATTCGTTGCAAAAACAGGATTTTCAACTTAAATTAAACTATAATAATACAATACGTGTTTACATACAAGTAACTGAGCCATTTAAACATTATTGTTACTACTTAATAGTAATACATTGCCGTAACGAAAATATCCAGTTATTCACGTGGAAAAAAACTAATATATAAACAACATAAAATGATAGCAAAATGTTGACTTTATTTCAATGCAACTAGGGCAAAGGGATCAAATTTGCAAAGGCTACTTTGTCAAGATAATTAGTGACCAATCACTTCCGAACGTAAACTCGCGAGAGTTACGGTACAGACACGTGACCTTTTTCACACGAGACTTTACAAATACGTGACGTCAGCAATGGAATAAAGGAACTGGGATAAAGTTCAGCATAGTACTATGATATCATGAAAGTTCATCTGTGTTGGCAGTTACTGAACAAGACTATTTCCTGAGAGGGGTGAATGAGGCCATATACATCAGGGCCCATAACCCTTCACTGAACCGCGACGGGGGCCGACATCGTCTACCAGATACCTTTGACCCAGTGTTGACGTCACACTTCAAAGAAGCCACGTGACAAGCCACACCGGGTCAGTTTACTGAGGAAGACCAGAGTGACTGGATGAAAGCTCTAGGTGAGAAAACTTTTTGTGTTGGATCTAAAGTTTTAACTCCAGACATTGTATTGTACTATGATTACAACCAACACAAATGAAGTTTTAAGATAACATGAAACGAATCGTTACCTGAGTAAGAGAAGCCCTCTTGTGCGCAATGGTTGGAGCATTTCTCGTTCGTCATGTCTGAGGAGGTGATGGGAGCGTGCGGAAACTTCCGGCTGGACACGTCCTCGTAACACCCGACCGAGATCAGGTCCTGACTCGCTTCTGCAGGACGCATGTCACAATTACGGTGCGCAGGGGACGGCAAAAATGGGAGTACGATTGTAGTCCCTAGTTAATTACTTTCAATAAAAATAGGCTCCTTCGCCAAACTTGTGGGGTGTCGGTGTTATTTTTTCTGCTGGAGCGAAGTGAGTTACACCGCGTTAAAATTTTCGAATGCCCGGCCTTACAGCACAGCAGGCAACTTATAGTAAGGCCGCACCAGAAAAAAACGTAGCAGACGTAACCTCCCAAAAAGCGTACGTACAAAAAGCACGTACGGCGGGTTGTGACCGTAGCTCTAACGGCCATTTTCACACTGAGACTCTTTTTAGTCGAATTCATGGAATCCTGAGCTATAAAATTGACAAGTTAGACAAATTACTGCAGTCGTGGAATCGTCAACTGATACACATATCGCGCGTTTTCAGTAACTATTGACTAACGGTGACCACCGTTAGTCAGTAACTACTGACCTAGAATGCTATCTCCCTCTCTTAGGAGACATCGACCGTTACCGAAACGGAACTCATCACTCAACACAGGATATTTTGAAGTGTTTGTTCAGATTACCACAATTACATTTATCAAAACCAGGGTACAACCTTTGAGTCGCTAGTAAGACTAATCTGGTTTTCAGTACCATTAATGCAGTACTATCAACTTAGCCCATAAAAAGTAATGACCGTAAAGAGGATACAGTGCGTGTGCATACCTTCATTTAGCTGGCAGATAAATCCCCTGGAGTAGTTGCAGTCTTTTTCATCCCAGAAGGCTCCACCCGCCCAAAATCCCACACAGCCTCCGTTACCGTTGTCGGGTTGCGGTTCACCGGCGAGCCAGTTGGAATAGCCGGAAGACGTCAGGGTCTGGCCGTCCTCAAATACCCACTGGCCGTCTCCGTCCGTGTCAGTCAACCCGAGCCAGCGACCCCATACTACGTCTGCTAGACTACTGAGAAAAGTATTGGTGGCATCGTCCTTCGGCATGGCTAAAATCCCACCGTCTGCCGCGCAAGTCTGGCTAGCGTTATCACGTGTCGTTGGCTCCGTGAAGCTCTTGTAGCAAACTCCGTTAAAGGGAGCGTAGTCTGCTACTGGACAACCTGTTAAGAAAATTCTATTTTTATGAATCTATATTCATTCATGGTTCATGTTTTACTTCCGAAAACACATACTCGGAGACCGTAAGGGGCCGTGTCTATCGGTGACCGGTACAGAAACAGGTAACGTAGGGAGTAACTCGTCCGTGTGCGTGTGGGCCAGTCTGTACAGCCTTGTGAGTTTCTCCGTTATGTATTGTCATGTTAATTTTTATTTGCTATACAATTGTACAAATAACTGTTATTAAGCTTGTTGTACATGCTGCGAGGCTGATTTTCTGAATAAAATTGTTAAACGGTTAAACTGTATGGAGTGCAACACACAAGTGCAACGCAGGAGACTTAGTGCAAAACGTGCAGCCGACCCGTAAAATACGAAATGTGCAGGACAGCAAAAGCGCAAACCCCGTCACCAGTGAAATATGCAACAAGCAAGTGCAAATTCCGCAGCCAGTGCAATAGAAAAAGGAGTCAAGTGCAAATCCCGCAGCCAGTGCAATACAAAACAGACGTCAAGTGCAAATCACACAGCCAGTGCAATACAGAATAGGCGTCAAGTGCAGATCCCGCAACCAGTGGCACACGGCATGCAGCAATCTCAACAAAAGTCGTCACCAGTGTTCCCAAATGCCTACAGTCCTTCATGCGGCTTGCCATGCAAGCACTTATCACTATAACGAACCCTATCTTTCAGCACATCTTAAAACATGCGTAAAGATACACAAAGAAACGGCGCATTTACGCATGATTTAAGGCGTGCGTAAAGAAAGGGTTTTGTGCAGTGTGCGTGATGTGAACCTCGAACCGTGAAACGTGCAGGGAAGTCAGCAGAGGAAACGGCACCCGCAAAAATCGTCTGTCGTTCTTACCGGCTTGTCGCTTTACACGCGCAACCTTTCTGTGTCTGTGCCTGTGTCTGATCCTTGTGGTCATACCAATTGTGCAGATGTCCGCGGACTCCTCGCTTCCATCTCCACAGTCGTCCTTTCCGTCACACAGCAACTGGGTGTCGATGCAGTCCCCGTTTGCACACTGAAACTCGTCCGAGCCGCAACCTACGACACAAGCGGGAAGGAAAATACTGGTATCATCACAATAATAACTAGTATCAAGTTTCATGTTACACAATGGAAGTTGAGATCTAGAATGCAAAATGTGTAAAATTGAGCTGCACTTCCAGGCAGCTCAACTTCATTTCATTCGAGCATGAAACTTTATCTGTGTCGGGACATATTTGTAGTGCAAGAGTAGTGGAAGAGGCGGTCTACATTAGAGCTCGCAGACATACATGTAACCTGAGCCACATAAGAGACGGGGGGCGACACAAGTTATCTATCACGTATGACCCGCTACTATAGGTCCATTCCGTGGACAAGGTTAACGAAGTCAGCCCAAAATTTGGGTTTGATCCAATTCATTTCAGTGTTGGAGATGAAGTTTAGTCTTAACTTCATAGACTCATTCAAATCACAACGATAAACAAAATATGTTGAAATCCTACCAATCACAGATTCACAGCTATAGTCGATCCAGAAGCCGCTGTCGGTTACACTCCCATCACTTGTAAACTGCAGGTACAGTACAGACGTGGTGCTGGTGTAGTTCTTGAGGTCCAGCTCTCCGCTGTACTCTACAGCTGGTGTATCTCCGCTGGACTCTAGAGCTGCTGTGTCCAGTGAACCTACAGGGAAACAAAAATCACGAAAAATACAATGTTATTTCAGGGTATTCCACAAGTTTTTCCTATGGTGGACTGCTGTTCAGGTGGCTTCGCTAGAGTTAAGAAATGACACTGTGGTTTACATGCTACACGGTCACCTGTAGGTGTCATCAGCAAGAAGCTACGATATACACATGATGTTGCAAGACTTGGTATTCTGATATCCTTCTTGTTTCCTCGAGTATTGGAGGACAATAGAACTACTAGGGGTTATGCAATGAAGTAGACAAGACTGCGAACTACCATCAGTAAAGAGCATCACAGTATCTCTTCCTGTTGTATGACTCGGTATTCTGATATCCTTTCTTATCTTTTTTTACCTACTTTGAGCAGGTGAGAATAACATAAAGATAAGATGTGATACAATGAAGTAGAGAAGACTTCGATATGTTATCTTCCTTCAAAATACCGATGACTTTCATGATACATATAAAGTCTGTCCACCTACCGTCGTACACTTTGAGAAAGTCGTAGTCCTCCTCTGTTTGGAAGGACTGGAAGGATAAGGTGACCGGTCCTCCACACCCACGTATGGCCCAAACACAGTCCTGGTCGGTTCCGTACTGCTCTGGATACCCGGGGCTTAAAATGACTCCAGAACCGGCAGCACGTTGTTCTTCCACCGGGCAAGTAGCTAAGGAACGATACAGGCACGTCAAAAAGGTATCAGCGGTAAACACATCTATATATCATCCACTACTTTCAGTTGTTTCGTTTACTCACCACCATTAACTCTTAGGCTGCGACTGCATCACTAAACCAGGGACCTATGTGCAGAAAAGGGAATATTTCTTCTTTCTAAAACGTCCAAGTTCTATTCCATACTTTGTCAAAACAATGGGTCTTGGACGATCATTATTAAACATTTAACATACAAGTGACCACGATTCACTTAACTTCAGGGATCTTTAACCTATTTGATATATTCTATCCTTGGCGATTCAACAACTATGACATGTAAGCAATACGCATTATTGGTTTACATGTGTATGGTGTACACGAGTGTTCAAGTACGCCAGAACGTTCTGTACTTAGACGGTAGGTAGGTGGACTTTCCTGCACTAACTTGTGCAGTTAGGTTGGTTTGCCTGGACAATCCTATGCAGTTAGGCGGATTAGTCTATGCAGCTAGGTGGACTTTCCTGTACTTACCTGTACAATAAGGCGGATTGCCCTGTGGAGTTAGGTAGAAGTTCCTGTACTTACCTGTGCAGTTAGGCGGATTAGTCTATGCAGGTAGGTGGACTTTCCCGTACTTACCTGTGCAATCAGGCATACCGGCCTCTGCAGTTCGGTTGACTTTCCTGTACTTGCCCGTACAGTTAGATGGGCTTTTTTGTACTCACCTGTACAGTTAGGCGGACTGGCCTGTACAGATAGGCGGACTGGCCTGTACTTACCTGTACATTTAGGCGGACTGTTGTCCCAGCTGGGTGGAACACCTGCTAGACAGGTGAGGCTGGACGCTCCTGTCATGGTGAAGCCCGGCTCACATTGGTACAAAACTACGTCCCCGACAGCCGTTCCGTTTCCTGTCCTCTCAGCGTTCACTACGTCAGGTAGAGCCGGGCAGGTATCGGTAACTACAGCTGTACAATATCAGAAGAAAAAGCTACGTCAAAAAATCTCAAGGTTCTTGTTGACAGAACCCCGCCGCACATAATTTTTGAAACAGATGGAAGTTTTAGCGCGTTTAGTGAGTGCATCGTCACTAGATGACTTTAAGCAATGTTTAGAGTTGGATGTGCGAAGTCAATGTGTTACAAGTCACTAGGTATAATGCACCTGTCTGCCTGCCTGTAAAGGTGGTGTGTTACACTGAGGGGCGGTTATGCCGACTATGCCTTAACAGATAAGTTCATGAAAACTGTAGCGTATCAAGAGAAAATTGTATACTCACGCTGACAGACTGGTGCAGGGTTGGACCAGTAGTATGCGGCACTGTTGTTCGCCTCTCGACAGGTGGCGTTACTCTCCCCAATCAACTCAAATCCGTCGTCACAGGAGAACACCACGACGTCACCTGGGCTGAAGCTATGGGGAAATTGATCGAATCATTCTTTTTCTTTTTTGTGGTAAATCTGTTTGCTTTACTACTGAATGAGAGTTCCGAATTCGTAAATTTTCCAGAAATGTACAGGCTAAAGTTTTTAAATCTTGTTTTATTTTCTCTTATTTATCATGAAAGTTAGGCTTGTAATTGGCATAATATTTATAATATGGGCTTTCTGACACAAATTACGTATATTGAACGTGTAAATATGTGTAAACAAAGCTTCCGTGTAACAAACCTGTCTCCTGCTCTGTTGCCATTGAGTGGAGCTCCTGGGTCACTGCAGCAGGCCGCTGGATATATGAGGAACAAAGTAGCGTAAAATTATCAAAGTTAGGTAAGGCTACATTTGGGTAAACATGATATACATTGTACATAATTTTTTTCTGTTCAGTTCCAAAAGTAACGTAAACTAAATCACTGCAGACCAAATCAATGTATTATAATTAGTCATTCTTTTATTCATGTTGTAAAGCAGTGTAATGTTGTCGCTTTTATATAACTGTGTAGTAAGTGTAACATTATGTATTATGGAATCCATGTAGATTAGCTGCTTTCGTCTTCCCTTTTGCAAATAAGGGATATCCTAAAGAATTATTAAGTATCAACTTGACACAAAACTTGCGACCGCGGGTGAGAACACACGCAAAGAGAATACTCTATATATTTTTGGAGGATTAGGCATTATTGCCATTTGAGATTACTCAAGTAGATTATGCATATAATGTATGTATACTGAGAAGAGACAATCCAAGAAACTGGGTGACTCACAGCTATAGTCGATCCAGAAGCCGCTGTCGGTTACACTCCCATCACTTGTAAACTGCAGGTACAGTACAGACGTGGTGCTGGTGTAGTTCTTCAGGTCCGGCTGTCCGCTGTACTCTACAGCTGCGGTGTCCAGTGAACCTACAGAGGAACAAAAAAATCACGTTATTTCAGGGTCTTTCACAAAGATTTTCCATGGTAGACTGTCTCTCAGAGTGGCTTTGCTAGAGCAGAGGAAAGACACCTGGCGAAATATTTCGGTTTTGCATGCTAAACCTGCAAACATCAGCAAGGAGCATGTACCTATTGCTGATACTACTTCATACATTGTAAGCAGGCCGGTTGTGTGACTCGGTATTCTGATACCCTTCTTTTTTTCCTTTGGAACATTGGAGGATAACAGAACTACTAGAGTGATGCAATGAAGTAGACAAGACTGCGAAATATCATTAGTGAAGAGCATCACAGTGTCTATCTCATTCGGTTATAGGACTGTATTCTGATATCCTTTCTTATTTATTTCACCTACTTTAAGCAGTAGAGAATAACATAAAGATTATATGTGATACAATGGAGTAGAGAAGACTACGGTATGTTACCTAAAGTTTCATCTATACCGTACACTTTCAGAATATATATATAAAGGCTGTCTACCTACCGTCGTACACGTTGAGAAAATCGTAGTCCTCCTCCGTCTGGAAGGACCGGAAGGATAAGGTGACCGGTCCTCCACACCCACGTATGACCCAAACACAGTCCTGGTCGGTTCCGTACTGCTCTGGATACCCGGGGCTTAAAATGACTCCAGAACCGGCAGCACGTTGTTCTTCCACCGGGCACGTAGCTAAGGAACGATGCGGGCACGTCAGAAGGTATCAACTGTAGAAACAGCTATCGTCTTCAACAATTTCAATTGTTTCGCTTGCCAATAATAATTCGAACGCTGTGACTGCATTACTTTCGTCCAAGTCCTATACCATACTTTTTTTTAGAAAAAAAATCGGTCTTTGACAATCATTATTGAATATTTAGGAAGTGATAATAATTCACTTAACTTCAGGTATCATCAACCAAATAGTTGTATTCTAACCTTAGTGATCCAACAACTATGCCATGTAAGTAATATATTATAGGGTTACATGTGCATGGTGTAAACGAGTGTTCTAGCACGCAAGGACGTTCTGTACTGAAATGTACAGGTAAGCAGACGGTAGGTAGCTGGACTTTTCTGCACTAACTTGTGAAGTTAGGTTGGTTTTCCTGTACATTTCTATGCATCTAGGTGGACATGTCTATGCTGTTAGGTTGACTTTTCTATGATTACCTTTGCAGTTAGGGGGACTGGGCTGTACTTATGATTACCTGTACAGTTAGGCGGACTTTTCTTGTACTTACCTGTACAGTTAGGCAGACTGGCCTGTACAGTTAGGCGGACTGGCCTGTACAGTTAGGCGGAATGGCCTGTACAGTTAGGCGGAATGGCCTGTACTTACCTGTACAGTTAGGCGTACTGTTGTCCCAGCTGGGTGGAACCCCTGCTAGACAGGTGAGGCTGGACGCTCCTGTCATGGTGAAGCCCGGCTCACATTGGTACAAAACTACATCCCCGACAGCCGTTCCGTTTCCTGTCCTCTCAGCGTTCGCTACGTCAGGTAGAGCCGGACAGGTATCGACAACTACAGCTGTACAAAATCAGAAGAAAAAGTTACGTCAAAAAATCTCAAGGTTCTTGTTGACAGAACCCTCGCCGCACATAATCTTTGAAACAGATGGACGTTTTAGCGCGTTTAGTGAATGCGTCTTCACTAGATGACTTTAAGCAATGTTTAGAGTTGGATGTGCAAAGTCAATGTGTTACAAGTCACTAGGTGTAATGTACCCAGCTGCCGCCGCGCTGCGTGCCTGCAAAGCTGGTGTGTTACACCGAGGGGCGGTTATGCCTACTATGCCTTAACAGATAAGTTCATGAAAACTGCAGCGTATGACGAGAAACCCGTATACTCACGCTGACAGACTGGTGCAGGATTGGACCAGTAGTATCCTGCACTGCTGTTCGCCTCTCGACAGGTGGCGTTACTTTCCCCAATCAACTCAAATCCGTCGTCACAGGAGAACACCACGACGTCACCTGGGCTGAAGCTGTAAAGAAATGGATAGCATTTTTCTTCTTCTTTTTTGTAGTAAATCTGTTTGCTGTACTACTGAATGAGAGTTCCGAATTCTTAAATTTTCCAGAAATGTACAGGCTAAAGTTTGTAAATCTTGTTTTATTTTCTCTTATTTATCATGAAAAAAAGGGTTGTAATTGGCATAATATTTATAAGATGGTCTTTCTGACACAAGTAACATATATTGTACGTGTAAATGTGTAAACAAAGCTTCCGTGTAACAAACCTGTCTCCTGCTCTGTTGCCATTGAGTGGAGCTCCTGGGTCACTGCAGCAAGCCGCTGGATATGTGAGGAAGAAAGTAGCGTAAAATTATCAAAGTTAAGTAAGGCTACATTTGGATAAACATGATATACATTGTACATAGTTTTTTTTTTCTGTTCAGTTCCAAAAGTAACGTAAACTAAATCACTGCAGACCAGGTCAATGTATTATTATTAGTCATTCTTTTATTCATGTTGTAAAGCAGTGTAATGTTGTCGCTTTTATATAATTGTGTAGTAAGTGTAACGTTATGTATTATGGAATCCAGGCCAGGTAGATTAGCTGCTTTCGTCTTCCCTTTTGCAAATAAGGGATATCCTAAAGAATTATTAAGTATCAACTTGACACAGAACTTGCGACCGCGGGTGAGAACACACGCAAAGAGAATACTCTATATATTTTTGAAGGATTAGGCATTATTGCCATTTGAGATTACTCAAGTAGATTATACATATAATGTATGTATACGTATACTGAGAAGAGACAATCCAAGAAACTGGGTGACTCACAGCTATAGTCGATCCAGAAGCCGCTGTCGGTTACACTCCCATCACTTGTAAACTGCAGGTACAGTACAGACGTGGTGCTGGTGTAGTTCTTCAGGTCCAGCTGTCCGCTGTACTCTACAGCTGCGGTGTCCAGTGAACCTACAGAGAAACAATAATCACATAGAAACACCATGTTATTTCAGAGTCTTACACAAAGATTTTTCCATGGTAGACTGTCTCAAAAAAGTGGCTTTGCTAGAGCGGAGGAAAGACACCTGGCATATTCCCTTTTTGCACGATCCCACAATGGAACGCCTTGCCTCGCCCGGTAACCATGGCTCCCACCGTTGAGTCCTTCCGGGCCAGGCTGGTTTGTTTGTTTGTTTGTTTGTTTGTTTATTCGATCTCCATTAGATTTACATGAAATCTATTCTTCCTGGAGTCGCAAAATTACAATGAAACAAATGTACAGAACAGAACAAAACAAATATACATGAAAGTAAAACCAACATAACAAAAGGTGTGAGTCTTAATTAAAAAAAAAATAACATAACGCACACAACATTAACTGAAAACTGAACTTAAGTGAACGGGGAGAGGTCAGAGGTCATGGATGATTAATGTAACAAAACTGTTACAAAAAGAGGTTGCAAAACTGCAAACCATAAACAGTAGTAAATCAACAAGTGGGTGCAGAACTGCAAATCATAATAACGATAAGTAATAACAAAGTGGATGCAGGCTGGAGGCCTGACCGCCTTAGACCAAGGCCTCCCCCTCCTAAAGTGACCCAACAGGGGCTATATGGGGGTGTAGCCGGGGCTTGTATAACATCTTAGAGCCCCGGCAAAGATGAAGATGAAGAAATATTTCAGTTTTGCATGTTAAACCTGCAAACATCAGCAAGGAGCATGTACCTATTGCTGAAACTACCACATTCACATGCCGGTTGTGTGACTCGGTATTCTGATACCCTTCTTTTTTTTTTTCCTTTCGGGCATTGGAGGATAACAGTACTACTAGAGGTTACGCAATTAAGTAGACAAGACTGCGAAATATCATTAGTGAAAAACATCACAGTGTCTCTTTCTGATGTATTACTTTGAATTCTGACATAAATAAGAAGAGATGTATCATTTATTTTTCCTACTTTGAGCAGCAAACATAAAAGTAAAATGTCATGCAATAAAGTAAAGAAGACTACGATATGTTACCTTCTATCAAAATACTGTACACTTTCATAATATATATAAAAGCTGTCCACCTACCGTCATACACATTGAGAAAGTCGTAGTCCTCCTCCGTCTGGAAGGACCGGAAGGATAAGGTGACCGGTCCTCCACACCCACGTATGACCCAAACACAGTCCTGGTCGATTCCGTACTGCTCTGGATACCCGGGGCTTAAAATGACTCCAGAACCGGCAGCACGTTGTTCTTCCACCGGGCACGTAGCTAAGGAACGATACGGGCACGTCAGAAAGATATCAGCTGTA